ACTCAATAGATTTTATATAATGTTGCTGGAGAATGATGATCAACAGGGCAAATTGTGTGCTAATACTAGTCTTCGAATTGTTAGATTGGTACAACGTCGCGTCGGAGAAGACATACACATTTCTCGCATGTCTTTGTCTCTTTCTGACACCAAATTTCTGTTTACACCAAATTTCCGTTTAAAATAAAGAAAAGATAGTTTTCAGAGGGTTTTTTTTTTCTTTATAACAATTTAAAATAGTCAAGAATAGTTCATTTTCTCAAGTTGGAATGTATCTGCCACGTCCGGTTTTCAACCATGGTTAGTTATATGTTACTCTATCATATTTCCACTAAGAGAAAGATTTAAAGTTTTAAAATATTGTGAAGATAGAGAGACGAGTAATAAAACAACCAATTCATAACCGTACAATTTATTTTTAATTTTGTAAAATTTTTATTTTCAATCTTAATAATTTATTTTCTTGGTAATTTTTTTGCTCTGACCATCAGACAGATTTAACATCTAATTTATATAATGTAACGTTACGTTTATAACACGCCAAAATATTTTCACATTTACAATATACAATATTAAATTTATTATCCTTCTTTAAAAATAATGTTACACATTGTAATGACTTGTGGATATGGCAACTTTATTAATGTCTTTACTCAATCATTCAATAGCACCGGGTGACGACAAATACATTTGTAATATCCCCTAGACGCCGACATTGCCATCTTAATAACTTATTACTCTTCCTGTTTCGAAATTATTGTCCAGTTTAAATTTTTTATTTTTAATATAAATTAAATTAAAAATAAAAAATAAAAAATAGAAAATAATTTTGAAACAGATATAGTATAAAATTACATTTGGAGAGATTTTACATAATGTAACTTTGCATTATCCCGGTTGGAATATTTCGCATTTATAATGACATGATTTAACCATCCATTAACACATGACATCAGAAATATAATTGTAAAAGTTTAGACTTGACGCCGCTAGCATTACCATTGCCAAATGTTACAAGGATGGCAAGAGCTCTTGTCGTGCAATCTCCGTTATAATGGAACCCAGATATCCCTAGTTTACAATATCATGTTTAATCATCTAATAATGTACATGATTGGTGGCAGTAATTTCAATTGCACAAATCCTTCCCGAGTTTATTACTGCTAGCATTGTCATTGCGAAATAATCATCTACGATTCCATATAAAAATGACTAACTTTGACATCACATTCCCTACTTGAAATTTTTTCCGTCAAAATTATCTGGTTAATGCTTCGGTTTTAATATACTTTAATCAAAGGTGTATCTATGAAGTGTTGAATTAAAGTACAAAATATAGGTGGTAAGTGCATGCGGTTAATGGTTGTTTTTCGTTTGGTCATTCCATAATCGTTTGAATTTTATAGTATAAAAGTTTGGAGGAAAGATATGGTGGTTGTGATGATTTAGTTAGTGAACATATTTAATTGTCTAAACATAGTGATTCTTAAATTACTGATTATTATTACTATTATTGCAACTTCTTGAAGCAAACAAATTTAATATACAAAATCTGTCTCCTTGGCATTAGTTATTTTTATGTAAATTCATATCCAAACATATTCTTTTTCCCGCAAAATATAATCTGTGCTAAGTGCAAACATAACTTGTTTTACTTCGCACGATGGATGCACTGATTATATTCTCTCATTCCCAAATTTTTATAAATTCTTTTAAAAAAAAAATCCGGCACAGTACAAAATATGTTATTAATACACTACCTGTTCATGCCTGTAATTAACGATTTCACTGGTAATCTGGTTGGGGGTTAATTAAAGGGAACAGGGATAAAAGGTGGGTGGTCTTAGAAGTAAATTACACAGAGCAGCTATAAGTCTCTGACATTTCTACTATTAATTTTTTATTTATTTATTATTGTTTTTTTATATTATCTTGTAGTACTAATATAATGAGCTTTTAAGGCAAGCAGATCAACAGGCTTTTCTGTGCCAGAGAAATAAAAACTTGAAAAAGGTTGGGTTTGCTGCCACATATTTCAATCTGGTTGGTTTCCATGGTGGCAATTATTTGTTAATTTATTAATCATTCATTAATTTAATAATCACGAACTTAGATATTCAGTGACATTTGTCCTCATTTCTGCTACCTTTTGATTTGCGGAAGTTTGGACGCCAGGACGTATTTTCTCTTTTCGCGCCAAGAGAATAACTGAATAAGTATGAAGAAAAAAAAACCAGGAGCCTAAAGAAAACCCAGGAAAGAATGACAAAAAAAAAAAAAACCCCAAACTATCATCTCGTTTTTATTGGTCATCTTGTGGTAAGGAGATAGTGTTTCTGACCCTCTTCGATAATTCACATTGTGGAATCAAATTAATTTGTTATAATAAATCACTAAAATGTAACAAAAGAATAACATCGACAAAAGTATAATGAAAGAAGCTCGACAAAAGTAACAAAAGAATAATATCGATAAAAATATCATGAAAAAAACTCGAGACTTCTGCGGATGATATCCCTAATCTACTCACTTCGAACTCAGTAGCTCTCGATGACGGAGGTATCCACAAAACATATAATCTTGACAAAAGAGAAGCTCGACACATAGTTGAATTAAATCGGTAAAGCAAAATTACAAAACTGAACCCGCTCATAGGAACAACAACAGGCTAGAGCAAGACCAAGACCCTAAGGGTGCAAGGCTGACCATTTCTTTTGCCAATTACAAGGCCCAAAACAAGCATGTTTGGACAAAAAATTAAGAAGCCCATAGCTTTTAATCAATCAAAAACTCTCTCAAAGCTAAATCTAGGATTACTGTATTAGTTTGTGCTGTAAAAAGTTCAAATTATTGGGGCGGAATTGGTAACTTTACTTTTTCCATCTTCTCTCCCCCATTTTAATAAAATCATGCACATGGACCAACTGTTTGTCCTTTTCTCTTTTTGTGCTTTTGAACAACATAACATCAGATTATTTTTAAAAAAAATTAAAAAAAAATGAAAAAGAAGAGGGGAAGAAACACCTTTATTACCTAAAATTTCTGCATATTCTTTATTGAGTTTTGAATATTTTTTCCCCCTATTATGTATCATCTTTTGTTTTATGATCACTGTTTCTGTGTGCTAGTTAAGCCACCAGCGAACTTTATGTATCATATATCACAATTTATATTTTCTCCAAATAATAATGCAAGTGACGTTGCGATAAAAAGAAGCAAAGAAAAAAAAAAAAAAGAAGAGATTCTGCTTAGGCTTTGAAAAAAGCAACCTTGATCATGCTCCATCCATCCCCTACGGATACTATTCTATTGAAGCAAAATATACGTCAAAAGACCACCACGGGCCTTCAAATTGTTTTGCATATTGACTAGTGGAGTTTTCGTAGCCATTTACTTCATGTTATTAATTTCCACACCTTGGTGATTGATTACTGCTTCTCCATTTTAAAATTATCTTATATTTATTATATAATATTTTTTTACGCCTAGTCGGGTTAAGGAGTATTGCATTTTCAGCCTATAATCGACAAAGGTTGACTCTGATTTCAATGTGGAAAGATGATGTATGAAGTGCTTGCGCGCAAAAATAAAATTCCAAATGGCATGGATCATTGCTGTTGTGTTTTGGGCAGGTTGTCCATGCACCCTCACCGAGCTTACCTATTTTAAGCATTGATGTTTCATCATAACATCATTTTATACTCATCAAATCAATTTGTTTATTCTCAAACTTGATCATTTATATGATCACTTAGTCTACTTTTATAACTAGATTGAGTATAACTTTGACACACTTATTCACTTATTAGTACATCATCAATCGCTAAGAGAAAAGCAGAAGAAGAGTTTGCCACAAATCGGTCTTCGTTCCATGTTATCTTTGTAATGCATGACGCAAAAGTTGGATTAAAAAAAGGGTCATTACGCTAAGGCAAAGATGTTGCATATGCTTTGTGTTTGCCAATCGGTTTTTCCTACTTTCCTCTTCTTCTTCTTTTTCTTTTTCTTTTTCTTTTACCAGTAAAATAAAGGAGCCATGAGAAAGACGCATATGTAATAAATTTGAATAGAAATTTTATCCAATTACAAAGCCCAAAAAACAAAATAGGTTGTTTATATAAACTTCTAAATTACGAGTGATTTGACTCGAAAATTATAGTACTCACCGATAAAATAATAAATGAATGAATTGACAATGGACTACCCTATATGGCCATATATGAACAATCAGGAAAGCGGTTGTGTATTGCATCACCATTGAGCCATTCCAAAATGAATGAATATTCAGCAATGAAAGCTGATTTATTAAATGTGGACTGAATAAATAAGGAGAACGTTTCCAAATGGCACACTTTCCGTCCGATTTTGGGATATTTCACTTTCAGAATATGCCACGACAAGTGGTGTTTTTTATTGCTCGAATTTGTGCGCTAAGGACTAATGTGGTGTACTTAACTCGGTGGGAAATTGGAAGATGTGGCCGAAGATCTTTTTGGGTCTGGCCCCCACCTGAGTGGTGAGATCATTTTCCTCCCGTTTAAGTTTTCATTAAGCTATTATTAAATTCCCAATCCGAGCGATACCTTAATTTAGCTTTGCATAATTCATCATGGTGTATAACGTATTCATAATATAATCAAGACATTAAAGCTAACTTAAAAAATAGTTTGATAAAAAAGTCATTTAAAGTAATTTAATTGGTAACACGATCGTTACATCAAACTGACGTGCTAATTTTCCAAATCACAAAAACACAATCTTTTGGACGAAAGTTGTTGTCCATCATTTCTTGATCACAAAAAATGGGGAATAATGATTAACGAAGAACCTTAATCTCAACCATTGAAAACGTATTAATACTGTGCTTGTATTCATCCGGAAGTTATAGTCAAATTGAATGGCTAACATCCAAAAGGGCTTCAATTAGGACAACAACATATTTTGTTCAATCTCCAAAAACAAAGTCGCAATTCATTTTCATTTGGTACCATACCACAATGTCTACATTCCTTGATGCCTTCAAGTAAATGACAGAATCTCTGTGCCCACAGGGCCTAATTTGCCTAACCTCCTTCGCATTTATGTTTGCATTAGGCATTAATCCATGAAGAATTTTGCAGAAGTGGACTTTCCAATTACTTGAAGCTTTGACCCTTTTTTCAGTCCCACCACCAGTTGAAACGTGTGATTTCCGAAACGGTAAACGCAAAGAAAATTAAAGAAACATTAATAAAAAGTAGCCTTAATCACTCCAAAAATCTTCCAACCGACAACTTATGAGAATCTTTTTAACACAGACCAACCTGCTGTTTTGCTCATTTACTTGAGTCTTTCGTGTAAGTCGCTCTCTTAACTTTCAATCAAAAACTATAGTGCAATTCCAAGAATTCCCACTCAGACCGTATCATCACTTTGTCTGATTTTTTTTTTTCTTTTCTCCGTCCCACAATTTCCGCCACCAATTTCATAGCCTTATGATTCCAAAACTAATCCCCACAGGTGGTTGGAGTTTTCCCCTGCTCCACCAGTGGGATACTGCTGTTGTAATTATGCACTAAATCCAATGAGATGTACGCAGAGATTCTCTTGGGGGTTAGACAAATGTTTTTGAAGCTCCGATTGGACCTATATAGTCTTTTTGTCATGTTTTCCTTGGTGGGCTCGTGAATTTTTTTCGTTTAGATGATTACATCTTGAGGACTCTCTCTTATTGATCATTTGCATGGCTTCCCACTTTTACTTTACCCTCAAAAGTTGCTTTAGTTCGTTAGATGATAGGTATTTAAGTGAGTTTTTGTGCAGAACAATGTTTAAGTATGGCAATTTCCTGTGGGTTTCCCTATGCAAGTTCATTCTCGGTGTATTTTGGTTGATTGGTAAAGGTATAAGAAGGTAAGAACTGTATTCCTTGGATTCTTTTTCTTTTCTTTTCCTCTTTTAGTTTCCCAAAGTTTACAGCTTCTGATAAGTTAGAGTTGTGGATACTTTTGTTTATGCAGAGGGATGACTGATCATAAGCTTCAAGAGAATAGTTTCAGTTCTGTGGCTAGTAATTCTCAAGAAGATGAACTATTGGTTTCTAAGAGCTCCATGGATTTGTTCTCTGATGTTACCACAGAAAAAGAGTGTTCAAACTTCTCCTTTAGTTTTTTAGGACAGGATTTTAGAGATATTAAACGAATTTCTGCTGAAACAAAGGACTCTGCTTTTGTTAAGACTGACTTCAGTCCCAACGTCCTTAAGTATCAGTTCTCTGCGGGAAACAACGTTTTGGGATTCATGGAAGAGCCACAAACTATGAGTTTTACTGTTCAAGAAATGTTTGTGGGTTCAGTTGATGGAAGAGTTTCACAAAGTGAAGGTCTACATGAACATCACAGGTACTCTGATGTTTCTTCACACGATGATTCTGTTTCCCAGAAAACAGGATTCTGCATCACTGATAATAAAGTTGATGAATCAAGTGTTGAAGAAGGCCAGTATGAACAAGATATGTTGGAGTTTTCTGCTTGGTATCCTCATGAGGAAGAGATTTTGAGGGAGAAAGAAGCTTTTGTTTCATCTGAAAACAAATTCCCTATTCATGAAGAAACAGATGATAATGATGCTTCTTATGAAGAAGATATTTCTTATGAAGTGCAACAACAGCTTCCGAGGCATGAGTTCTCAAGTCCTGATTTAAATCCAGACTCAAAGGGTTCTTCTGATGGAATGATTGAGGTACCTTGTTCCATGATCACTGATGATCTAAAGCCAGAAGTTCATGAAACAGATGGAACTCCACAACAGGTCGTCCATGATAACATATTTACGGATCGAGAATCAAGTGTTAATGAAGACACAGAAGAGGATGCTGATGATGAGTACATTGAGCTGAAGCCTCCATCAAATGATGCAAATGAAGTCACTGAAACGACATGTTTGTCGTGGAAAGATGCAAACTTTGTTGATGTCAAAATCGATAGAGGGAAGGAAACAGAACTAATGGATGAAGAGAGCTTTGTGAAGGGATCAATGGATTCTGATTCTGATGTTGATGAAGATGAGTTTGATATACTACTGGAACATCAGCAGTTAGTGAAACAGATGAAAATGGAAAGGAAAAATTCTATGGTGAAAGGGCTTCCTACAATATCCGAGGAAGAAGAATGTGAAACTCCAAAGATCTTGGAAAGCTTGAAGCCGATAAAAATTGAGGACAAGTTCGAATTCAAAGATGTCATGGAAGAAATCCAGAAGTTCTACAAGAGCTATGCCGAAAAAATGCGGAAATTAGACATCTTGAATTACCAAACCCTGCATGCCATCAGTAAGTCCAAACCAATTACTGCCTTTCTTCTTACTGGTTTCCTGTGATTCTGTTTTAACTCTGCAAGAATTACTGCTTCTGTCTCTATATTTTATATAATTACTTGCTGCTAGAAACTTGATATTTTTGTGGTTCAGAATTCCATGAACTGTTTCAATCAGAGTAGGTTGATAATAAATATTATCAGGGGTTTAATGTGATCAAACATGAATACCATGCTTCCTCACTTGAGATGGTTTATACTACTTTTTTTCCCTGTAATTTTAACCAGCAATAATATTTAGAACTGTAAATGCTACCCCATTCCTGAAGATTTTTTATGGACAAGATCCTGCCGAAAAGGGCACATTGATTGGTGGGTCTCAACTCAAAATTTTTACACCACCAAGATTGCATCCAATGCACAAAGCAGCCTTTTGTTCTTTAATACCCTGGCAGTCATCATATGATTATTTTGTCATCCTTCTGCACATTCAAAAATTTTGTACTAAACAAATTTCCAGTGTGCTAAAGTGACAATTAGGTTGATGACTTTAGTGATAACGATATTGGTGTCTAGTGGTGACCTTTTCTATTGTATGCCCTTTTGTTTTTGCCCCCCCTTTTTTTTTAACATTATTTGTCTCTTCAAGATTAAAGGAGCTAGCTAATTAGTTATTTGTTTATTGATTTAGGTTTCCTTCAGCTCAAGGACTCTCAACTTTTCATGTCTAGTAAAAAAACTTTAATGTCATCTCTCAAGCCCTTTACCTTGCCAAGTTTTTCGGTATTCAAACAACAGAGAATTCATGCTGATCCGGCGCTTAAATCCATCTATGAGATGCATAAAGACCTCGAGTTGGTGTATGTTGGACAGATTTGCCTGTCTTGGGAAATTCTACTTTGGCAGTATGGCAAAGTAAAAGAACTTGTAGCATCACATGGTTCTGAAGATTCTCATTCGTATAACCAAGTTGCCGGAGAATATCAACAGTTTCAAGTACTTTTGCAAAGATTTTTGGAGGACGAGAAATTTCAAGGACCTAGAATCCAACATTATGTCAAAAGCAGATGCTTATTCCGTGGCCTTCTGCAAGTTCCTTGCATTAAAGGTACATAAACTAGCATGGCTAGATTCTAAAGGTCATGCAAAATTGAAATAAAAAATTATGTGTGTTTTGATTGAGCGCAATGGTAACACATGATCCATATAGCCAATGTGAATTAGTTTGATAAAGGCTTAGTTCGTAGTCAATTGTTTCCTAGTCATGCACTGAATTAAAGTTCCTCATGAGTTATTGATTTCGAGTGACGTTTCATTTTCTCTTCAGATGATTGTGCCAAGAACAAGACGGAATTAGTTGGAGAAGAAGTAGGTGCAATATCAATTACCGTGTTGGCAGATACAATCAAAGAAGCAATGCAGACATTCTGGGACTTCATTCATGCTGATAAGGAGGAAGCTAGTGGACTTTTAGGCGAAATTCAGTCGCCAGAAGTTTCTGGGCTGCTTATGAATGTCAAAACATGCCTTGGGAAGGTTAGTTTGTGTACTTGAGTATGGAATCTTCATTTATCGTTTTATGGTTAAATCTGCACAAAATAGCCTTATGATCCATATAACCGACTCACTCACACAGTGACTGATAAAGCTCAGTAGAGTGTTGCTTACTGCTTTTGCTTGTATGGCTATTCTTATTGACGTCTGCTCTAACTTTGCATCTTCGCATACAGAAGGAAAAGAAGATAAAAGAAGTACAAAGAAGCGGAAATTGCATCGTAAAGAAGTTCCAAAAGCATCATCGGAGCCTAAGTACAGCCTTGCTGATCTCTCAAGTGGAACTGAAATTGGTTGCTAGAGTGTTGAACATGTCAAGGTTGACAACAGATTATCTGGTTTGGTGCCAGAAGAAACTGGATAACATTAGTATTGCCAACAGGAAAGTCGGGATTGAGCCGGCGTTTTTGCTCTTTCCGTGCTAAAATTTCCAGTTCTGGTTAGAACTCAAGTAGATTCATTGTAGTAAGATAGAGGTAGTAGAGCAAAATGTACCCTCTTTACTTCACTTTTCAAAGGGGTAAAGCCAGAGGTGTGAATTAGCCAAATAGGTATGCTGGTGAACTTTGTTATTCTGCCGGTTTTAGGCCTTCTAGTTAAGGAGTTACAAATAATAAGCAAGACGCATAAGTCGATGATCTCAAATTTTTTTTTTTTTATTTTTAATTTTTGTTCGTCAATCAATACGCCGCGATAAAATGACACGATGAAATTAGTCGACGAATCTCAATTATAGTGTTTTTTTTTTGGGGGGTTTTGGTTTGAGATTGAAAAAAATTACCAACAAGTGAGTGAAACTCAACTTCACGTTTGATTTTCGACTAGCCTCAATTTATGTTTATTTTAGTTCATTGACTTTGACAGCAAGATGAAAAATCCAATGACCAAAGTGATGGGCCTCAATTAATTCTCAATTTTTTTTTTGTTTCGACTCACGTATTAAAATTAAAAAAAAACTCAAATGACACAAGTCGGTAAACATTATTTATATGTTATTTCTTTTATTAATGATAAAAATCTTGCCAATTAAGTTGATGAAATTCAACTTTACGTTCACTTTCGTTTGTCGAGTTAGACATCAAGATTTCAAAAAAAAGAAAAAGAAAGAAAAGAGACCAACAATCAAAGCCACCAACTTCATTTTCATTGTTGGGTTTTTTTCTTCTTCTTTTTTTTTTTTTTTGGCTTGTTATTAAACCAACAATCATGCTCGTTGACTTAAACATTGAGCTGGCAAACCCGACATTCAAGTCAACTAACATAAAAAAACAAATGTTTGTCAACTTTGACGTCGAGCTGATTAACCCGACACCTAAGTAGACGAACCTCGCTTTTGTGTTCCGAATATGCGATAGAGAGGGGTAGAGAGATCAATGACAAAATCGACGAATGCAAATTTTATTGTTTATTTTTTTTACCTAACTTTATTACCGACATAAAATAAAAAAAATCCAATGGCAAAAAATCGACATTATAATATGCGATAATCCATTCCTTGGTGACATGAAAATTTGGTCTATTTTACTTTTAGAAAACGTAAATTGTTCAACTCTTCATGAAACTTTCTATCAACTTTAGGACAAACTTTTAAGTTGTGACATTTATTATGTTTTTGATTGTATATACTAATTCTTTTAAGCTCGATCCAAAAGTGTCATCAGAGATTTCGTATATTTATTACTCCATCCGTTCTGAAAAAATACTTCACATTGAATTTTAAAATTGTATTATTTTTAGTATAATTATCAAAATTAAGCGGGAACTATTTTTTTTTTTTTTAGCACAGAGTTACTGCTACATCTACATGTTTCCACTAATCATCTTCCACTCAAAATTCAATTTGTATTGTTTCGACTAACTAATCATCTTCCACTAACCAGCTCGTTAATGTTTGACTTCATTCAGAGGAGAAACATTATGAAAATCAAGCAAGATATAAACAGATCAATTTTTGAAAGGCCCACTATTTTATGTCAATTATACAAATAGCCCAATTGTAAAGCCCAAAGATGATAATAAAAGGCGCAAATTTATACTCCAATCTCAGCCGTCAGATCTAGGGCATAACCCACATCGCTAGAGTTTTATATATCTTTTTTCTCTCTCCATTTTAACAAAACCCTACTCCTCTCAACCTCTTACAAAGAAGGAAAAGAAACAGAGACGAGAAGAAAAGGAGGCGGAGATGGTTCAGCGGCTGACCTACCGGAAGCGGCACAGCTATGCCACTAAATCCAACCAGCACCGTATCGTGAAAACCCCTGGTAAGAAGAAAAACCCACCTTCATTTCTTCCCTGAACTCATCATAGATTCAGAACTTAATGTGACTCTGTATGTTTGATTTTTGTTTGTATTGGTGGTCTTTTGTTTTCCGGGGAAGTTAATTTAATGGGTTTTGAATTTAATGGTTGAAAACAGGTGGAAAGCTTGTGTATCAGACCACTAAGAAGAGGGCTAGCGGACCTAAGTGCCCTGTCACTGGCAAGAGGATCCAAGGGGTATGCCTTTTAAACTTTAGCTTTTAGTATAATCTTGTTCTTGTTTAATGCCTATGGAATATTTAGATTATGTTTATATATTGTTTGTAACACGAGAAAAGACCTTAATTAGCAACGATTCTTTCCATTGTTGTCTTAATCTGTGACTCTGACTGGCACATTTACTTAGTTCTATATAAGTTAGGTTTTGCGATAGTATTATCCAGGGAATTGGAAATGTGATTGCTTTAAAAAAATTTAGGTTCCCTGCTGGGACTGGACTGTTTTGATCAGTATTTGTAGGCGTCATATTCTTGGTGGTGATGTTAATATAGACAAGTGCTTATGTGTTTGGCAATTGTTGAAGATGTTTTGATAGATTATGCTAGTCATCTATTCTGTGTTTCCAGCATTTTCAGCGAGTGCAGATAACTGTGTAGGATTTTATGACTTTCTCACAAACAGTCTTAGCTCTCGTAGTTGTGGATTTTGTTGTTCAACTTTATTGCTCTATGCTGCCACTGACATATTTTTGCTCTGTAAGGCCCGTTATAGGCCAGTTTTTGGTCAATCAATGTATAGATTGTGATCAGATCATTCTAGGGGAACTTAGATGAGACACTTGCTGATTTTGTTTGTTATGGTTTTAGATTGATTGTTTTGAGTTGAAGCATTGAACTTGAGATGGGGTCATGTTATGTATTAGAAAATTTCTGGCTGCAGCGATATCACTTAAAGCAAAGATTACTGCCCATGTTTATAGTCATAATGCTATAGGGCCTTCGATAAACACATTACGTTTCAACATATCGTAAATGGTGGTTTATGCACAAATGAAGCAATTTCTAAAATTGGTGCGGTGTGATACTTTCAGATTCCTCATCTCAGACCTGCAGAGTACAAGAGGTCCAGACTTCCTAGAAACCGCAGGACTGTGAACCGTGCTTATGGAGGAGTATTGTCTGGAAGTGCTGTGAGGGAAAGGTAAACTATCCATTGTTCTTTGCATCTGTTTTCATTATATGTGAAAAAGATTTTGCCCTGAGACTGTATTTGATGTGTGGTTTTATTGTAAATTCAGGATCATCAGAGCTTTCCTTGTGGAAGAACAGAAGATTGTGAAGAAGGTATTGAAGATTCAGAAAGCTAAGGAAAAGGCAGCCACCAAGAGCTAAATTAAGAATTATGTATTAATTTTTGACTAGCTCTTGAGTAATTTTTGTGATACACTATGGAGAAAGGAAATCATGGAGAATTGTATTGTGAGGTTAATTAGCTGAAGATATTTGTGTTTTCATCCCAAGTGGTTACTTTCAAGTTGTCAATCGTTAGGATCTTGTTTTATCAGTTCCATGCTGGAATTTGAAATACATTTTGGATATTCTTCATGTTTCCTCTTTTTATCTTTATTCTCTGAATCTTATTTTGAAAGTACTATCTTATGTGGCACTTGATATTATTGTTGTTAAAATTAGCGTATTCTGTGGTTTAAAATGGTGTTTCCTTGTTCTCACGGATTTTCAGTTCCTATAAAGATCTCAGGTATCAAACACAAGGACCTTATTTTGAAAAATTGCTTAGTCAGTGTGAAAACATTTTTCTGATAGAGAATCGGCCTTAGTGATCATGAGTGATTGTCATGAAATACAGGGGATGATTTATCCTTTTGTCCATAATTTAAGTGATGATGTCAAATTAACAAAACACTGATGATGTCAAATTAACAAAACACCCTTGTCCTGTTAACTGAAAATCAGTGAGAATAGGTCAACAGGAAATGCCATTTTACATCACAGAATATACAATGGATCCATGAGCAGAGTTGGGAAAGAAGGTTACGTAACAAAAGTGAGACAAACATCACAGAATATACAATGGATCCATAAGCACAGTTGGGAAAGAAGGTTACAATACAATGGATCCATTTGTTTGGTGATGGCGAAGTTATCTTAATACTCCAAACATGAATATCGTTGGACGCTAATAACTGAGCATCTAACATGATTCGATTGAGAAAACTTTTGCCTAACTGGGCAAGGGCATGTGAGGTCGAGTAGATGACATATCTAACATGATTCAATTGAGAAAATTTTTTGCCTAATTAGGCAAGCGCACCTGAGGTCGAATAGATGACATATTTTGCAGCAAGGAAGAAGCATCCATGATGTTGCTTGAGGTTTCATATATGTCAAAGCTGCAGCATCTGGAAAAATGATTTAATAGTCTCAAGTTGTAAGCACAGAGGAGCAAAACAGATTATCACCAACAAAATTTAAAAAACTCAATTTCACAAACCTACCTCCTGAAAATGAATAATAATAGATTATCAAGAAAAATAAAAAACCTCAATTTCTCAAACCAAATGAATAATAATAGATTATCAAGAAAATTAAAGAAACTCAATTTCTCAAACCTACCTCCTGAACCAATGGAAGGTATGGATTTCTTCAAATGCTCCACCTTCGGTGAGAGAAGCAAGAAGTGGTGTTATCCTCCTTGTTGTAACTAGCAACAAAAATATGAACGCAGGACGGTTAACAGTGGGAGCTATAGTTGGGTCGTTGAAGTAGTGAATAATATAATCTCTAGCAACTATTGGGCTCTGCATAACACCCTCACTTCTAACATAGTTAACCACAGCTTCAAAAGCAGAAGCATGGGATATTTGTTGGAAATATGAAACTTATAGGGATTTCATCATATCTTGAATCCAACGAAAAAATTAATGAGACTCGACTTTTTTCTTATTCGTCGACTTCAACATCAACATATTCAACTCAACGGAAAAGTCGACAGACTTTGATTTATTGTTTGTTTGTATTATTGAGTTTATCGTTGAGATAAATAAACCGACGACCTTGGCAAATCTCAAGGGTATGTTTATCTTAATTCTCCTTCTTAAGTGTCGATAAAAAGACCCCTAACAGAAAGGTCGACGTACTTGAATTTTATGTTTCTTCTTGGTTGAGCCGTCAAGATGAAAATACTAATTAATGATAAGTCAATAAAATTCAACTTTATGTTAATTTTTATCACACCCGACTAAGATAACTTTGTTCTTCATCAATCTACAGGTTTCTCCATTGTTATCAACTAAAACCTCATCTGAGCACTTTCATTTTTCTTTTGATTCTCCTTAACACTAAGATCGTGTACGCCAATTCTTTTTTGTATATGTTAGATTTTATATGTATTTATTATTATCAATTTTTTTTTAATACTGAACTTCTTATTATTCTTTCAAACTTTTTTCTCTTTACTACTAATTGCAAGGACTGATTAAATGAATAACAAATTAAAACTTTCAAATCTTCGAACCACAATATCTCTTGTTAAGTTCTTTCGTCGACTTATGCCTCGATATATTAATTCCGACACAAAAGTCGACGAAAGTCAATTTTAAGTTTTGCTTAAATTTTACTATTATATTTAGATATCAAATAAAAAGGACTAAGTCGCCAAAACTCAACTTGATATTTAAGATTTTCTGTCGATTTATCGAAACAAATTAAGGGCCCATTAACAAAACTTAGTTAATTATGATATGTTTACTACAATCTGGCACCATGGTCGATCGCCAAAACCAAGCCTGATCTGTACTATAGTAATTAACTTGGGCAATAATACAAAGATTCCGATGACTAAGTTGACGTAATAACCGAACCTGATATCTTGTTGGTCAAGTACTTAATTAGGCAGCGATCGAGATATAGAGCCGGACGAATTTTTTTTGGTCCAACAAAATTCGAAAAACTGATGCTATTGGTTTCTTACCACTTCTTCTCTTAAGCAAATCTCTTGAGCTAGCTACTTTTTTTCTTTTTCTTTTTCTTTTTTTTTTTTTAAAGATAAATCATGAAGTTGGGCTTTGAGCAAACTCACAGCTTGAATTTTCATGTTTCAACAGTGCCTAAGATCATGAATCGAACCCATAATTTGATTACTGATGGATGGAGACATTGACTCCATAAAACCTCTAAACTTTAATCACAGAACCCTCTATGCAGCCACAAGTAACTTTATGAATAAAACAAATTTCAACTAAGTAACAAAAGGTAAACTATTTCTCCTGATGAGTAATTACATTACACAAACTAACTTGAAATAATAAAAAGAAGAAAGAAATGTCCATCATTAATTAGTTTAGTGGAATCTCATCAAGTGTAGCACTTGTTAGTAGAAAAACAAGTTGACAAATCACTACTAGGACAAGGGGAGGAATCCCAGAAGAAATTGCACTTCCATGCTGCTGCTGCATCAGCCATACTACTACTACTAGTACCATTATTGAATGGCAAGTTGTAATTAGGATATCCTCCTACAGATTGGATTGTCTCCCATGGCTGCTGATCCCTCAATATTGTTGCCACATTGGGATCATTTCCCAATAACCTTCTTCCTGTTCCTCCTTCTTGATCACCAGGCATTAATGTAGCAGCAGCTGAGAAACTGTGAAAGTTATACTGATCTTCTTCAGACAGTTTATCCTCAAAGTCTCCAAAGATGGATGATGAGGACATGTTTAGTAGCAAGGAAGAAGAGGGATCTTGAGATGTGGGAATATTGTTGGTTTGAAAAGTGGAAGTTATGGGGATTTCATCACATTTTGAAACGGGAAGAAGATGAACAGATGGAGAGGTATAAAAGGGAGAAAAACTAGCCATGGATGATTGTTGTTGTGCATCATTAGCACTAGTTGTAGTAGTATTAGTAGTGTTGCTGGCTCCAAATTGGATTAGTGAACTAACTAAATTGCTGTTTTTGGTAGTTTGTGAAGTGTCATTACTTGAACTGAAAATGCTAGAACTTCTGCCATAAACTAGTTGTGTTTCTAAGTGATCACACGTTGTTGTTGGAGTAATGTTACTAATTTCAGGCAATGAATTAGACACCCAAGATTGAGACAAAGCTCTCTGCGCTGATGAGTTTGCTTTCTTGAAAATCCTACAGATTGCCCATGCATCCTGTGGAAGATAAATAAATAAATTAAAAAAAACAGCCATTATTTTTAAGAAAAACAAATAAAGTATAACAACTAAAGCGATGGGTTTTTTTATTTTCTTTTCCTTCACTTTTGGGGCCATTTTATGACTCACGTGAACCAGTGGCTATTAATATTGTAGAGGCCATCAAATCAACAATCACTCATTTCTATTATCTTGTCAATATTATTATTCCATCATTGGGGTTCCCATATAGCCAAAATATCAGTCAAAGATTAGAAAACAGTAATTTATACTCTATTTGTCTCAAAATTATTATCAGGTTTGGATTTTATTTCTAGTACAATTTGTACTAAACAAAAAAAATTCAAAATGGATTATCATTTTGGACGGAGGGAGAACTACTTACATTGGCAGGAATGTTGTCCTTGTCGATAAATCGCTTGGAAGGACCGGTGTCATGAATGGAAGGTAACCTAAACTCATGCATCATCCAGTCGGTTTTAATCCCTTTTGCAGCTCTGCCCTTGTAGAAAACCAGGGATTTCTTCAACCCTATGCACTTTGAACCTTCAGATGAGTAGATTGGCCGGTCGGTTCCGGTCGCCTTCCAGAATCCAGCTCCGGTTACTCGGTTAGGCCTCGCACTATTTCGATATTTCCGGTCCCTCGGACAGTAGAAATACCATTCTTTTTCTCCAGTTGCTGCCAGCTCTACTTAATTTCCATGACCAAAAAAAGAAAGAAAGAAAGAAAATGCATGTGGTTAGCTTCACAAATATATGAAAACAGAAACCAAACAAAGAAATAACAGATCTAAGAAAATGTATAGCTTGCTTAGCTTTATACAAGAAATGACAAAACTTGCACCCAATGAAAGAGAAGAAAAAACCCTATTAAAGTTTCTTACTTGGAAGATCCCATGGATCGAATTTGTAGATGTCAAGCTGCTTGATAAGTTCAATGGAGAGAGGCCTTTGTTGAATCTTCCTCCTTAAATAAAACCCTACAAGTTCCTCATCAGTTGGATGAAACCTGAAACCTGGCAACATTACTTCATCCATTTTTTCACTCTCATGCCTCTCTTGATCCATTCTTACTTACTCCTATAATAACTTAAATGAATTCTGTGGTTCAAAAATATGTGGTCAAATTCTTACAGCCTCAGCTGCTTAAAGTAGATTGAGTACTTATGAAGTAAAAGGCTTAGAAAATGGAACAAGTAAATATAAAGGGAAACTATAAGCAGTTCAAAGGACTTGTCCAAACAGATAAACACAAAGAAGAGGCTGAGTTTGGTTAAATTTGTCTGAAATTGAAGTCATTATATGCTTCCTGAACAAGGGTCTGGCCCCGAAGTATAAGCCGCCTTTTCTGGTGGACTTTTAAGGGATTCCTCCATTTCAGAAACAAAAAAGATTTTTGGAATAACACTAACCAAGAAAACCCTAAGTCAAGAAAGAAAATTGGAACCGTGTGCTATGTATATGACTCGTATTTTTTTTTAATCTTTTTTTTTTTTTAACTTGAATGTTGTACATATAACTTAGTAATTAATGGTCTCATTGAAAGCTAAATGAAGATGTACTGTATATTTTTGTTGAAGTCCAAATTGAGGAATCTCAAGAACTATTAATTTAACCAAATCAGCCGTTATTGGGATTGTAATTTCACTGTCAATTCTCTAAAGGGTTGTTTTTTAATATATATTGAATTAGTAGCTTGAGAGAAGGACAATGGGAAGTTCCAAATAGAGTGGTTTTTGAGTTTTGGTTTTGAATTCTCATTTGGATATGGACCAAGAAGAAGAAGAAAAACAAATTCCGATGCATTTGGCTCAAAATTATATAATTCAGGGGTTTGAAGTTTCAGAGTCTTACAGAGTTTCTCAAGATCCAAAAATCATCCTATTTCTATTCCATTCCCTCACCTTCTATTCCACTGACTTGTCAGACACTAATCAATATTTATGTCTCTAAAATATTCATTTATCAAGATTCACAGTCAAGATGCTATACAAAGCTAGGCTACCAGCATGTATGTGTACTGTGTGTGTGTGTATATATATATATATATATACTGTATTAATTAATCACCTGTTTGTAAGCTAATTAAAATGTTATTTTTTTTGTCCCATTTTAACATAAAATTCATTTGCTATATTGTTTTAGTTTTTAATAACAAATTGAATTCTCAAAATGGACAATATATTTCCATTTGACCTTTAATTTTATGGCTAGTCTTCATTCAATATTTTGAGATTGGAAACTTTTTACTTAAAAGAAGGTTTTGATCTAGAACTGAAATGTATCATTCATTGTACCTTTGATTGACCATTAATTTGACTTTAAGTTTGTGATGAATGCTGAACAGAAAACTGGATTTGTTGATAATTTGTCTCAATGCCATTGTCTCTGGCGTACTTCCAAAAAACTAAACAGAAAACATGTGCTTTTTTAGTTTAATCCTTTTCTTTCTCATTTAATTTTTATTTTCTCCATTCTGGGGACCAAGCGTATGCTTGTGAATTCCTAATTAGTTCTATTTTTCAAGCAATTATTTCTCTCATAAACTTAATGATATACCACAACAAAACTTTTAAGTCCACTTCTAAGCTTATTTTAAACTTTTAAGCATAAACAGTTTCCTCTCTTTTGTCAACGGAACTACTGCATACATACAAATTAAAAATGACATATACATTTAGTGTTTTTGGATTCTAAAATTGTTGTATAGTTTAGTGTCAACTGGTTATATATATGTACAATCGTCTACTGAACTTTTCAACATTTCTTTTATTTTCTGTTTTTGGGGAAAAGACAGAGGCATGACTTATTACTACAAAATTATCGCATTTACGGGTTTGCTAGTCAGATCACATAATGCTACAATGAAGGTCTAACACTAATTGACTGTATAATTGTGATATCTCAAATGCTCTCATATGTCGCTGCAACAAGAAAATCATTTGCAAAATTTACTTCACTTTAAATGCGTCATATAGTAGAACGTCGGTAAATTAATAACTTCTAACAATTAATAATTTTCTCCGGTTCCAACTTGGGACCAGTACAAAAAATAATAAAAATCGATAAAATGATAAGATAATAATGTTTCAGAAATCCTCTTATATATCAATAGGTCCTAACAATACTATAAATTAATAAATACCCTAAAAATAAAAAAATACTAATTACTATAATTATTTAGTAAAATATGAACTATTAATACATATTTTTTAGTCCATAGAGATGATATAAACTACATTATGGATTTTTATTCAAAATAGTTTTAATATTTGATTGATTTGGATATAAAAACAACTACAAATTAAGTAATTTCGTGACGATTCTTTTTTTTTTCTCATGCAAATTCTTTAAATTAATAATTTATTAATTTATTAATTATTTAATAATTTACTAAATTAATAAATTTTAGTAGTCCCAACACTATTAATTGATAGAAATTCTACGGTATATAGTTCCACAGTCAAGTCTATTTGACAGCAGCTTTCTGACTCTTTTGATCAGTGCCATTTTCAACAGTTCTTTTTACATAGTTTCATTTGGTACATTACCATATACCTTGCATATTATATACATGTAAGAACAAAAAAATTATGAGATAAATGTAACTATTAGGCCGTCTGAGGAATTTATAAACTACTAGCACAAAAGTTTATGTAAGTCTGGATTTTGGCTAGTGGAGTGGTTGATTTCTCTACCTTTTATGATTATTATTATATTACTAATAATTTTTTGAGGAGAAAGCCTTTTGTTTGTGGTCTTCAAATTAAGTGGAAAGAGTCAACTTTCTTGGATTTTGGGGGCTTCGGGAGGAAAAAACCACCCCCTCCATCTCAGCTTGGATTTCCGCAATTTATTACTCCTAGAGAATGCAAAGATAATTGTACACATACACAAAGTTCACATAATGATCCTTGCAAAGAGTTAGAATCTTCAAAGAATTTGAGGAAATTCCTCAGAGAGATATCCATATTTTAAATAAATTTCTCGTACCAAAGTTTGCTAACCATGTCTTCAAAGTGGATAGCAAATGCAGTACCAAGTAGTAAATGGTGACATGATGATTTCTCATAGTCAAATGCCAAAGCTTTCTCTGTTGGGGTTGAGAAAACTTACTTCAAATTTAGTGAAAATAAGAATTTAAAAAAAAAAAAAAAAAAAGCTAACCCCAAAAAACCTACTACTACTTCGTCTAAAACCCTCGTTTGAAACCCTTTTTGTCTGGTGTTTGACCTTGGGTTTTGCTTCCCATGCGTGCAACCATTTTTAAAAAAAATTCAAATATAAGAATGTGTGGAACTCTTCAAAATTCCCAAGCATCCAAGGCCATCATTTTACTAGCCACTTCATTCTGTTTGTGTACATTACATACATATATATATCTGGGATTGGTGAATTGTATGGATGGACATGCATATTCAGCATTCTTTCCAAGTGTTCTTGATTTCAGTGTGCACTGCACATCACTAGATCGCACGTGTGCGGACATGGTCAAATCTTACCCTTTCTAAAAACCGATTCTCAAAACGTTAAGGGGCCGAACAGCTCAACTATACATTAGTCAGAAAGGTTCGAATCTTCAACTGTTGGAGTTTATTATATTTTTCATTAATTTTGAATCATCGACTTCCTGTTGTACCCACCAAAAATAATAGAATTGGTACTAAAACACAAGGACTAATCTGACTACTTGTTCATTAGGTATGATTCTTAACACTCCTTGAAACAAATTCACAACGTAAAACTCATTCTGCCACAAGCAGTTAATAGGAGTCGGTTTAGATATGCGAGATTCAAAATCTTGACGATAACACTATTGATATGAGGCTTCTTCTGGGGTGATTTACATACTTTGATACAGTTTCTTGGGAGCAAGGGAAAGGAAATGCCTTTGAATGAGCATTACTTTGGAGAGTGTATAGTAGACAGCTTTTCCTAAAACACCTAAACCAATTACAATGGGATACAGGGGAAAGGGGTGTTCTTTTTGGCAGCATTGTCTACTCGGAGATGAACTTCTATAACCCCATCCACTGACTGATAGGTGGAGGGTTCATTTGACACAAACTTTCCCAACAGAGCAGTAGAATTATTCGATCAAGATCCTTGTATCATTTCTTTGATGTCATAACCCTGAAGCTGCAGCCAAAACAAATCAAATGAAGTTTTTTCAGGTTTAATTAGGAGCGATCAGTGACAAGAAATCGACCACACAATATTGGCAGAGAAGATACATACTGACTGATAGAATCCAACAGAATAGGGTAGGCTACTCCCCGCAATATGCAACTTGATACATATTGAAATACAAGTCTTTGTGAGCATTTTAAAATCAACTTACCTGAAGAAAGGTGAGAAGCAGAATAACTCCAGAATTCCAAAGAGAATGTATGGTTATTGGAGTGACAAGGTTGCGTGTTTGAGCATAAGAAAATCCCAAAGCGGTCCCTACACAACACAACAATAATCAGATAATACATAGATTGAACCGGTCATGAGCAGAATAGAATGCCATCTATGCAATATACAACACGTAAGTACTTTGTGTGATTCCTTTTGCTTTTGCCGTAGGTGCCAATTGTGCTACTCATTCAATTTTTAATAGTTACTACCCTACAGAAGCTTTGGCGAGAAAATTAAGTTACAAAGAAAATTCTGGCATTGATATCATGCTGTACATTAAAGTTCAAAATGCTATGTTCACCAGTACTCGACCAATTTCAGAAGACAAAATATTTCCACATCAAGTACTTTACATCACCTTTTTGGACTTTTCACATGCAATATTGAACTTGCGGGAAACATTTGATTCTTAATCTGCGTGGAGAAAGATTACCAAGTACAAACAGCTGAGGAAATTCTCCAGGGGTGAGATGAGCAAATGCAAAAACCGCTGCAGTAATGAGGATAGCAGTTGGTGTAGGCAGCCTGCAAAAGAAGGGATCAAGATCGAGGGATTTCATTTAATGATAATGCACATAAAACCAAGCAATAAGTAATTATACATTCTCTACTATTATTTCCACATCTAAGAAGTGAAGTGAGAATATCGAGCCCAACGTTGGAGCTTGTGTATTGTAATATGAGAGCTCTGAAAGTTCTTATCATTTGAACTGTACCAATATATTCCAGATTATAAAAAGATCTGTGAAAAAGACATACCATTTAGTTAGATATACCATAAGGAACCCCCTAAACACAGTCTCCTCAAGAAGTGGGGCAAGAACGCCAGTGATGCCGACCAGGCATGCAGTGCTGGATCGGACATGAAGAACAACTCAACATTTTTTCAACAAATTGAAAATAAGCACAACTATAATCACTGTAGCAAAACCAACAAACTTATTTTCCTACAGATACCTGGTACTTGAGGATCCAATCAACGGAAGCAAGCGAACTAAAGCATCTGTCTGCAAAGGAAAAAATTAGATCTTGTCATGGAGAAGGGAGAGAAAGGAAAGTAATAGCCAAGGGGGCATAATCCAGGTTGATTTGCTTCAATATAATGTCTGGAAATTCAGTGAACTCAATCAGCGATCATTCATCAACTTTAGATATGATTTGGAATTAACGTATGAAAAATATTTTATTTGCTTCACATGTGAGGCAGAGAATTTCATTAAGCCTGCCTCTGGAGAAATAGAAAAGTTCAATAGACAAATGTATGACCTAATTCAACTTAAAATTTAAACCTTACAGGAGGGAATAATTCAATTGATTGAGTTAAAAATAGGGTAGATACAATTGCAAGCAAGTCAGAAATGGGGAAGCTTTACTCCAAAACAAAATTCAAATTTCAAGCAAAGTAAGTTGACACAGAAAAGGGAAACCACTAAAGGTCTGTATTCCTCCCATTTTCCTATGTGCCTCAACCACAAAGGAGCAGAAGAACAATCCTCGTGTCCACATCCATTTCTTTCAAGAGAAAATTCAGTGACTCATAAAAAGCACCTAATTCTTTAATCAATGAGGACCAGAAGTTTAGATAGTTTTACAAGATGAAATCTAACCTCTCTCTGGGGAGATTCACCATTAAAGAATGAAACTGCAGTACCAGTTAGCACAATAGCAATAATAGCTCCAACAAGACCAATTCCAGCCCACAACAACCATCCTGACTGGAGATCGAAAGGTTTTCTCAAATCTGATACAAAAAGTTCAACAAAACACAGTTAGGACCAAAAATGAAACCACACAATTTTGCAGAATTGTTGAAGCACTGAAAGATAAGTAAAGGTACGCACGGAGGCACATAATGATTTTAGTGAAAATAACAAAATCCTACATATGAAACGATGATAACATAATAACAAATGTACTTCGTTATAAACAGTACCATAGCGAAACACATCCTCGGGAAGTGGACCAAACGACTTGGTGAGCCCAAATAGAACTGCAAGCACAGCGGCAGTAGCAATACTGAGAACACGACAAGTTAGCATAGCCAAAAGGACGTTTCAAATATCAATAAGTATGACATCTAGTGCAAGAGTAGATTCATACGCTTGGTCCACAAACAACAATTCTGCCTTCTCATCCAAACTCAATTCTTCAATATGGATTTTGAGATACGGTATTGCTGCTGCCTCAATCAGTCCTGTCAAAACAAAACTGCCTGGGAAATTATTAGTTTCATACTGACATCAGTTCTGGGCTCTAAGATAAACAGAAACAACCAAAATAAGCTTTTTACCAAAAAGAAAAATGGCCTTCATATTTTGCAATTGACATGACTCCATGAGACACAAAAAAAATTACACACAACATATAGGAAAGAAAACTGCGGCAACATTACTTGATAACTATACATTTATACTACATTCTGCATCTAGGAACACAAACCTGATTAAAACAATAATAGACCCTGGAATAAAGAAACAATAAATAACAGGTTCTCCAATTCCTGTCTTACTGGTACACCCTCAAAAGTAATAATAAAAAAAAAGAGTACAAAATCAACACAAGAGTAATGAGTATTCACCTCAAGCCACAAGCCAGAGAGGTCAATGTAGCTGACTGCCACTTCCAAGGGACATCCCATCGTCTTAGAACTGGCCAGTCCAATCCGCCCTCCTGAAGACCATCCACAAATGAAACATTACACAGTAGTAACATGTAAACCACAACTTCCAGTAATCCAAGAAAAACAGGGCTGATGACTAGTAGGTGGCATCAAAACCACAAGTGGATAAGTTATTAATGAAAACCAGATATTCACTTCATAATGCAACATTATGAGGTAGGAAATAGAACAACTAACTACATGAAATATCATGTCACCCCCATTCGAAGAAAGCGAAAGAGAAAGAACGGAGGGGATAACACACAACAAAGTCTAGTAGTCATTGTTAAGAAGAATCCAACAAAAAACAAAATCATTTCAATCAAAGTCTTATAATTAGTACATTTGTTGCTTCAGTCTTTCAACTTATGATTTTCAGAAGTATTTCGAAGTAAATAGCAGTATCAACCAGGAAAACCCCATTACTCAAGTTTGGTCATTGGTATATACAGAAAACACAAAAAATAAGAAAGTGCCAAAGCAATCATAATTTGAGTAATAAAACAAAAGGCCATTAGCAAGATTCTCACATTCTGCTCAGAATCTTCACCCGAGAAGAAGCAAATGCAGTATTGCCCTCTACTTCGACATGGGTTTCGAGCCGGAGTCCTAAAATTGACAGACTTGGGAAATGGGCTTAGCCGGCGAAAAGAGGAAAAACCACCAAAATTATGAACATGATTGGGAAGTAATGGAGGGATGGGAGATGATTTTCGTGAACTGCTGTGAATCTTCAACGGAAGAGATAGCATGGAAAGGGATGACATAATTACTTTTTGAGTCGCCCAACTGAGGATGAAGAATGAACAGTTAACTGCTCCAAATTCTTTGAAGCTGCAGATAAGCTCGGGGCCTCAGAGAAGAAAAGTTTTTAAAATCACATCTACTTACCAGATGTTTGTGGAAATTGCCAATCGGACTCCAAAGTTTCAGAAACTATTGATATTATACCTTATTGATTAGCTAACTTTCATCAACATTTAAATGTACATTACAGATTCGACTATTTGAGATCTTATTTTGTGATAAACTGTAACTGCTTATCATAATTTTAACAATAAGTCTAATTGTAATACTCCCTCCGTTCCATAATTATTGTCTATTCAGGTTTTTTATTTTTAGTTCAAAATGTACTAAAACTGAAATCTCAAACTGGACAATAATTTTAGTACAGAGGGAGTATATGTTTTTTTTAACTGGATCTATTTTATGTCAATCGTTACAATTTTTTTCATTTTTTTTTTTAAAAAGAGGTCTTTGGTGATTATATTATTTGCTTGCATTTATCGAATACCATTTGCCAAGCGCAGCATCTCACAATCAAATCTTTTTGCCATTAAAAGAAAAAAAAAATCTCAACTAGATTGATTAATCTAAATTCTACCCCAAAGATAAATTAAGGGCATGCTGCATTTTTTGGTCTTGGAATACTTTGTTACCATAAATAGTGATACGCTATACAACTCAGGTAACTCTTGGGCAGATATTTTGTCCATAAAATTTTATCTCTTCGTCAATTACATCCACATGTCTCTACCCAAGTATTGATCATTTAACAATGTTTAAGTGAAAATATAGTATGCTTATGTTGAAATTAAGAGTGGTTTTGATCACTATTAAAACCCGATCTATCATTTACTTCAGCCGAACCATAACATTCTGTTCGTTTATCTATATCTACAAAATTTTTAGTACAATTAAGTCAATTATAACATGTACAAAGTACTACAAACTAACGAGAAGTAGAGAAAACGACATTAGAGGACGTCGAAACTCGAAAGGATTAAGCTCTAGTCTTTTGACCCAACATATTTAATGTTGGTGACCGCTGAGCTAATCTCAGTAGTTTATAGTATATTTGTACATATTCCACGATTACTTGCAAGGAAATAAATGGATTATTTGGGAAATGTGGAAAAACTTTAATTGATAAAGAAGATTAAGAGGGTATCTATTATATAGTATACAACAAACCCTCACTTGTAACGTGTTCGTTAATCGTGAGGAAGTTCCTGTCATGACCGTGAGAAGTCTCTCCTCGTAGCCTCCGTTAACCGATTTTACGTATTATTTATTGTCCTTGATTTTCATGCTCAATTATTTTGAGCTTTCTCAAATTAATTAATGTATTACTACTTGAATGTTAATTAATTTTATTTCATTAATCTTATTGATTTAGACTTAAATAATTATCAAGCAGGCCCTAAACCTGATATATTCTCAGGTTTTGTTGTCGTTTCTTGATTTGTTCTTAATCACACATTCATGATCAGGTTTTGCTAGTTGTTGTCTGTTGATGCATATGCTAGTCTAGACAATGTGCAAGCTCTTGAAAACGAAAACTATATATATACTCCATACATCTCTTGCATATCCACATTTTTGTGTGCATCAATGCAATAAGAATAACGAAAATCACCTTTGTGACCTAGTAAATTTAGAATATTACAGCGTGCAACGGTTATATGTAGTATTTTAATTACTCATTTAAAATGTTGATCAATTAGTAGTTGCCTTTGAGAGTTAAGCAATCGATGTCACTCTGACCTTACAGGGTACCATAATACATCTTCAACAACTAACGTGGTCTCACAAAAAAAAAAAAAAAAGAAAAGAAAACGTAATATCAAAATCTCCTGCTAATTAAATTGAGCAGCGACCAAAACTGAAATCAAGTTAAGGTTGACCAAAACTCACCATAACCTAAAAGCTTTGTATATTGGATTTAGAGCATAGCCAAAGACACTAAATATATAGACTGTGTGGATTTGCGCTCCAAGATCATCGCATGAGTACTACTTACAGTATCATTGATTCCTCTACACACAATCCTCGACGTCCCTCTCTGATCATTTTCTTCAATTCTCCATATTCTGAAACTATCATCTCCTGTAGTTAAGCTCGAGAGAAATGGGTTCCACGCCTAACATGGAATTCGACTCATCCAAGCCACAAACTAACGTGGACAACTTGTGTGACGGCCCGAAATTCAAGCGCAAACTAAAATGAGCTTAAAATCAAGAGCGGCTCGTCGATCGATCTCTCGCTTAAGGTGTTTGTGGAACAAAACAAACTATAATACATCATTATGATCTAATCTACGTTAGTGAAATTATCTACTAAATTTACATAAAAATTAGCCTTCTTTCAAAATGGAAATTATTACAACCTTTATATACATTAAATTGTACTCCCAAAACTCTACGCTTAGAAAATTTACGAGGCAAATTCCATGTGTCATCTTCGCGCTCTTCATGCAGCAATCAAGATCACCTATTAAACCTGGGACGGGTAGGTAACATACATGTAGGGAATGACTTAGTGCTCAGTGGGGTTCTCTCTGACCTATACCCTATCTACCTATACAACATACAATTCATGCGCTTTTTTTTTTTTTTTGGGTAGATCACCTATTCATGCGCATTCAATTCGTTCACAGAACATCCACAAAAGTACATTCAAAATAAAACTCCATGTAAATACATCATTATCATCATTTAAGTTCACCGAAACATTTAGTCAATATATAACTCCATAAACATTAAGTTGGGCATTACCATCATATTAACACATTGAAACATTCATTGACCCGGTCAGGGCTACCATTCAAATAGTGAAAGGATACAGGTACATAGTGAGGGATCGCTATACGCCTATATGGTGTTTGAAGTGAGAATCCCAAATCATAGGTTAACATTTTACCGTCATTGATATTGCTGTCTCTGACATTACCATTTCATTTCATTATTACATTACATTTGTGGACAACAATAGCACTACCATTCCAACCTTATTTCCTCCGTGGCCAACCAATAGTACCACCTTAGATACTCATGAGCACCAATACAGGCCGAGACGGCTAACCATAATGTCCAAGCCCAATGCCTGGCTTCGCACAAACTAAGGCAATAGACCCAGGCTTCGAGTAACGTTAGTTAACTCGAGCAACATGCACAAAACATTATCATGCAACCAATCACCAGTACATTTGATCAGGGTGGTAAAGTACACCCCTTGACATTAACCATATTATCACAGTTCACTCTAACACATTGGTACAATCAATAATACCTTCTCAGACTAACACATTGGCGCATACATTCAGATTGTCACTGTTGCTCATTGACATCAAATAATCATATTATCACTCAAGCACATCGATACAATTATGTCACAGATCTTTCAATCATTAAGCACATAACATTTATCCCGTAGTGATAAAGTACACTAGGGATCATAAAGTAACTTGCATTCGTTCATTTGATCAATCATAATACCAACAATACTAAAAGTATGTGAGGCTTCATTAAAGCATATAGACTCTTTCACATTTACAAGCACAATAAAAGGAGATAATCACATGCAAGTCCCAGATATTCCCAAGTTTCAAAATGCCGTTTCAAGAGGGATCATTTTTGCAGCTCATAGACTTACTTTGTATACCTTAAAGAACAGAGGAATAAGCGAAGAAGTTTCATTAGCAAATAGTTTTAGATTGAAGGAGAAATCGCGTTTTAAAGTTAGCCTTTCAAATTCCAGTTCTGAATTTTCAGAACTAAGGTGATTACGTGATCATTTTCAAAGTATATTTTTGCACAACTCATTTGTTATTTCTACAACCTATCAAAACAACATTGAACCTCAATAAAGGGAGAGGAGTTTTGCCAAAAGAAATTAGAGGAAAAGGTTCAGAATTTAAGTCAAACGAGCCTCCCAAAACAGTAGCTTGAATCAAATGTTTCCAGACAGAAAATTACAGAGTTGACAACTCAAGTTCTAACTTATTTTCTAGACAAACTGTAAGTCCATTTAACAATCCATAAAACCTGCATTAAAGTTCACTAAATGTAGAAGAGTTTTCTAAAAAGAAATTCTGAAAAAGAGCTTAAGACCTGAGAGAAACAAGCATGCAAACAGAGGGACTCAAACTGATTTTTCTGCAACTTTCAGCAACGATAATGTCATGTTCAAATCTGATTTCCAGACAAATTAAAAGTCCGTTTTTAAAATCCGTAAAACCCACATCAAAGTATACTGAACAAAAACAATTCCAAAAAAAGAAAATTCGAAAAAGAGTTCAAGACCTAGGAGAAAAAGGCCTGATAACAGAAGGTATCTACTCTGAAGTTTCTGTATTTTTCAGCAACGATACTGTCTTGTTCAAATTAGATTTTTCGGCAACCTACGAGTTCATTTTATTATCTGTAAAGACCACATTAAACTAGAGTAAACATAGAAAACATTCATATAAAGAAATCTCAGAAAAGAACTCGAGAGATAGGGGAAATAAGTCATTCAACAGGTTTGTTGAAAACTGATTTTCCTGCGTTTTCGAAAATACAATGTAACCGTATCTCATTTTAAGCATGTACAATCTTGCAAACCAACCATGACTCCTTGTTCACTTATTATTCATTTTCCGTAAACAATTTTCAGCAACTAACATAGCATGCAATCCATGAACCAAAGGTTTAGCTACATGACATGGTTCACTCTATTTCCTTTCACAGTTCCCTTCTCCACAAATTCAACCGCAACGCGACAACATATCAGTGACTTCATGCATTTTCCTCTGTTTTATGCAAGCTCATTTCTCGCATGGTAATTAACCTCACTGACAAGAGTTTACGGGGTAAAATCAAAAGAATACAGTTTCCAGTTATTGTTTGCTTTGCAATGACTATAAATAAGAGTCAATGTCAATCACTTGCAAATTTTAGTTTAAACTTAAAAGACATTCTGTTTCATTCATTGTCAGTTGTACGTCGCCTTATCTAAAGAGAAATCAAGAAAGCGATTAAAAGTTCTCATTTGTGATAAGAGTAAAGAATTTGGATGCTTGACGGCTAATGTATTCAACAAAGAAGCATTGGATAAAGTGTGATTGAGAATATTTTCTTTATTAACTTCTTTGACACTCTATTTATGTTTTTGGGATACACCATTTAAAGTTTTTTTAATTTTTATATATTTGCACAATTTAAAAGAAATTATTTCTCACCTTTTTTAACATCTTTAAATTACGTCACACCCTTTTTTCACCAATTGTTGTATTTCGTTTGTATAAAATTATATTTTGCATAAATTGATTGGAAAAACTTCACAACCCGTCCACCGGACGGGTCACCTACTAGTAATTTATATATACTTCCTAATAGAACTAATTGTATATATTCCATGATTACTCGCTCGGAAATAAAAGGATTATTTGGAGGTGTGGAAAACGTTAGCTGATTATAAGAAGATTATGAGGTTATTTTATTACGTCATTGTGAGGTTATATATAACTATTTCTCAATTATAAGGTCATTGTGAGTAGAAAAATTCTTTTCATGTTTTTTTTTTGTGTATATTTACAGGGTGTCCACCGTTGGCAACAGTGATTAATCCTCCTCACTGAATTGTAGGCACCTCAATGGGTGAGACAGTTGGCCAAAGTATTTAAAATTGCTCCATATCCATGGCGAGGTTCGAACCCTCGATCTATGGTTAAGGATGGAGGAGTCCCTTACACTCCACCACAACCACTTTGGTTAAATTCTCATCATGTTGGTGAGAAGTCACTCCCACGTAGCCTCCATTTACGTATTATTTATTGTCCTTGAATTTCATGCTCAATTATTCTGACCTTTCTCAAACTAATTAAGATATTAATTGAATATTAATTAACTATATTTCGTTAATCTTGTCGACTTAGCTGGATATACTTTGTCAGATTTTGCTGCCGGCTATTGTTTAGTTCTTAGTCCCACATTCATGATCAGGTTTTCCTAGTTGTCGTTGATGCTAGTCTAGACAATGTTTCCAAGCTTTTGAAAAAGAAAACTATTCCATACATCTCTTACGCATTTTCTGTGCATTTATGCAATAAGAATAACGAAAAATAAGATTTGTGACCTCGTAATTTTAGGATGTTGTAGTAAGCAACAGTTACATGTAATATTTAATTACTCGTTTAAAATCCTGAGAAACACCTTATTGATATTTCATTGAATGTTTGATTAGTAGTTGATTTTCAGAAGTTAAAAGCAATCGGTGTTACTCTGATGTAACCTATGTTTTGAAAACCGGAACGAAAGGCGAACCGACAACTTAAGTGGTCCACTAATTTACTAGTTCAACCGGTTTAAATCAGCTTTTAAAATTGATAAAAATCGGCTATAAAATTATTAAAAAAATAATTAATTTTTAAAATTTCGGTTTAACCGATACTAATTCTCGATTAAACTGTGGTTTTGTCCGAGTTAGACCGAGTTTGACCGATTTTTATGTCTATCAGTTATTAATCCAAACCAGACCGAAAAGATCACCGATTCCCGATCAAACCGGTTCGACCAATCCGATCCGGTTTTCAAAACACAAGATGTAACAAGTTAATATATCTTCAACACCTAACGTAATATCGAAATCTCCTGCTAATTAGAAATGAGCAGCCATCAAACACGGACAATTAGCAAAAGCATGCACATTATTTTTATACATATCAATTTCAAAGGTCTAAGATTTGACAATTTGGTTAGTTGGAGTTGAATTCAGGAATTGCAAAATAGGAGTACCTAAGGTTGAGGCGAACGTGCTACTCCCTGCGAGTTCATATGTGGCATTAATTGATACATCAATAATACAAATTTAAGAGTACTGTAAACTCTTTATTAACATGGTACCCCTGGGAGAATAACATTTTTTTTTTCATTATTATCCACATTCAAAAAGTGGAAAAGGCCGAGATCATCTTATGATGACCCCCTTATGATAACAATGAAATCTAGGGTCCGGGCTGGATTCTTTAAGAATTTTCTTCTGCTAGGGTTGAAATTCAGTTCAGCTCGTCTAATGATAAGAAAAAGGAAGATTAATGATAAGAACGTTGGCTGGCTGGCAGGCAGGTATTGCTTTCCTCGTAATTTCGAAGGAATTTAAATACATCCTCCCCTCTTCCCCACCCCATAAAAACAATAATGTTTAACGTTAATAATGCATTAACCATTATCCTTATTTTACCATAAATAAACAATAAATGATTAGCTCCGTAGTGGGTTGTCAAACTAACAAAAATAAAAGAACCTACTCCTAAAAAATTTAGTAGTATAGCAATGAGTGGGGTCGTCTCCTCAGGGAGCAAGGAAGTGAAAATATTTCTAATCAAAAGCAAAGTAACTAAATGAGAGAGATTTTGGATTTGTAACTAATGAATAATAAAAATAATTTGCAAGCAATAAAAGATACTTTTGAAAAATCAATAATAAAAGCAACTCTAGTCAAAGGAATAATTTCCACCTTGATGTATCCAACTGATCATTGATGCAAAGATTAACTCAACAAATGATGAATATATTAGTTTTCGTTGTTGTAACCTCCTAACAACTCAGTCTTTTTATTTAACTACCAGTGACTAGGAAACCTTCATTAATCACTCTATAGCCAAAAAAAACACTACCTGGAACCTCCTAGGATTTAGTTTTTGACAACCAAAGACCCAATTCAATTTCTAACAAACAAACCTTGTTTCATTAAAAATTGATTATTTATTCTCACAATACAAGTAAACTACTTACCAAGTAATTATTTGCATTGTCTCTTCTAAGGAACAAACAAACCTTGTTGTTCAATAAATTACATTATCTAGGAGAATTGAATGCTACCAGCTATTCAAATAATGTTAAATAATCATCAATACACATCAAAGAGAATAAATAAATACTCAAAATTCGTTGGTGAAAAACAAACAGTTAGATCTCACAATTGAATAACATCAAGACTTCAATAAAATCCTTTAACTAGAAAAGAGGTTTAGTTGCTAATCATGGTGAAATAAACAACACAAGAATTGATGTTTGACATTAAAGAGCTAAAACTGACGAAAACGGAGAGAAATCCGTGTCCTGAGCTCCAACCGTCGCTCCCTGTGTTGTGCCTCTTCTCCTCTCTTTCTTAATAATAAGAAAAAGACTATTCATATGCAAATTTAGGGTATCCCCACGTTCAGCCCGTTCAGAAATCGCAGCAACCAATTAAAGTTTTCAGAATTTGCAAATTGGTCCCTGAAGTTTTCCAAAATTACAAATTGACCTCAAAACTCTAGAAATTTTACATTTTAGTCCCTATTACAGCGTGCCCACGCGGGGATACAACATTGTTGCTGGAATTTCCTGTTTTCTTTATTGCTTTTGGCATGGATTTTGTGTGCTCACGCGGGTCAACCACTTTTTCTCCAACTTGAAACTTGATTCAATAAAACCTTCAAAATCAACACTTTTCTTCTTTTTGTTCCAAATCCTTCCTATGATCAAATTAAGAACCAAAACACTAATATTAGCATAGATAATATTCAAAACAACACATAAACCACCACAAATATCATGTTAATATTAACATTATCACTCCGCATGATACATTCTTAAACAAATCTAACAGAATGGACTGGATTTACATGTGACAATTAAATCAGGTTAAGGTTGACCAAAACTCACCATAACATAAAATTATATATTATTGGATCTAGAGCATTGCCAAAGACACTATATATACAGAATGTGTTTTAGCTCTCCAAGATCATCGCATAAGTACGTCTTTCGGTACAACATATATCTCTATCATTTATTCATTTATTCCTCTACACAATATTATCGTCCCCCTCTGATCAATTTCTTCAATTCTGAGAAATGGGTTCCTTACCCAACGCCAAATTCAATTCATCCAAGCCACAAATTAACGTGGACAACTTGGGCGAAATCCACGACGATTCCATTGTCCCGCCAGTCCTGATCGGCCCTGATGGCACATTAGGCCAGTACTTAGCCCGCAGGCTGGTCGAAATCGGAGTCAACGACATCTTTACGGTGCCGGGAGACTCCAACCTGACCCTTCTCGACTACCTCATAGCCGAACCGGGGCTTAACAACATCGGATGCTGTAACGAGCTCAATGCGGGCTACGCCGCGGATGGCTTCGCGAGGCACCGCGGGGTCGGTGTATGCGTAGTCTCATTCACAGTTGGTGGGCTTAGCCTCATCAATGCCATTGCTGGAGCATACAGTGATAATCTTCCCGTGATCTGTATCGTGGGAGGACCTAACAGTAATGATTATGGAAGTGACAAGATTCTTCATCATACTATTGGTCTTCCCGATTTCAGCCAAGAACTTAGATGTTTTCAGCCTGTCACTTGCCATCAGGTAAATTCATTCAATCAATCACTTGATAGAATTTTGATTTATTTATCCATAATATATATTGATGCATGAGTTTAATGGTTTGATCTGTAGTAATAGTACTTGTGATAATTTATTATGGTACCTAGGCGGTGGTGAATAACTTAGAAAATGCACAAGAACTCATTGATAGAGCCATCTCCACCGCGCTGCAAGAAAGCCTACCTGTCTACATCAGCATAAGCTGCAACTTGGCCGCCATCCCTCATCCAACATTTCAGGCCAAACCCGTCCCATTTTCGCTCTCACCAAGGTATATATATTACAACTTGTTTAATCAGATTGATTTGTAGATATCATCCTTCATTGAAATTTTTTACACTGATACTTTTTTACGAAATGAAAATGATATGTGCAGTAAAAATATAATATGATAGTAAATTATGTAAAACCCTTAAAATATACAACTGTCTTTTGTTAATAGATACTCCATCGTCCCGAAATTGTTGTCTTGTTTAGATTTTTATTATTAATTCAGTTTGTACTAAAAGTGAAATCTAAACTAGACAATAATTTTGGAACAGAGGGAATACATAGTTATTCTGATTAGAAGTTAGTAATTTAATTTTTTTTTTATAGTATTTATATTTTTTCACAGGACGTATCAGTGCTTTTAGCAAACAATAATAATGATGATGATAATAATAATAATTTGATCGCCCAAATGAATTGATCAGATTGAGCAACAAGTTGGGACTCGAGGCTGCCGTAGAAGCAGCAGCAACATTCCTAAACAAGGCCGTAAAGCCGGTGATGATCGGAGGTCCAAAGCTCAGAGTTGCAAAATCAAGCGAAGCGTTTCTTAAATTGGCCGACGCATGCGGTTATCCCGTCTCCATAATGTCGTCGGCAAAGGGTCTCGTGCCGGAAAACCACCCTCACTTCATAGGTGCTTATTGGGGTTCCATAAGCACCCCATGTTGCCGGGAAATTGTGGAATCAGCCGATGCGTACATAATCGCGGGCCCGGTTTTCAGTGAATTCAATACGGTTGGGTATTCACTGCTTCTCAAAACCGGAAAAGCCATCATCGTGCATCCTGATCGGGTTGTGATTGGAAATGGCCCCGGTTTTGGATGCGTTCTCATGAAAGATTTCCTTGAAAAATTGGGTAACAAGATTATATACAATAACTCCGCCTATGAAAACTACCAAAGGATATTTGTTCCTTCTGGGATTCCAATTAAAAGTAAGCCTAACACGCTGATTAGGGTTAATATACTCTATGACCACATTCAAAAGATGCTTTCTAGACAAACCGTTGTGATTGCTGACGCCGGAGATTCATGGTTCAACTGCCATAGGCTTAAATTGCCACAGGGCTGTGGGTGAGTCTGTGTCACTTAATTATTTAGCTCGAAAAATTTTAATTTGTCTACAATCTTATTTGTACGCAGGGTGTAACAATCGTCACATCTGAATAATTTAATTTATTTCTCTCCCTTCATTGTAGATTTGAGTTTCAATTGCAGTATTGCTCCATTGGATGGTCCATCGGTGCCACGCTAGGGTACGCTCAATCGGCACCTGAAAAACGTGTTATTGCTTGTATCGGTGATGGGAGTTTTCAGGTTTTTTTTTTTCTTGAGTTTAAAAAATTAAATAAAAATAAAATCTCAGGGTTTTATATTATTATAACTTTTACTTAAAGAGTATTAATTCATATGAATTGACGGGTGTTCTAGATGACTGCTCAAGATGTGTCAACGATGATAAGAAATAACCAAAACAACATTATTTTTGTGATCAACAATGGAGGATACACCATAGAGGTGGAAATCCATGACGGGCCGTACAACGTGATCAAGAACTGGGATTACACCGGAGTTGTGGACGCATTTTGCAATGGCAAAGGCAAATGTTGGACTGCAAAGGTACGGACTGAAGAGGAGCTGATTCAGGCAATTAAGACAGCAACAGGGGACAAGAAAGATTCTCTGTGCTTCATCGAAGTGTTGACTCACAGGGATGATACCAGCACAGAGTTGCTTGAATTTACTTCCAGAGTGGCAGCTGCCAATGGTCGTCCTCCAAGTCATCACTAGTGGGGCCCGCGTCATGATAAAAGTAAAAAGTAAATCGAATTGTATGACTGTACATTGTTCATTCGTAATTTCCTATGGTTTCATTTATAAGTTTTTTCCCGCATTGAAGCGTATGCTTTTATTCTTTTTTTTTTTAATTATAAAATTCTTTGCACCAATTTTTTTCTTTTTCAATTTTGTTCTAAATTTGGACTAGAAGTATATGTTTCAAAAAAATGAAAAATACGTCTTAGGAAATAGAACAAAATAATAAAACTACCAAATTCGAAATTTTCAAACAACTCATTAATATTCTCATATACATGTGACTGAGTGAAAAAAAAAAATAGTAAAAACAAAAAAAAAATGCACCTCAAATCAAATTAATTTGACTTCATATTCAAAATTAATTGTAGTTGGTGCGGTTCAAGTTCAACATGAATGACACAACTTTGATTCCACAATGTGACACATAATAGTTAAAACACCACATTAACGCAAGAGATAAATATATGTGGTCTTTCTCTTTTTTTAAAAAAGAAAAAACAAAAAATTTCATACTGAATGAAACATAAATTCTGTTATCTCCATACTTAAGCTGTATCATATTAACAAGATTAGCATATGTCCAGAAACAAACATCAACTAAGATGCACATTGCCAAAGAACTACGTACTTTACTCCAGAGACATCAATCTTGCCCCAATCAGGCATAACATACCCAATATAATCTCAATGAATTCCGCAGGGGCCTGGTGTCAAGTGCACGCATACAACTTTATAGTACTATTGCATTTAGATACAAAGAGTCTGCCTTTACAATGACCGAAAATGTGTTGTTGCATATATTTGATGTATTTATTTTGGTGAAAGGAGGGAAATTTAATCTGGTGGCGAAAAAGGAATAGGTGTAACATAAATGGAATATCATGAAGTAGAAATAGTTGATGACTAACAAATGGATCAAATTAACTCTATACCATTCCATCAGAACATGAACTGGTTGAGCTGACTTTCATTGAAATTGATATTGGATACATTCCATGGTTGAACATGTGCAATCAAATATTTTAACTTCTTAACTAATCCCGTTAAGTTCTTGAATATAATTCTTAATGCACAATTCCTAGCTGGGTCGCTAAATAATTCCGCTTGTTACAAATATTTTAAGTGAAATTAAGAATCTCTATGCCTAGTTGTTGAAGGAAATTAAATCTTCGTGAAACTCACTGTATGTTAGGTATATAATATACTCTTTTTATCACGTATAATAATTATTCTATATATTGTACTTTTTCTATTGTTTATCGTAGTATAATGAGTAAAACAGTTATTCCGGGATAGAAGGAATTTGCAAGTTTGCTTCTGAAAAAGTTCAAGCACTGTTTGTTGCGTTGCTCAATAACATGTGCTAATATCAATAATTTGATGAATGATGAGGTTATAATTCAAAATTAAAATTACAATTATTCAATCGTTTGGCTATCACTTTGGAGAGGAATGTGTATTAGTTGGCAAATCGTTACCAATTATTTTCGCCATAACTACGATCACGATAAAATTATAAGTTTACAATAATGTGGCTATCATTATTATGAATACAATAAAATTTAGATCAAATATTTTCTCACTTATACCGTGTTAATTAAATACAACTTCTAATCCCTGAATAGTCACAATCATATATATTCCACGAATCCATGTTTCGCATTATTTATTGCCCCTCGAATTTCATGCACAATGATGCCCAAAATAACATAGTATTCTTCATTGATTAGTAGTAATCATTAACTTAATTATGATTAAGGACGAATTTCCATCCTTGATATTTGCACATGTCGATTTTTCAACGCTTTCAGGTCAAGTTACGAATTCCATGGAATTCACGATCCAAATATCAGTGTCATTATTGTTGTAGTATCAAGTTGAACCATTATTAAACAACTAAATAGAGGAAGTTGTGATTCTTTTTCTTCTTCAAAACACCATATTCCTTCCATCTATTTTTTTTAAAAAAAAAAAGTTGACACTGAGTTTTTAAATTTGTATTAAAATAATATAAATTAAAAAAAATATGAACTATTTTTCTAAGACGGGGTAATAGTATTTACAAGTGCTACCAAATTGATGTGTGAGCATGAGACGATAGTTTACTAATTCTTATTTAGTGAACCCGCAATTCCAATCAACTCAATTCAACATTCTTCTGGTGGAATATTTTTGAAACATTAGAATATTAGATTAGAGCTATGCGTGGTTGACTAGTAATTCCAATCATCACATGAGCACGAAGTATTACTAGCTATACTAGTTTTAGTATAGTATTACATGCTATAATAGTCAAACTTAATGAAATGAAATATTAACCAATTCGAATACTCCAACCCAACCCATTGATGCTATATATATTCCTCTGAATTACATTCATAAATCACACGAACAACACATATCTAGCTCTTCCTCATTACAATTCATAATTTTCTCCCATTTTCAGTTGGCTTTTGCAATAATATTCAAAATGTATAGCGATGCCATGGAAGCTGCATTAATTTCAGCCAAACCACAGACCAACAAAGTCGACGACTATTTTCCTGATGAAAACTCAAACTCCCATGCTCCATCAGTTGTTGTTCCCGGCCCTGATGGCACATTAGGCCAATACTTAGCCCGGAGGCTGGTCGAAATCGGAGTTAACGACATCTTTACGGTGCCTGGAGACTCTAATCTCATACTTCTCGATTACCTCATCGCTGAGCCAGGGCTCAACAACATCGGATGCTGTAACGAGCTGAATGCCGGGTATGCTGCGGATGGTTACGCGAGGCATCGTGGGGTTGGTGCCTGCGCCGTTACATTTAACGTCGGCGGGCTTAGCCTGATTAATGCGATTGCTGGAGCTTATAGTGATCATCTTCCCGTGATTTGCATTGTGGGAGGACCTAACAGTAATGATTATGGGAGTAATCGGATTCTTCATCATACTATTGGTCTTCCTGATTTTAGCCAAGAACTAAGATGCTTTCAGCCAGTTACTTGCTATCAGGTAATCATATCGTTTACCTCATGATTTTCTTCATATATTCGTAACAAATAATAAGTATTCCCTCCATCCCAAAGTTATTGTCCAGTTTGGGTTTTCACTTTTAGACAATAATTTTGGGACAGTACTAAAAGTGAAAACCCAAACTGGTTAATGACTTTGGGACGGGGAAATACTATAATTCTTCTTATTTGAATTTAGTTGTTTTGTTTATATTAGGCGGTTGTGAATAACTTGGAGGATGCACAAGAACAAATTGACAGAGCCATTTCCGCTGCATTAACAGAAAGCCTGCCTGTGTACATTAGCATCAGTAGCAACTTGGCTGCCATTCCTCATCCAACATTTAAGGCAAAACCCATCCCACTTTCGATCTCATCAAGGTTAATTATGTTTGTTATAGATTAATTAATACCATCTTCCCTAAAAATTTGGACAAAATTCTTACTTGAACAAATATATTCTATAAAACGGTCAGATTGAGCAACAAGTTGGGACTTGAGGCCGCAGTGGAAGCTGCAGCAGCGTTTTTAGACAAGGCCGTGAAGCCGGTGATGATAGGAGGCCCGAAACTCCGACCGGCGAAAGCTTGCGACGCGTTTATGAAATTGGCCGACGCTTGCGGTTTTCCCATCTCAATAATGCCATCAGCAAAGGGGCTCATCCCAGAAAACCATCCTCATTTCATCGGTACTTATTGGGGTTGCATTAGTACGGCGTTTTGTTGCGAAATCGTGGAGTCGGCGGATGCTTATATATTCGTCGGGCCGGTTTTCAGTGACTTCAGTACAGTAGGATATTCGTTACTACTGAAAAAGGAGAAGGCCATTATCGTGCTGCCTGATCGGGTTGTTATAGGAAACGGCCCTGCTTTTGGATGCGTGCTCATGAAGGATTTTCTTCATGAATTGGCTAAGAAGATTAAGAAGAACAACACTGCACATGAGAATTACCGAAGGATCTTTGTACCTGTTGGTGTTCCTCTCAAGAGCGAGCCCAATTCTCCGATAAGAGTGAACACTCTGTTTTTCCATATTCAGAATTTGCTGTCTAGTCAAACAAGTGTTATTGCTGACACAGGGGATTCCTGGTTCAATTGTCAGAAGCTCAAATTACCAGAAGGCTGTGGGTAAGTAATATTCAATTGATGATATATGCATTTATTTTATAGCTTCTCTTTTCCTTGACTAAATGAAAGACGGTAATTGAATAGGTACGAATTCCAATTGCAATATGGCTCAATTGGATGGTCTGTTGGAGCAACTCTAGGATATGCCCAATCTGCAGCACCTGAAAGGCGTGTTATTGCTTGCATTGGTGATGGAAGTTTTCAGGTAACCGCTCAAGATGTGTCAACAATGATAAGAAATAACCAAAAATCCATCATTTTCCTGATTAACAATGGAGGGTACACCATAGAAGTTGAAATCCATGATGGGCCGTACAATGTGATCAAGAACTGGGATTACACAACTATTGTGAATGGATTTTGCAATGGGGAAGGCAATTGTTGGACTGCAAAGGTACGGACGGAAGAGGAGCTGATTCAGGCAATTCAAATGGCAACAGGGGAAAAGAAAGATTCTCTGTGCTTCATCGAAGTGATTACTCACAAGGATGATACCAGCAAAGAGCTGCTGGAATTTGGATCCAGACTTGCATCTGCCAATGGCCGGTTTCCGAATCCTCCGGAGCCAAGAATGTGATCACCAGTCAATAAACATCGGACCCATTGGATCATTACAAAGTCTTGTTCAGCAGATTTGTGTCTTGGAGAGGGAGTTATGTTCTGCATCAAAATGTTATTGTTGTTTCTTGAGTTTTTGATGAAAGTGTATTTTTATAATGATGAAGCTTTAAATGTCTTCACAAATATATATCGGTATTGAATTTATTTCCTATTGAAGTTCAATGTGTTTGTTGTTTACTACTGCAACCCCCGACGACGCAAATTGTGTACTAAATTTGAATTTATTCACATAGCATGGGATTGCTAACGTTACCAAATGAAAAAGGAGAAAAGAATAATTTTTTCGTGATTACCACTTAATAATTCCTTAAAGTTAAACGTTATCAAATAATAATGTAATTTTACTGTTGATTTTTTGGTCTCACTGGCAGCAGCGAATTTAGGGGGTCTAATACGACTGGATTCACATCCATTAGGCATTATAAATTGGTTTAATCATGATATTAAGATTGTTTATTTCGAAATATTGTTGCATAATTTTTCGAAGTTATAAAAATACAAGGAGTCCAATCATGGGCCACAAATGGATAACATTATACCGTGCTAAAATTGGGTTAAATGAGAGGTATGCGGCTAGCATGATCCAATTGTTTGCATATAAGCTGACCCAGATCAAATATTTGCAAGCTGGAATCTACTACCTCAAGCACACAAATCACTTCAGAATTACTATATTAGTACTCTAAGGAAGCTTTTGAGTCCTTGACAAATGATGAGGTTGAAGTTGCAAATAGCAATGTCTTTTTTAGAATTAGAGGGTTACTCAACTTCAATTCAATTGGCGTTAACGTTCCCCGCCAACAGAATAGGATAGTGGATGCATTAGCAAAATTTGGATTCTCTTGTCCGACAGGACTACATATTTTGTCAACACTTCTTTCTAAGATTATCAATAGTCTAGAAGTAGATAGGCGACCAACTAAAGGGATATTTTGTACTTGTCTACGGCTTATAGAAGTATATTAGCACTTGTTTTTTTCTTTTTTTTTTTCATTTGCATAACTTTTATGCATTTGTATAACTTTTGGTATGCTAATGAGTAGAAAAGGAAAGTGTTAGGGAATTAATTAGTTTTACTACTTGTGTCATATGCCATTATTGTATTTGGGTCTCTTTAGGATTTGAATCATGCCCGACGGTTTGAGCTCTAGGCTCTGCTGCGAGGTTGATGGTTCAGTGCTAATGTATATCTGTTTGTACTTTGTATTTTTTCCTTGGAGTAGCGCGGGACCAATCCTCCTTACTATATTACTAGTACTCCTCGGATTGAATTAATTAATTTTGATAAAGGTACGAGGGGAATGCGCTTATGCATGTCAATATAAAATTGTATATCTTGAATTAAACTAGTGTTAGTACTGGGATCGTAGCTTCACACCCTCCCCTGTCGGTAGGGGGGCAAGAATTTTCTCTTGTTTATTGTTGTGGTTAAACAATTTTATTCACAAAATGACAGATCTATAAGTTCTATACCGGTATACCGAACCGCAGTCCACACATTACCTTTTTAAATATCCTTTGTTCCGTCAATTTTAAAGAAGCCATTTGGCAAATAGTGTTGCATCCAAGTTTCAACCCCCAAAAAATCAAACCGAAAATGGGTACTTCGTGTAAAAAGACTAGTCCGAACTAATACAATATCATAATAAATAGTACTACCTTCTTTTCATAATGTAAATCCACTTTGAATGGTACAAATATTAAGAGTTAATAGTTAGTAAAGATAAAAGGTCCACTTTAATCTTAATTGATCAGAATAATTACTACTCAACCTCAAAAACTATTATAGACACAAAGATAATTTAGATAAAATAAACTAAATTATGCATTGGGAATTTAAAATACTACAAAATAGACTTATATTTTGACACTAAATAAAAACTGGACTCACATTGTGAAGATGAAGTAGTATAAATTATTTGCAATAGTAGCTAAATCCACTTGGTGAAATTTCTGTCACAATTCTTTACGACAAAATAATCATTCAAGATGACAAATCCACTTATCAACACGCTCAATCATATATCTATTTTCCTCATCATTCCTAGCCTTTTCAATTCTAAAATTGCGGTGATGTATTTTCTTTCTGTGTATCATCAGCTAAACATGAAAACTACCCTCGGTCCCTTACTAGAGATAGCCATTCATAAATGATACATTTGAGTTCCATATCCAGTTCGGACTGCCTATTTCAGTACTGCACAAAAGGGGCAATTGTTGTGTTGATTTAACCGAGTTTTACTAACATTTGGATTAGTACTGGGATGCTGAAATGAACACCACCGAAATAAGAAAATATATGTAGAGACTATTTCAGATTAACGTCCACGATTTGACCCATAACTCATTAAACACCATTATTATCTGTCTATTCGTTGAACACGATCCACTATTTGTTGAATTAACTCACGGTTATAAATTACTCAATTCGAATACATCGAGTTTGAATCGCAACAATTTCATTTGCAATTGTAATAAATATTGAAACACTTTATATATCCCATGATTAATAAGAGTACATAATTTTAAAATAAATTAATAAGAATCTGCTGAAGGTTGATGAAAGGTTATATCATGAACTCGCATTCTAACAAATAAATATAATAAACATAACAATGCTGTACGTTTATAATTTCTTCATTAACCACCCATAATCAATAATACTAATTTGTTCAACTTTCACATCGAAACAGCATGAATTAAAAGAGCTAGTTAGCTATCACATTTACAAAAGACAAATTTAATTTCCTCATAGTTTTCTTCTTAATGCTCTAGGTAGTGGATCAAACTCAAAGTTGGAAAATTCCACGATATCGCAAACACCGACTGGATCAAGTCAGAGAAGCATCAACGTCACTTCCCCATTGTTGATAAGTTTGTTTATGCCTATCACTATCAATCAACGACGTACTTTCATCAAATTCTCTACTCACCAACTCAAGGTGATGACCACTCCCAAAACATGTATGGACCATCATAACTACTTCCTTAATTAATAGACGAGGGGACTTAATCAGGGACTTCGAGTCTCTAATACTAGTAGTACTATTTTATTTTGGGCTAAATAAATATACTTCCACTTTTCCAAAATTCCAAGATGAATAGTGTTTGTTTGGATAAACACTCATTTTACATTTTAACTCATTTTAACTCTTAAATACAAAATCCAATGAAAAAGAAAACATCATCCAAATAACTTTCTGATTTATATTTTAAATTCCAACTTGAAACACTTTTTGTTAGTGTAATGACCTTTTAGAACTACAAATAGTTCAGTGACAAATTTGGCAGGATTCCGTTGTCGAGTGATTGTTTTTAGAAAAGTTTTTTTTTGCAGTGACTATAATTGACAGTATTTAATTGTTTAGTGATGACTCGTACTTGATATTTTCAAAATATAGTTCAAAATATTATTTTCAAAACCAACATCTAAACAACTTTTTGCTCAAAATATCACCCAGACAACATTTTCATTTCCCATTTAGTTTTTAACTTGAAACACTTTCCACTTTTAAATGGCAAAATGAAATGTAAGATGACATTCAAACACCCTTACAATCATTTTATGACACCTGTGGTATTCTTGTTTATCTCTATTTGATTGTCACCAATGAATCTCCCAAATAACTTATCTAAGTATTATTAAATATTATTCATTCTGTCTCAAAAAAATAATTTAGTTTACATGGGTTTATAATCACTAATAGAAATAAAGAAATTTAAATTTTAAAATTCTTGTTTTGGAACGAAAAGAAGAGTAACATCGAGGACTAGATGTTAGTATGTTACCAATGTGTGATATTTTTGCTGACTTTGTGGGTTGTGGTGATCTCAATTTAACACACACATGGGGGGTGATCAGTGGTCTTACTCTTCTTCCCTGAAACCATGGAAACAAGAGTGTCGGTTCCATGCAAAAGAGTAGCTTCTACAATGTTTTCCAAATTCCCATTTGGCGTGTGGGGTCCAAGCCCAACAAAGTCAAAATTCCGATCGATCTGAGTCTGACCAAAAACCCTTATTTTAATTTTAGACCCAATCTGAACGTGAATGGGGGTGTCAGTCGCTATTTTTCTCACTTTGGGTTTAATTAATTGGATGCAGCTAATTATTAATACTACTACCATCTTATTTGCAGCTCTTTTTCTTGCTTTACAGCTTCCGAGATGAAGATATTTCAGTATGGGGTGCCATAATTCTTTTAAAGTAGTACTATATGAATGACAGTTTTTTTTTTTTTTGAGACAAATGAATGACTCTCTTTTTTCTTTCTCTTTAACTTTTCCCAGGCTAAGAGATCTAGCTAAAAATGTTACCATTAGGTTAAGATTTATTTCCCGATAAGCAGAGTACCATTCAATCTTTAATAATTCAATTAGAATATCGATCTGTAACTGTGTTTTTTTTTCGTGATTTACTAGTATTTTTATTTTTAAAAGAAAAAAAGTTATCGTATATCTATAGTACTTAATTAAAACAGCAAACAAAAAGGACATGTGTCAGCACCACAATGGAAATTTTTCCGCCAAAAGTCATTTTCAGTACAAAATCATTTTTGACACGTGGCACTCTAACTAATCAGAAAAAAAATGGAATAGATAAATACATAAATCCCTTAATTATAGCTATATAAAAATTTCTTAATTATAAGTATATACTAATCCCTTAAAACGACAATATTTAGTTGATAAAATCAAATGTAAGAAAATTTCCTTAAAACAAGTGAAACACCCGTAATGTCTTTCCAATCCCCAATTTCAAAGGATTTCTTCATTCCGCTCCTCTTTCACACCGGCCTACAAATCAATTATTTAAAATCTGACATCAATTATCAATACATCTCTTTCTATAACAGAGAAAAATAAGCTGTCATGATAGAAATTTGATTTTTTAAGGATGATTTTTTTATTCTACTGTTGTAGATATTGGTTTATGATTTATGTAAACTCAGGCATAAGTTAACTGTTGTAAATTATATATTGTAAATCTGGGCATAGATATATGTGTAATAACTCACTTTCTGTCCTTACAATCGATTTTTTATTCTTCTATTTTTTTTTATTCTTTTAAGAATGATTCGTATTTTTTATTTAATCGATTTAAAAATACAAGCGACACCTTGGACATTCGCCCGAGCAAGCATCTAGTTATTTATGAATTATTCAACTATTCTGTTTTCGTTATCGTCTATCATTTTATGTCATCACTATGGAAACAATACGAGCAAGTTATATATTGTTCGATTTTTCACTAATGCCCTGAAACTCTTGTATAAATTAACAAGAAGGCCCGTATTTGAAACAACAATTAATTTCGAAACACTCCTATTCATTAATTTTTTTTTTTCAAACAAAAGTGCACTGTTTTTTCCTCATTCTTTATTCGGTAAAGAAAACAAAAAAAGTCCGTCCAACCCTAGATTTTTCACACTTTAAGAAACAGCTAAACCCCTAAATAACTTTACCTCATTCAATAATTATCATCTCTATTTCCACTATGGAGTTTTGCGCTCGATTGGCTTGGTCTTTACTCCTTGTAGTAGACCTAATAAAAGCTAATAAAATGCCATAAATAATCATAAGTAAAGAAAACGGGGGGACGACAATGTCTTGGGTGGGATTACGGGTTTTGATTAATTGCTAGAAAGAACGAGCATTTATTTTTACTAAAAAAACATAAAAGCGTTTTGAGCTTCACTTTTGTCGTACGATATTTTAGTGCGTGTCTGTATGAGAGAGATAGAGAGAAAAACAGACAGACGGGATTCGTTTATTCCGAATACCGTGTGGTGGGTCGATGAATCATTTGAGTCCTTTTTTTCCCTAATAAAAACTCGCCAATCGTCTCTTATTTTTATTTTATTTTTTATTTTTATTTTTATATACTCCACTCTGCTTATTACTATATCGGAGGAGGATAGGGGGCTATCACCTGCAGATTCATACGTGTATATATAAATATATAAACTCTGTCTTTTTAGAATTGCATTGATTCAGAGTTTATACCCCTTTTTCTTTTTCTTCTTCCAAGATCGGAACTTTATAGTCTCTGAAAGTTCTGCTGCTGCCCATCTGAGTCCTCTCATGGTTCGCTCAGATTTAGCATCTTCAGTTGTGGGCTTTTTATAGTTTCATTGGTAAAAACCAGAATCGGAGTGCTCAGATCGTGACAGAAAGCTCTGATCTTGGTTTGATTGGTATGTTTAATTTGAACCCTTTTTCTAGCTGATCTGTTTGTACCCCTTCTCGATTATTTCATGGCTTGATTGATTTGATTTGTTTCTTTTCCTTTAAGAGTGGAGGTGAGGCTGATTTAAGTTCAGTGCTGAATGTTAATAGAGAAGGACAATTTCTTTTAAAAAAAGCTTTCTTTTTCAATACTTTTGACATCGTTTGATTTGATTTACTTGCTCAAATGTGATTACTGTTGTGTTTATTGATTTTCCATTGGGTTTACAACTTGATTAATTGTTTTTTTTTTTAAACTGTGATTCGTTGCTGATCACTTTCCTCTGAAGTAGTGGAGAAGGAGGACTGTGCTTTTTTTGCTGACTTAAATGTTCTTCGACGCGCCATTAAATGTACTCACGTGAACAAATCTAAGAATGGTTTTGGTGGGAGCTGCTGTGGTCCAATACTTTAGTTTAATTATTGTGATGTGTGCAAAGTTCTCTCTTAATAATATGCTCCGTCTCTGTTTCCTGATCTATGTTCTGTTGAAGTTTCAATTTTTTTCCTGATCTAGTGGGGGTTGATATTAAGCTTGAGCTTTTCAATCTGCTTTGATGTGGACCTTTTAGATTTGTTTTCTGCTTAATCAGAGGTTTGCTCAACATACTCTTTTGATGATAGCCCTACACTGATTCCCACTTGTGATTCGATCTGGTTTTAGTTTCATTCACTGAAAACCAAAGATAAAGAGCAAAATTTGATCTTTGCACTTTAATTGATTTTCCTCAGTAGTCCTTTTCTTCACATTGCATGAATGACACATTAGATGCTGTCACATGTTTACCTCACTTTTTTGCTCACCTATGTTCTTATTGTTCCAGGGCCTAATGGCAAACAAACTAACTGCCGGGGATAGTAGGACTAGGAGTTCTGTATCAATTTTCATAGTAGCTGGTCTGTGCTGTTTCTTCTATTTGCTAGGGGCATGGCAGAGGAGCGGGTTTGGCAAGGGAGACAGTATAGCTGTGGAGATGACTAAGAGCAATGCTGCCTGTAATGTCATTCCAAACCTTAATTTTGAAACACATCATGGAGGTGGTGCTGGTATGATTGACGATTCGAACTCAAATGTAAAAGCATTTGAGCCATGTGATGCTAAATACACTGATTATACTCCATGCCAAGATCAAGCTCGTGCTATGAAATTCCCTAGGGAAAACATGAACTACAGAGAAAGGCACTGTGTTCCTGAAGAAGAGAAGTTGCATTGCCTTATTCCAGCTCCTAATGGATATGTAACTCCGTTTAGGTGGCCTAAGAGTCGAGATTATGTTCCTTATGCCAATGCACCATATAAGAGTTTGACTGTCGAGAAAGCTATTCAGAATTGGATTCAGTATGAGGGGAATGTGTTTAGATTCCCTGGTGGGGGTACTCAGTTTCCTCAGGGTGCAGACAAATATATTGATCAACTTGCTTCTGTGATACCTATTGATAATGGAACTGTTCGAACTGCTTTGGACACCGGTTGTGGGGTATGCTAATTGTTGTATATAATTTACAGAGTTGATTTCTGCCTCCCTAGTATTATTCAGTTTGGTTTCTTAAAAGAGGCTTTTATATTATCGATGTACAGCTCCTAAGAGTAATTCACTTATTTCAGGTTGCAAGCTGGGGAGCATATCTCTGGAAGAGAAAAGTTATAGCCATGTCATTTGCACCAAGAGATTCACATGAAGCACAGGTTCAGTTTGCTCTGGAAAGAGGTGTTCCTGCTGTTATTGGTGTTCTTGGAACCATAAAAATGCCGTATCCCGCTAGAGCCTTCGATATGGCCCATTGTTCCCGTTGCCTGATTCCCTGGGGAAGCAATGGTGAGGATTTTTACAAAGACACGGCCTTTTGGCCTTTGGTGCATAAATTGAATACCTCTTTTTGATTTTTGCCAATAGTAGTTTATTCATATGCATCATCCCTTGACCTTTGCAGATGGTATGTACATGAAGGAAGTTGATCGGGTCCTCAGACCAGGTGGCTTTTGGGTCCTCTCTGGTCCTCCGATCAACTGGAAGACTAACTTTAAGGCATGGCAGCGCCCTAGAGAGGAGCTTGAGGAAGAACAAAGAAAGATTGAGGAAACTGCTAAGCTTCTCTGCTGGAAAAAGATATCTGAGAAAGCTGAAACCGCAATCTGGCAGAAACGATTAGATTCTGATACTTGTCGTGCTGAACAAGAAAATTCTGGTGTTGAATTCTGCAAAGCCTCAGATCCGGATGATGTTTGGTACATTTTCCTCTCCTCAAGCACATCTGTTGCGATGCTGTTTAACTCTTTAAGGGCTAAACTAAGTCTATGGTGCAGAAAACAGCATCTTTACTCCTTTGTTGTGATTCGTGATTCTCAAAAACCATAGATTTTAGAAGTTCTTACTGTCATAATTTTTTGAATTGTCTGTCACACTAGCGAGCTGCATAATCATATTTTAGATCCAAGTTCATTTCATGTAATAAAAATTTATTTGTATGATGACCAGGTACAAAAAGATGGAAGGATGTGTAACTCCATATTCGAGTGAGAAGAGTGAAGAAGTCCCTAATGTTAAGCCCTTTCCTGAGAGGCTGTATGCTGTTCCTCCCAGAATTGAGAATGGATTAATTCCCGGAGTCTCTGCCGAATCATACCGCGAGGACAATAAACAGTGGAAAAAGCATGTAAGCTACTATAAAAGAATCAACAGCATTCTTGATTCTGGAAGGTATCGCAATATCATGGACATGAATGCTGGATTGGGAAGTTTTGCAGCTGCACTCGAATCTCCCAAGCTGTGGGTTATGAATGTCGTGCCTACAATAGCTGAGAAGAGCACTCTTGGTGCTGTTTACGAACGAGGAATGATAGGCATCTATCATGATTGGTATTATTTCTGCTCCTCTCTACTTTTTGAATACTGTACATTGACTTGATTAGTGATTTCTCCGGTTAAATTTATTTTAAAAATTCTTTCCTAGAGCTTCACAACAATAAGATGGCAATTATTATTTAGTGGTTCTCGTTTTATAAGTACTGCTTACTTTCTGCAGGTGTGAAGGCTTCTCCACATACCCAAGGACATACGATCTCATCCATGCCAATGGTCTTTTCAGTTTATACAAGGACAAGTGAGTTTCCTTATTGTTACTTGCAGTTCTTTTAGTTTATAAAATATTTCTCTGCATTTATATGAAGCAAAGCATCATGAGCTGTTGGTAGATTTTTTTAAATGAATGCTCTTTTAATGGCTAAATTACTGTTTTATTTGTTAAGAGAAGATAGAACACTTACTGGAATAATTTATCCAAATACATAGTACCTGTGTGGTTTTATAAAGCTATAACGATTTTTTTGTTGTTTTCTTGTTTTCTTCATGCCGACTATAAGTCTTAAAGGTGGCATGAGGCATGAGCTACAGTTTCTGTTGTAATGAAGCTATATTACTTTGACTTGATTACCTGAAAAGACGGGATGATCTGACTGGGTAAATTGGGAAATTGAAGCTTCACCATCCTTCACCACTAGTTGATCCTCTGAAATTCAATGTTCAATAGCAGTTTAAAGTTAATAAATTCGATGATCATCGTATTCAGTAAATGCAATCCCCTGTTCTCTTGTCATTCAAAAGAAAACATCCACTCATAGTTTGTAATTAAATGTATTTAGGTGCAACTTGGAAGATATCCTTTTGGAGATGGACCGGATTTTGAGGCCCGAAGGGACTGTTATCATTCGCGATGAAGTTGATGTGCTTAACAAGGTGCAGAAAATAGTCGCAGGCTTGAGGTGGAACTTCAAATTGTCAGACCATGAGGATGGCCCCCTTGTTCCTGAGAAAGTTCTGTTTGCAGTGAAACAGTATTGGGTCACGGGAGGAAACAACTCCACTGATTCAGAGTGAATTCAGCAAATTAAAGGTATGACAAACTGCGACGAATGTGGATAAGAAATTCTTCTGACCGTCGTGAACCCCATTGGGTCAACCCACCTCGCTTTCCCACGAAAGATTTTTGCTGGTGAGAAGTTAACCACGGGAAAAAGAGACTGTTTTCTGTAAGTTAAGAGTATTAGTGGATGTTTGAAGTAGATCATGCACGTTAGTTCTGTATTTTGTAACATTTGTTTTATTTATATTCATTTACACTTATTGGACTCGTTTTACGTTTGTTAACAAAAACACAGTGGCGTAACTAATATGAAGAAATGATGTTTGTTTCGGCACTAGAGACTGTCTTAACTTCACCTCAAGTTTTGACTTTTGTCAACGTGGGAAATTTCCCTAGTCTTATTAGAGTTGTCCATGTTCAAGGAAAACTGCTCTTTACTACTTTTTGTGCTGTAAAATTGGCTTTCTAACTCTACATCATCGATCTAAGTTCCAACCAGTAAGATGATTACTGGATAATTGATATATAAAATAGCTCCAGCTTGCCCTTTGGCTGATCTAATCTACCTCCATCACATAACGAGTTGGATCCTCTCTTTGTTTTTGTTCTTTTCCCCAATAAATGCATAAACTTGTCTTCATATGCCAAGACTTGTTTAGAAATCAATCAAACAAATGGAAAGCGAAGTTTTGAGAACTACGTAACAACAATGATTAGACAACACAAATTGATGAACATTCCAAGGATTGTCAGCTTAGCTCGGAACACTTCTTATTTTGTGTGGCTGTTGCTGCAGTTTTCATCGTGTCAAGTGTGCAATTTGATGCATTCAATCGGCAAAGTTTTGTTCAAATTGGCCACCTTAGTAGTACTACCTTCTTTCCCAGTAAGCTTTACCTGATGTAATAGTCTAAGTACCTCTAAAAACACCAATAGTTGTGGCGTAAAAAAAAAAATAAAAAAATAAAAATTTTATGATTTAACGCTTCTTTTATTTGAAGGAAAAAAAATCTTAATAATATTCATAATCCTGGGCTTCTCAAAATCAACCATAGTGGACAGGGCTCAAGTTGTGAGGCAGATCAATTTAGACGTGGGAGACTCTACTTGCATGCGCCTTTTGCTCAGTCTGTTCGGTCTTCCGTGACCGATAATGGCAGGCTTCCTGCCTGCTTAAACTGGCTGCTGGTCAGCTAACTGTTTCTTCCTTTAATCACATTCTTCCCATGTCGAATCGAACCTTCAATCTTGCGGTTAAAGTTACGACGTCTTAATCTCAGGGCACAACTCGATTCCTAGATCATAAGATCACGATACGCTGTGGGCGAGAAATAACCACTAAAAAGGTCAAATGTCAAATATTATGTAGGAAGAGATTAAGAGGTGAATTAGGACAAACCCAGAAAATGGTATCTATTATTGGAGTTGATCGACAAGTTTTGTCACATAGACTAGTTTGAGCCACATATTAAAGTCATAACTCATAAGAGAACAAAAAAAAATGCAGGTCCTCCATTTTTATTGATGAAATGAAAACTGAAAAGAGCCATATATGATCATCTTAAAGCGGGACAGTGCCGACAAGGGCCAACAATAACCAGCCACCTTATAAAAAAGAGTGGCCTAATTTCAATCTTTGTCCTATCAATTATTATCTATGTACGATTCCATCCAAAATCTGACTGTGATGAATCAAGATAATACGAATTTGAGGCACCAATTTTACGGACTAGAATGCAAAGACCTCATTTCTATTTACTACGTAACAACAACAACAATAACCATCATATCTAGTCATGAAACTCGGATCCGACAGTAAATTATTATCAAAAGCAAATTTTCCACCCACCCGTATCAAAATGAATTATTATATTCGTTCTATTAAAAATGAATAGAACAATTTTAAAACAGAAGATGTACAAAAACAGAGAATTACGTTCTTTCTCTTAAGAAGGCAGGCAACAATTCTTGATCATGCTCATCAAGATTATGCTTATTTGTCGAGAACAATGAAAGAATAGGTATTCACTGCATAGTGCTAGTAACAAGAGGATCCAAACTCCTAACTACAAATATTTATTGCCATGGCCGTATAATTATAACCTTGAGGTCGGGAGTTCGACTAAAACAATCATAACAAAAGAGTTTGGTGCGTTTAAAAACAAAAATATATATTTTTTCTGTCCCGAAATTTTTATTTAGTTTGAATTTTTAATTTTAATATAAATTGAATTAAAAGTAAAAAATTCAAACTGAACAATAATTTTGGAATCAAGAGAATATCAATTAATCCAAATGCCAGAAAAAATCCAAAAATTTTCTCACTGGCATTAGTGAGCAATTAATATCAAGAAAAAGAGCAATCAATATTAAGGTGGACCGGGTGAGGGGGCCGAAAAGTGGGCCGAGCTAGATTTTTGAATCTATCGCCCTATATTGTAGTAATACTTTTGAAGTGCAAAACGATATAAAACAATAGCGAGTCAAGTCCATCATAACACCAATTAATTATGTCTTAGAACGTGTCACAAATCCGGTATCGGCCCACGCCAAAAGATGTATGATTTAGCAAAATCCTCTGTTATAAATTAAAATATATTTGTTCCCATGACCTCTAAAAGCCCTTTAACGATTATTATGCAAATTTGTCTTCAAGTTGATGAGCTCATTCCCTACGTAATAACACCGCCTCCTTTGTTACACCTTTGTGTTTATTTATTAATTTTTATTAAAAATTAAGAATTCTTAATTCAGTTTAATAATGTGAACCAATGTAATGTGAACCGAAAAAAGAAAAAAGAAAAAAGAAACGCTATATAAAAATAACTCAGATGAACTGAGCTGGAAAATCTAATCCTATCACATAGATATATGCACATTGAGCACACGTGAATTATCTCATAATTGATCAAACAAGTTCAAAACTTGAACCATTAATAGGTGTCATGCTTCGTTGTAGAGCAAAGGATTTTGTGACTATAGTGTGTGTGGCCAATATCCCTCAACAACTAAATGCAAAAGGCAACAAATAGTGTATTACTGTACCTCATGCATGGTCGGGCTTAAGTTCGATGTGGGACAATCATAGTCTTTTATAGAAGTCCATCCAATCCATCGCATAATAATTTTTTAAAAGACATTTGCGACTTATTCCTAATCCCCTTTTTATTAGTTTTCTAACATTCACCATCCTTCAAATATCTTCAAGCACACAACTTGTTGGGTTGGAGTAATAAAGAGTTTTGACCTTGATATGTGTCCATTTTAGAAAACCATTTCTCATAATTAGTGAATGTAGATGTACGTAAATGAAACCCTAATACGCTTTCGATGTTCGGAGATCGAATTGTATTTCTTGAAAGGTACATTCATTATTCGAATCTAATAGTATTAGAATAATGATTTCGGATATCGAGTATATGTAACAACAAATAAAAACCCTTACAATTAGTATGTTTAAAGAAGCAAAAAGATACATCTTAAAACCTTAGTAAGGTGTCTGCTTTTGTGGGTTGAGTTACCAAAAGAAGAAAAACGGTATACGTCTTGCCAGCAAACAGACCTATCTTTAGTTTCCCGATTGGTGTGATGGGAGTGTCCCCAACCAATCTACTTGTTGATCAGCTTTTGATGTTTGTCAAATGATTAATGGGGGAATTGCTTGTTAATGGGGTCCTTAGGTTACTAACCTATTAGGTACTGTAATGCTGCATTTTCCAGTGAATAAAATATATGGTATCTAAAATGTACACGTTGATAGGGTTCAGCTATTGTTTGTAGGTGTGTTTACTTCATGAACGAAAGAGGCCTACATGAAAAAACATGATCACCCCTCGTCTTAGGGTTTAGATTATGGACTAAGTTTTGGTGCTTAAACATATTACTATGTCAAATCATTGTCTACTAGGAGTACTTCATAGGACACCATTCTATCTTATTTAACTCATTAAAAATTTAAAGACTAAACCACATAAAACCTCCCATACATTTAGGTAGAAAATCATTTTTGTCCCACACATTTCAAGACGTCTATTCTCATCCCATTTCGTCCAAAAATTGCGATTTTTCGACTATTTACGTCCCAAGTCAATTTTCTGTCTAATTGACCGTCAAATGTAGGAGTATTTTTATCTTTTAGTCTGACTTTTAGTTTTTCATTAATTAAGAAATAAAAAAAAATTAAATAATAATAAATTAATTAAAAATATTTTTAAAATCATAATTAAATTTTTTCATACCTTTTATCAGGTGTAGTAACTTATATTTTTATAATTTTTACAGTAAACCTGTAAAAAGGCATTTTGGTGAAATTTAGGACAAAATCAAAATGTTTTATAATAAGGACCGGAGAGAGTATTTCCAAACTCATTAAAATTTTAAATGAAATATAATCCACGTACTCCCCGATATTTATTCATTATTTGAGTGCAATAAAATAGTTTTAGAAAGTAAATTCTCTCCGAATCAAATTTTAGTTAATGTTACACGCGAGTTTAAATTTGATCAGAGCTAAACTGATGTAATAACTTTTATCACTTGTATCATTGATGATGGCTTTTTAATTTATTATGGTAGTATCATTTACATTCGATTTATCATTACACCATTCATTACATTCCCATTATCAAAACCGGGACAGGCTAACATCAAGGTTTATCAAAATTGCTGGTGATATGACACATTTGGTTTTCTCCATAAATGTGCCACATTTTCAAACTAATTGGGACAAGTTAACATCTAGGCTATAAAAATTTAAAAAAAAAACGCTAGTGATATGACACTTTAGGCTTTAGCATCAATTTTAGGGTAGTAAACATGGATTAAATATGAAGCAATTTTGGATCAAAACCGAGCTCACATGTGGATTAATTACATTATAAATAAGCAGAAAAGGGAAATGGAAGTTAATTTTAAGGACATGCAATAGCTTTTTGTTTTGTGGAGGGAAATCGTCATTAATTCTTTACCAGTTTCCAGCGGTGCATTGATCTAGACTATTTCGTGCATATCGTACAACAACATTTTAAGGGTTCCCCCCCCCCCCCCAATTTAAATATCAATTGCATTAATATGGAAATCCCCATGCCAACCCTATATCCCCTATCCCATTTTAGACGGGATTCAATACTTGAACCTCTCAAAAAACTCATCACTAGACTAGTATAAATATTTCTAAGGGTTTATCTTCCTTACATTTGACAAAATCTGATGTCTACTTCGCCCAAACATCAAGAACAAGTGCAAAATTTGATCTGTTGGAAATCCCTTTCAACCTTTTGGCCTAAAAGGAAGGGGAAAAAAAAACATGGAAACATGTTACCAGTTACCACCACAGTTCACATGTCAATCAATACAGAATTTATATGCACTGCTCAATCTCTAAAAGTCAAGTAGAAAATATGAACTTACAGGTTTCTTTATGAACTTACAGGTTTCTTTATTCTTTTTTTTTTTTCTGTGTGAAAAATTACAGCAATCAAATCATCATCATTCGACATATCAATGGTCTGCATGCTAAAAAAAAAAAAAAAATGACAAACTGGCACTTTACTTGGATGAATCATGAATGAACATAAATTTTGTACAATTTTGAATGTACAAATACATTTACTATAAACTGTGATCCTCAAGGGCTCTCACTCTATAAATGATATGTACATTCTCTTGCGGCCAAGTAGTAGTACACTCCACTCTCTTTCTTAATACTATATATTATCATCCAAAATCTTCTTTGTCTATCTAATCTGATTGTCTCTGCATCTTCACATCCATCTGAACATCTTCTGCTTCCATTCTGCAAACTTCTTTCATTCCCTTTCCTGTCTGAAAACTCGAGTACACTTTTTCAAAGTGTTTCTTTTTTGAGTTTCCTGAGGTTTCCAGCTCACAAACAAATTCTTTGTAAAAGGGTCATTTTCTACTTCCTTCCAAAAAGGATTTTGAAGTGGAAAGCAAAGAAAGAAGAGGACAATCTGCAGTTAATCTCCACCATGGCAATGCTTACAATTGATGCAGCATCAGAAACAACCATAAAAAAAGCCCTGCCTTTCAGACACAGCAGCAATCTTCGTGATGCATCTTTCTCTTCTTACTTGGATGACGGTGAAGAAACTTTTATGCGCAAACTTGGAGCAGATTCAGCTAAACTCCGCAACAAATCCCTCATTTCTCCAACCCCATTCGAGCATATTCATGTTGTGGGCAAGAAATCTGAAGACAATGAGATTGATATATTCAGTGCTGATAAGTACTTCAATGAAGGAGTGGATGTTGATGATGGTGATGATGATCAAAGTCCACGGATCGCCAGCAAATCTTCCTCTGCAAAGTTCAACCGAAAGATGGTTCTTCCACCTAAATTGGATCCACCAAAACAACAACAACATCACATTCGTTCAGCAACTCCAAGTATTCGCTCCGAATCGAGCTGGAATAGCCAGAATGCATTGCTGCACAACAGCCATCGCAATCAACAGGGGCAGAAAACAGAGAAGCCCAATAATCGCAGAAGCTTTCTTGCGAGTTTCGGATGCAATTGCTCTTGTGGTGACAAGGCTTCTGTCGACATTGATGACCCAATTGTTGAAAACAGCCCCAGAAGGAGTCCCAGTGTCAGGGCAGCTCAAGACAAGCCAAACAGATCCTCTAATAAACCTGTCGATTTGGTCAGCCTTACTGATTCTCAGTCCAATGCTTCATCATGGATCCGGGGAGAATTGAAAATTGGATTGAGCAGCTCAGAAGAACATTTTAGATTCCCTGTTTTTGATTCCAATGCAAAGACTGGAGATCATCATATGTTGGAGATGCAGAGTAAAAAGGAGGAAGATGATTCCACGAGAAAATCAATGGAAGTGTTTGGGTCCCCAATTGAGAGAGCTGGGAAAAAGTCCTTGAACATGTTAACTTGGGATGCGATTGTGAAACCAAAGATTAATAATCCAAATGAAGGTTCTCAGAATTCTCGAGGCCTGTACAATGATGATGCGGACAGTGATGCAAGCTCGGATTTGTTCGAAATCGAAAGCTTCGCCACCAATCCGAGCCAGTACCTCACCCGGCAGGGTTCAGATGGGATGTCCAGTGCATTCACACAAACTTGTTATGCTCCAAGTGAAGCTAGCATAGAGTGGAGCGTAGTTACGGCAAGCGCGGCCGATTTCTCGGCCATGTCCGACATCGAGGAGACGAGAATTAGTACTAATTCAAGGGGATATGGCCAAGGTATATCTCAGAATGATCCGAGAAGTTCATCAGACAGAGAGTTGCCTGCGAGGAGGAGGACAGGGATCCTTTCAGGCTGTTATAGTCAAAAAGCGGTGAATGTGGCTGGGAACGCATACAGGGCAAGTGAAAAAACATCCCCTGTTAGACATCAGAAAGCTGAGTTCTTGATGCCGATGACAAGGGTTCATGCCGGAAATGAGCCGGCCAGGTTCGAGAAAAGAAATGGCCATTTCGGCTATGACAGTCGTTTACTGTATAAGCATTAATCTCAAGTTTTCTTAAACAAATGTTCTTCAAGATTGTCTCTTTTTCCTACTTTTTTTCCCCCCTCCAAGGATTTCAAGTGCATTAGCAGAGTTTGGTTAGCCATAGGGGTATAATCTACAAGTGTGCCTGTGAGTTCTAGAATTACAAATGTAATAATCTAAAAGAAAAATGTCATTGCCAAAGAAATGAAGATTCACTCCTCATGTTGCTGATTTTTAGGTTGATTGTTTGGAATCTGCAAATGCTGATTACAGAAACAAGGAATTTTTTTGCCGACAGAATTTTGTTCAGTACCCTTAACTAAAGTGTTTTCCAGGACAGCCAGTACTGACTACTGAGAGTGAAACTTCCTAAAAATGAATTAATGTAAAGGAATGTCGTCCAATGTGACCTGCAGTGCTGAAGATAGACACAACCTGGAGCTGAGAACGAAGCTCCATATCAATGGTTACAAATCACAGGGCCCGTCTACAAAGACCATTCACCCGGGGAATGTTAGTTGGCTAGTTCGCTAAACGAATGAATGTGCCTTATGATGCACCATTTAATTGTGATATCAAGGTAGGATTTTGTCATATGATGATGCAAGTTTATTGCTTTCTTCTGCTATATTTGTCTTAAAAGGTGAGGTTAAGATAAGACATTTGACAAATTAGTGCTAATAAGCAAGCCAGAAATCCCATCCAAATGAATGTAAAATCAGTCTGAGGTATGGCATCTATTCAAAACTTTTGGTGGGCAAGACTCAAGAGTATGATTTGAGTTAAGGTGTGTGTTTTATCTAATGAACTGATGTTGGGAGCCACACCCTATAGACACAACCAATAGAAGTATGGTTTGTGGAGGTTAGAAAGGAACAAATGAGATAATGAAGGTTGGAGAAAAGCCATGTGAAGATGGGGTCATGAAATAGAAAAGAAAGAGTTTGGGATAAACGGCCATAAATGGGATACTGAAATGACTACTACTACTACTACTACTACTACTACTGCACCAGCAGTGGATTAAGAAAGCTACAGTTATAGCTAAAGTGAACTTGACTAAAAGAAAATTGACAATGTGAGAAATGGATTTATTTCCTACAATGAGCCACCTTTGTTGACAAAAAAAAAAAAGGGATGGGAAAAGGGCTATTAAATTAAATTATGCTGCCAGGGTTCTGAATTCAGCATGAAAACAAATTGAGCTTCAGATAAGGCTGCTTCGTTTTCATGGACCCTTGAGATACCAGTAACTTTCAAAATTCATAGCGGTCCAGAAGGAGTAAGGCAAGTGAAAAAAAAAAAACTTAAAAAAGAACATTCTGCTTTACTGAAAAAAGGTTCAATTCAGGAATGCATTTGTAAATCCAAACAACTAGGTTGTAAGCATGTTTGTCATTTGACATAAAACTGGTCCTTAATCGGAATAATGTGCATAAATTATGTTGTTGAAACTGAAAGCATGGAATAATTAAGAAAAGCAATGGAAACTGACCTCTAACCTCCTTGATGGAAATAGACACGAGGAAGAGACATATACAGAAATCACCATGTAAACAATAGCATCGATTGTAACACCATAATTTTAACCTGTTATGCCACAGATTGATCTGAGCATTGGCTTTTTCCCAACATAGAAGACCAAGAGACCATAACAGCATGTTCACACACCCCTAAACAACATTGGGATTAGCAAACATTCCCTGCCAAGAATGCTAACAATACCAGCAATCAGTAAGGATGTAAAATATTCTTTGTCCTTTCTGAAGGCTCTGGCTACATGTGCATTCCTGAGAGAACCACAAGCACCAATGATTGATTGATTTCATCTGCCTGAGGCCCTAAGAGCATGATGAACATTGTAAAACTAGTACAATGCATTTGAAATCTTATGTAACTACAGGAAGAACAGAATTGCTGGAGTCTATATATTAATAATTGCCAGACCAGGAAGGAAAAAAGAGTAAAATAATATTATACAAGGCAAACAACAAAAAGGACTTGAGAATCTGGGACATCCAAGCTCTTAGATTACACTGTAAAACCACCTACAAAATGTATATATTTCTACTGAACTTTTTCCATTTCCTTTATTCTCTAAATATGTTGTACGTATAGACTGAAAAACGATTATACAACATCATATCTAAGTATAGATATCTACAAGTTGAGTAGGTAATAGAGCATTTCACACGAACTAAAAACTGCAGTGGTACAGAAATGTAGTACACAATGGACTCATTCCTCCTTGTAATCTTTGGTAGGTCTAGCTTCAAAACCACCATCCTCCCTCTTCTCAAGGGAATAAGGCATGTATGTACCACATATTTTATCCCAAGTAACAAAGAATGGCTGAGAATAGTTATACTTGGTACCGTAGAGCTGATGATGAACATCATGGTAGGCAGAGTTGTTTCGGAAGAAAATATGAAAAAGGTTTCCAGGCAACCATAGACCACAATGGTCATCAACCGTTTTAATTGTTGCAAAGGAGAAGAAGAAAATGGAAGCTCTCGGGGACATGCCTGAGAAGAGAAAAGCTAAAGCCCCGCCAACTGTGTCAAGAATGAGGCCCTCAAGTGGGTGGTTGTAAAGAGCCCCGAAAGCATATGGTACAACAAGTCTATGGTGTTGGGAATGGATATGCCGATAGAGAAACTTGTTCTGGTGCATATAACGGTGCATGAAATATTGCCATGTATCTAAAACCACCATTGCTGTGAAGAACTGCCTTGCAAGAACAAGAAGAGAATGCTGTTGATCTCCTTCAACTTCGCCATTGCCGGTAACCTGAAATGCAAACAAAAAGCATTACTTAACAGCAACAGAAACTAGCAAAGAAGCAAGAATCCGCTAAGCATGCACCAAAGAAAAGGAGGGGGGATTAAGTGAAGCATCTTCGCAATCATTCTAAAGTCCTACTTCAGAAGTTCAGATTCCAACAGTACCAATACTATTCCACATAGCTGAACATGTACAAGGAAACCAGAATCCATCAAATATCTATATAATGATTCATGACCATGAAATGGGGCTTGAGTTGCTCACTGTGAGATATGCATGAACTATGGTTATGAAAGTTCCAAGTAACCTAACCTAAAGAACAGCAAACAATTGAAAGTTTCAACAACAAGAAGCCTTTTTCCCGCTAGGTGGGGTCGACTGTATATATCATATGTGGCCATCATGCTCGATCGGTGCATAAATCATTGATCAAATTTAAATATTTCAAATCATTTTTGATAGTTTCTTTCCATATTTTCTTAGGTCTACCCCTGCCCCTTTTAACTTGAATTCTTGATTCTATTGTTTCTATCCTCCTAACCATTAAATTCACAGATAATATTCGACTTCTTGCAAACCTAGTTAGAACAAGATAATAGTCGTCCCTGAAGTTTGAAATATAGAATCATATGAATAGCATTCAATTATACCGAACTTCCTTGCATCCTACATAGACCATAGAAGGGAAATTATAACTTCCACCCTTTGTTTAAATTTGTATCTACCATCACCTATAAAGATCAATTATCCCCAAATTCTCCTACCCAACAAAAACCTTGAAATAAATAGCCGGGAAAATTGCTTGATCAAAATGTTTTCACATGATCAAATCCCTTCCAAAGCAATAAACACCATACCAAAAGTACAGAACATACCAAAAAAGTAAAAATAAAAGAATATCCACGGCAGCAGCAAACTCGCAATCAATATCAGAGCAGGGGATAATAAAATTGAAAAATCCACCTTGTTAACGGCATAAAGATCAAATTTTCGTAAAAAAATAAAGAGAAAGATTCTTGAATCACATTAACAAAGGACAATAACTGGGAAGCTTACGGCAAAAAGGAGGGTGGCAACGATGGCCTGAACGGCCTGCTGAAGAAGGACCCCTCTGAAAACAACCCTTTTGGGCACCAAATTCTTTTCATCCTCGTCTTTCCTCGAATGTAACCTATAATTATCCAAACCACCCAACATCATATACATCCCCGAATATGCCCAATACACCACAATTGGCGCAAAGGTCCCCAACAATTCATCGGAGATTTTCACCCCCCTAATCTCCATCTCCTGGAATTTTAACCACCGAAAATCGATCAATCTCTCCCTCCAAACCCCAACCCAGACCACAAAATTAGCTGAAATTGGACAAAGAGAAAGATGGAAAGAGCTCGGGTTTGCAGAGACAAGAAAAGGGGGAAAAAAAAGGAAGGATCTTTGATGAGGTATGATTCCAGATTTTTTTTTCCCCCCTCCTCTCTGGTTTCTTGGGAGCAGAAGATGCTGTTTTTTTGGTTTGTTGTTTTTTGAAAGATGTACGGAAGTTTGAAATTTCAAAGACAGATGGATGACTGATTCCAAAGGAACGAAACAACTAGAGAGGTGCCGTTGAAAACGAAGATGGTTGATTGATAAGCTGTGATCGTGTCTTCCTTACTTCCCTTTTTTGGGGCTTCTTCTAAATTACAATGGTCAACTCGCTGTCCTTCATTGACTTTTTTTTTTCCCTCTGATTTTTAATTTTTTAATTTTTTTTTTCTTCTATAGGAAATATCTAACACAAGGATAAATTGCATCTTTTACATCCTTGAAACTTTGACATTGCTGATTGTTCCTAAATCTTAAATTATGGTTTAATTATACTATGTGTTTTAGTACTATAGAACTTTCTTTGTTTAAGGTCAAATCGTAGTTGAAATTCTTGTCTTTGGGGGGTAATCTTTGGTTTTTTTTTAAATTTTTTTGTTATTTTCTTCCCCTCTCTCTCATCAAAAATAGGACCCTAAAAAAAAACCATAAACTCCCTTTTAGAAATCATTTAATTTAAATTTGTAAAATAACGAACTTATTATCCCCTTGACTTGGCAGCTATTTTGATAGACCTATTGAATTACTCTTGTTTCTTATCTTTCATTTCTTTCAGTACACAAAGGAGGTAAAGTCTAAATCAAACTATTACAATGTGTTTTTTAGGCTGGCAGCACCATGATTTAACACCCATCGATGAAATATCTTGACTGGAAATACTTCCAAGCCAAGCGGTCTTGATTGCGCTCTCTCGCCAAAATTTTCATTGCAGGATGGACTTCTTGATGTGCTTCCCTCAACTTCTTGACGCCTTCAGTCTTCAATCTATACAATTGTCCACTTCCGCAGGTATCATTTTTCTCCCCCCCAAGCAAGTCAAATGCCAATTATAGGACTTGAAAAAGACCCCATTGCTCCGCATTTGGGCATTTATGAGCTAGTTTCTTCACTTTTGTCTAAAACCTAGGGCCTCTTTCAACTAGAATACAGATAGACATTGTTGATATGGGAAGCATCAATGGGATTCCTTGCTTTAGTTGAAAGTTTGAAATTGATGTTCCTAATTTCTGGTTTAAAAATTCCATTGTATTTTTTCTTTTGTTAAGTATTCTTGTTAGTTTGCACGTAAGACAAGCGAAAAAGTTGTTAGTTTGAGGCATCCTAAAATAACTGTCTTCATGATAAGACTCTTAACAAGTCAGCTCAAAAGCAATACAGTCTCCGGGATTCTCCTCTGATATGGTTCGTTCGTGACCATTGCAGCTGGATCATCAGCATAACGACGCCTTGAAGCTTTATGTACCAGAAGGCAACGTATCATGGCTCCTCCCGCTTCCACCTATGTTTGAAGAGACTTTTTGAAGAAGTCTAGCTTGGCTTGTTTGGCTCTCTTAGCAGGGGCTACGTCATAAAGCATACAAGGGAAAAAATCAGTTGAGGAAAACAGCTTGAACCCACATACTTATGATTGTTACAAAAAAAAATATAAATACAAAAAAGAGGGCAAAGCTTACTACCTTTTGCCTTTGAGAGTTTATTGGAAGCCAGAACTTCGGATCTCCACCCTTCGTAGTCATGTTTATCCTTGCGCTTCCGCTTTTTTTGAGCAGAATGCTGCAATGAGGTTCCAAAATACAGTTAGGCTAAGAGATATATACAATTAGAGGACTACAATATCAAAACAAAGATATGAATCAGAAACATAGGTTCCCTAAGATGCGAATTAGATCTGCTATGTAATGGCAGTATGTATCAATGACAACATAAATCACTGAACTGAACAATACTTGTGTTTCTGCATCTTGTAGTTGACACTATCCTCTTCTAAACGCACCAAATCAATCTCATAGGATTTCAATGTTTGAAGGGCTACTAACAAATAGAGGCCATGTTCTACTATATCGTCTATTGTTATGAGGCTTTCTCAATAGACATTTACCTCTTCACCAGAGGAATAACCTCCATCTTCGGCAGTCCACTTTTCTGGCAATACATCCAGCAATTCTACATTTCAGAAGGGAAAACATTGGCTCATTATTAACATTCACAAGTATCAAAAGCCAAAGAAATAATGCAAAGAGTGATCACAATTCGCAACTTTGAATAGCAATGACAGGATTTATACCTCGGTTTCCTTTCACTTCCCTGGGATCTTTCTTCTCTTTAGATGTGCCAAACACATCAAAACATAGATCCTTCATGGAGGTAGACACCTGTGATTGTATCTTTCGAATCAGAGTTACCATGCATTTCCTAAAGTTAAAGAAAACTACAAGAGAAAACTCCAATGCTTACACTTGTGAACTCAGATTCCGAGGTTCCACATATCTCGATCAACTTTATTTTATCAACCTTCAACTGGAAAGTGTTCAATAGTTTATTAGCTCATTTTATAACCACAGGTCCACAATAACCCCTGGATAGGAAATGAAGGATGTGTGTGTTTTACCTTGTGTTTTTTGGCAGAAAGGTAGAATGCTACTGCAGTAAATACAGGCCGAGTGAAGTCAGCTGTTCCCCTACGAGATGGAGGCAAGGAAGAAAGGAACCGCTCCTTATACCTGAGAGTGACCACAGCAAACAAAACAAATCACTTCGATGATAACCAGTCAAGGATCCTTCCCAAAAGAATGATAGAATTCACACACACAGATTCTAACTATGTTCTTCAAAACAAAACTTCTTCACAGATGCTTCAAAGATTTGTACCATATACTCCCTTCGTCCCATAATTATTGTCCAGTTTGGGTTTTCGTTTTTAGTTCAAATTGTACTAAAAGTGAAATCTCAAACTGGACAATAATTTTGGGACAGAGGGAGTACAAATCTAATCAAGATAGACACATTTAATGGAAAGCATTGGGGACTTGTGAACTTACGAAGATAAGCCCTTGTGAACAAAAGGGACGAGCCTGACACAACCAAATTGAATAGCCAATTCCCTTACATCTATCTTGTTCCTACACAAACCAGAAAATTAAAGAGCATCATATCATCAATAATTCAATACAGATAGGGAAAGTTCCCAAAAAAAACAAACGAATGCCATCCAAGATAAGGAAAAATATAAACAGATTACTCACTTTACTCCCATGCCATTTTGCATTAAATTGAAAGATCTAATGTAAGCCTTCTCTGACATCCCACTCAACCTTATCGCAGCTTGACGATCAAAAATGACATCCATCCTACATTCAAGACCAAAAGTACAGGAAGCAAAAGTAGTTGTAAAATAAAAGGTTTCCAATAAGGGAAAAACATATGGAGCATAGAAATTCAAATTCCCCTACAAATTACTGAAACACAATCAATACTCATCCAAATCAAGAACAGGAATAAATACCTAGATGCAGCAACTTCCAAACATATTATAGCCTTGCAAATCTCCCCCTAAAATGAAATTGGAAATGTGTCAGAAATAAATCAAGATGCCCGTAATTCTATCATGAAATTGAGTAAAAAGATCCCATTTTTATTAAAGATAAAAAAGCGCTTACAACGCCGATGGCGGAGGAATTGAATTGGACGTCGGCAAGGCGGCGGAGCTCGGCGGCTTTGCGAACGAGGGGTTTGTTCTGGGAGACACCAAGCTTTCTGGCAATCTCTGAGAAGTCCATCCTCGATGATTATCAGATAGTGAAGAGAATCTGATGAGAAATGAGAGATGGGTTTGGGGCATTTTGTTTGGAATTTCTTTTATTTTAAGAAGAGGGGGAAAATGGGAGGAACGGCAATGGCGGGAACGTGAAAATGTCTGTATGCGTTTTGGTGGTTTTTCCAATTTCGCGCGCGAGTGCCGGGATTAGTAGTATTGTTATTTGGGGATTTTGGCGCCATTCCAACAAACTCCATAAACCCGAACGTAGCGTCCCGTGAAAGGCAATTTTTTTTTACCATTTACAGCCATTTTACAGGACTGAAATGAGTTTGGTAATTATTATTACAGAGTTATGATAGTATATAAGAAAAGTTTTCCAGCATCTTGAAAATAATTTTAGGTTTAAAAAGGAAAAGAATTTTGGAATGACATAACAAGTTTAGGCCCACATCAAACTCCTTTTACGATTATAAAAGAATAGTTCCATATATGAATACGCTAGTTTCTTGTTTAGTACACATGAATCATTTTGTTCAAAACAAGAAACGAAATACAAAATGCCTACATGCGTATGGTTATGAGAAGAAAAACAAGCAACACAAATGCTTAACATAAGGCTTGGTTGGGATTTGGGAATCAATGGGGCAACAGAAGCGAGGCCGCCAATGCCTGATCGCTGGTTGAGAAACTCTAATTATGGTGCCTCTGAAGATAAGTCAGTGGAGCCGCTCTCTTGGATCAACTGCCAAAACAAGAGAACAGAACAGATTTCTTAAGTTACACGGAGACAATCTAAGAATGACAAGGGAACAGAGAGAAAAACAGGGTCCAACGTGCAGTACCAAGGAGCCAACTTGCTCGAATGCTCCCATCACTTTCGGATCCTCTTCATCTTCATAACCTACTTGCAATATTCGGGGTCCATTCACCGACCAAAATGCTCTCCTTCCAGCATCCTGTTACGAGGGAAAAACTGGATCAGAAGTCATGAGCTAACTTTCAGAATTCTATTTATTTGAAGAGTGGCAATATCCATATTTCTGAGAACAAACTGTCAACAGGAGGACTCAGCTGACCTGTAGTACGAGCAAATATATTGCTTCTAGTGCTTGGATGCGGATATCAGGATCATTGACTGGCTCACGCTCAATTGAAAGTGCACTAGCCAGTTCCAAAGGCATTTTAGAGGTGTCTTGCTGACTGTAGATCTATTTTGAGGAAATTGATTTACGAAAGATGTTTGCAGAAAAGGAAAGAAAATCAAATGACTTGAAAACTGTCAATTCACCGCATTAGAAGAAAAAGGGAGGGGGGAAATGAGATCCGCAAAGAATGTTCATATAATGAAAAATGGTACGTGAGATGAGAAAAACCAAAGACACAGTTGTTTTACCTTGTTACCGGCAACTGGAAGAAGCAGAGCTGGCCACAGGAACTCTGAGATTAAGAGTAAACTAGGTAGCTGGCTTTCAGCTTCAAAACAGCAGTTACGGATAGTTCCAGAGACCTATGTACAGAGACGTCGAGAAAAAGTTAGCTATGCTAACAATTACATCTACTCAAGATACCTAAGTTTAAAAAAACACATTTGTTCTTTAATTAAGCCTTGTGAAAAATGTTCATTTTCCACAATCAATCAAAACAAAAGTGATATAACGAATAATTTACAGTAATAAGAAATCAAAATACGACTGAAGGAAGATATGTACCCCTTTCTTCCGCAAAGGGCTTGTTGAATCAGATTGCCTAACGATTTGCTTCAAAAGCCCCCTCTTTGAATCCAGCAAAAGTTTTCTTCCTGCTTCTTTCTTTGAAATGTTGACGAGAATAGATGCCACGTGCTCAAAGGGATCATCTGCGCTAAGCCAAAAGAAAATAACTTTCAGTCTCTTCATATATCTCTTTGCTTGGACGCTGAAGTACAATTTGATTTTAAGAATCAACTTAAAAACCTTTCAGAAATGAAATTGGAGGCAAGATAACAGATGATGTTAAACAGGAAACAAAGGCCATGAAAACAAAGGGGACATGCTATATAACATATCAGAGCACATATTTGACTGCTCAAAATAACCATGATCTACAGTGTTATTCTGCCCATCATACATGATATAAGTCCTCCAAAAGACCATCAGATGCCCATGAAAGGAGTAACAACCAGAATACAAAACTAATACCTTTTCTCTCCCCAGAAGATGCACAGAAAGATCTGACAAGCTTCATGATGTACAGGCCGTGCATTTTCTCATCTCCAGACTGGAAGTTAGGAAGTTCAAAATATTAGCAGCCATTCATATGTGAGTTAAAAAGAAAGAAAAACAAAGGGTTAAAGATCAAGAGATATGAAAACGGGTATAGTGAAACAAAGAAATTACACACTGGCTGAATTACAGTATCTTAAATAAAAGTTTCATAATTCACAGTTAGCAACTGCATGTGTTCTGAAATCCAGAGACCAGAGACAGCAAAACTGGTATGATGAAACACCGTGCTGAACTAATTTCTTAGCAAGAATAGCAATAGTAAGTGATGAAGGCTTACCTGAAGCAAGCTATCAATACCAGCATCCAACTGCGTAAGATTAAGAAGAAGCATAGCCAATAACTGAGTAATTTCACAACCTTGCTTATATAAGGTATCCATCGCTATCTTAACCATATCCATATCTACCATCTTCTTTGCTAAATCTGTATTTTGAGACATATTAACGAGTGCCTGTGCTGCAGGTTCAGATACCTCCTGAATTCACATACGACAAGATTAGTGTTAGCTAGGTGAGATGTCGAACAGAAGCTGGTAAAGAGAAATTTCCGAGAGGTTGAATCAAATGTATCGCTCCTACTTTTATGCAGTTATTAGAACAAGAAATGTTGCCATAAATAGGATTCTAATGATAGCAAACATGAATGAAATAACATCCAAACTCACAGAACCTTCGTTTCCTGCTCATAAAAGTTCAATCTATCCTCACTATTAATTAATCCCCGTTTTTGTGCACGTCCCACTTATGAACATAAGATCAAGACAAAAGCACAGCATAAAGGAATAATACATGGAATAACATAGAAGAGAAAGAAATTAACCTTTTTCTCCGCCAGGAGAAGAATGAGCGACGAAAGAACAACTCTATCATATTTTCCAAGCATTTGTATGCCATCCTCCGAGCCCGTATAATCTCGCACAATATCCACTGCAGCTTTCTTCACCTAAACGTGTATTCAAAGCTAAGATTTGAGAAAAACTTTCCATTAATTGAAAGAAAGACCAACAAAAACAAAAACTGACCACTGCCAAAAGAAATTCTTCACTAATACATTCGATAATCAAGCGCCAATTAAACAGACAACAGTGACTAAGAATAAACACCGGAAACAAAAGCTAACAGAATCAAGGCTTAGATATGACTCGGGCTAATTACCATGGAATTCAAGAAATAAAAATAAAATCAGTAGATAAAGGGGAAAAAAATCATCTGGGCAAGTTCAATTTTCTTAGTTATGCTAGTATGAGTTACAGATAAAACAGCACCTTTACAAAAATAAACGTGTAATAGAATAAGACTTACTTGTGGGGAAGGAGAAGATAGGAAACCTAAAAGTTCTTCCAGCTCCGTCGCCATTGTTTCTGTTCAGCAACTGTAACTCTTTGATAGGGAAGGAGGGTATTCGAGCTAAATTAGAAAATCTTCCGGGGCGCTTTTGTGAAAAGGAAGAATTCCCTTACTGGCTATTACTACCTTACGTTACCTGGGCTAAAACCTGTTGGGCCTTGTTGATTCTGAAGAATGCTTTTCAATTTAATTTGGGGCCATTCCCATTTTTCCCTCCCGCTTCTTCTTTTCTTATTTTAACGCGTTTTTGTTAGGGGTCTTCAAAGTACAAAGCCATAGTAGTAATTCTTTGAAAAGAAATCTAATCTTATAGGGTTATGTGTAGCTTATTTAAACTTGATGATAGAAAGAAAGAATATGAGTCAAACTGTAGACTGCAGCATAGTAGTGGATAGTTTTGATGAAGGTTTCTTTTTCTTCTTGTTGATCTGCGCCGGTTTGGTCAATGCATCCCATTGTTATAAGTTCATTTGTAAAACAACGGAAACAAAACGAGATCCGTAGTTGCCAAAGATATTGCAAATACGTTATCTTTCCAAACCCTAACCCGACAAATGACCGGCCATAATACCTGGATAACTTAACATGATAATCTCATTCATCTACAGAAGTTGGATATTACCAACAGCCAAGAGACGGGAGTTTGCTCTTTTAGTATTTTGCATAGCCTGTGCATGTGTCTTCTTCCACAACCCAATTGACTCGGGAAGAAGAAGAAAGGGAAAGCAGGCAAAATATCCACAAATGGAAAAAAAAACACAATAAATGTGAACTGACTCTGACTGTAAAGAAAAAGACCTCAATGAATTTCATGAACAGTATATCAAGATACAGTTTCATTGCAAAGGCTAACCTGACCTGAAAAAACAAGCAAACTCATGCAAGGTACTTGTACATTTTCCTATTATCTTCATCCCTTTCCAAGAAATCCCGCTCGATCAGGGATTCGATTCGCTTCTTTATTTCTCCAGGGTTGGCCAGGAAACGAGATTGCAACTGTTTTGTAACCTCCGCGATAATATTGTTATGATCCAAAACTCTACGGGACTTCATGATCCTAACTATTGCAGCCTCGATCTGGGGCTTCCTGTCCTCCTCCACCCTCTGCCGTGTCTCCTGCTTTTCGGGTTCAGATTCCTTCTGCGCAACCACAGTTCCTATTTTCACCTTATAAAACTTGCTGGTAAACTTATCATTCACAAAAAATGCATCTTCTTCCCCAATATCTTTACTCATGGGTTCTTTCCTCAGAACATTCTTCCCCTTCACACAAGCCAGGGACTGCAAGCATCTTTTCAACTCAGATGAAGGAATCCCTGTGGCCTGCTCAATTTCCTTGTAGCTAAGCCTATCAGCAGTGTTAAATAACATGAGGACACACATCTGGTAGGTGGACACATTCAGTTCATGCTTTTGCGCCTTTCCAAAGACTGCTTTAATATCAGCAGTGCCCATGTTTGTTTGCCAGGACAATCTTCGACCTGTATGCGTTCCAAGATAATATGAACGGAACTTCTCGCATAGAGCTGACATTTCGGCTGGCAGGTTGCATGTCATGCTAGGTTGAGTAGGCCAGGATCCGGTAGTCAAAACCTGGACAACCAATGTAGGACTATCTCCCAACTCAGCACTATAGGCAGTGTAAAACCCTTGCATGGTATCCTGAGATGTCTTCATGTCGGTGAACATGCCCTCTAGTTTTGAGGTAAACTGGTAGCCACATTCTGTCTTCAGCTTAACAATAAGACTTCTCTCAGCATCATCAGAAACTGTTTTCCCAGACAGAAGTCGTTTTGCCAAATGCTGCTTGTAATATTTCTCAAATACATCTTTCTCCTGCAAATAACGGAACAGCATCATCACCTTGTCAAGAATAGTCTCAACATCTTCCTCACTAACTCCCTTCAGACCTTTCCGCAGTTTCTCATCCACATACAAAGAAATAAACTCAGGAGAACGAGGATTGAGATTAATGAAGAACTCAAATGACGAGTTTAAGGCATTCTGGAATGTCTTGTCATTGCTAAACGCCAAGCTTATAATCTTATCATACTTATCTTTTTCATTCAGAAGACATTGGACAAATTCTACAGGATCCTTCAACTTTTCAGGATCTGTAACAAGCTGTTTGCCAGTGTCTCTCAAATGTGACGTCATTACATCTCTTATGGTTGAAAGACCATTTGAAACCCGGCGAAATAAGCTATACATCCTTCCCAAGTCTTCATACCTGTCAAAAATTAGCATCTTAACCAAGCCTGAATTATCCATGTGAACTAACCGCAGCATGTGACTAGCAATCATCTCTTTCTCAACGACATTAGTTATCTTGGCTTCGCTCTTTGCATCCAAGTAATGTGACACCCTCTCTATCTCTTCATTTAGACGTCTCTCGGCTTTCTTAAGATAATCTCCACAATCACAGCAATCTATGAACTCCTGGGACTCGGCCCTATAAAAGTCAGCTGACACCTCAAGAAAGGGTCTTTCAAAGTCTTCTTGATACACTGAAGGTCCTAAATCCATTAGCATCTTAATTATATTTCTCATCAGCCCCCTATTAATTACTTCACCAGTCCTTTCTCGGAGTATCAGTTCAAGAAGTGTGTCTAGAAGCCTAGTCTGAATTTTACTTGAATGTATCACATTATCCCTCCAGAGATTTAGTCCGAGCTCATGCACAGGGGTTTTATGGTTACTTGGAATGAAAGTTCGGTCCATGTACATCAAGATATCACGAATCATCTGCAATGCCTTATTATGATCTGTCCACTTCCTGTTAAGCTCTTCCAGAAACAGACCACCTTGAGCTGCTTCTATGGATCTTGCCATCTCCTGTAGGTGGTAGGTCATTGTTGATACAAGCCCAGAGTACAGCTTCTCACCATATTTATGTAGAACCATATTATAAGCATTTCTGGTTCCACCAAAAGGAAAAAAAAGAAGCACGCGTAAATATATCAAGCAATAGAATGTCACATTTAACAAAGAGTCAAAGAAAGGAATATCTTGTTGGAGATAGAATGATAAATTTGTGAGCCAATGTTAATTCAATAAGCAAGTGGAACCCATATTTATCAACATCAATGACAAAGTCTCCTGACTAAGGACTGACAGAATTTACTATATCTCGATCCTAGAGAATTTAAGCTCGATATTACAGGGGATAGATTTCATCCAGACTCTCACCAGTTATCTAGCTCATATAGCAACTCATCCTACATCCAACCCACCAAATTTTTTATGGATTCAAGTTAACAAGCCAAACAAGGTTTGACAAATATGCTTTCCCACATAACTAAGATGGATAGAAAACGGGTCCAAAAGCTGGATGAACAAGTAGGCCACACATAAATAAAAGGATAAACATCTGCACAGATATTTGCTCAGATCATTCCAGTAGAGGTATCAGGTCATGTTTACAAGTTTTCACCCCATTTGGATGATCTCACCAATAAATTTAAGATGTTATCTCAGTAATGTCATTACACCTTAAAATGGTCGACAATTTGAGATCTCCATGGACTGAGAAAAACTAAAATGGCTAAAAACTCTACAGGATTCTAAAAGAAGGAAAAAACTGTAGAAGCCAAGTCACAAGACATCAGTAGTCAGTACTACCCAATTAAAGAAATGAAATCACAGACACGAATTTTGTTTTTGCAGGTAACACCAACTCAGATCCCCAACCTCTTCCTACCTTAACTACAAGAAAAGCATGAAATAAACACAAATGAAAAAAAGCACATCAAATGTTTCTGCCATTCAATTTTGACCCTTCTGCTTCTAAACAGCTAAAATAACAAACATCAAGATGATAACGTGATAAACAACTTGCTCTACACCCCAAGGCGATAACCATGATAACCAACTTACTCTACATTATAACCATAAATCATGAGAGGCCATGAAATAATGCTGCCTATTGAGTCCCCTTAATAATTCAAAATAGAGACGATCAATGAAACCAAGTTACAAAACAGCATTTTCCCAACCCAGAAAAAATAACACACGAAACATGATTAGCTTTCCTTAAATATTTTTGAATATCATACCAAGGACTCTTTTTCATAGATAGCCAGTAAAGTATAGTATTATTACTTTTGGCAACATCAACCTCATAGGTGAAATCAACATTATTACTTCTAACAAGCAGCACAAGTAATTCCAAAATAGTCCTACATGATACTCAACAACTCCAACTGAAATTCCGAAAAAAATGGTAAAACTGAAAATCAACCCCAAAGAATACAGTAAGACCCTTAATTTTCAACGAAACAAAAATTAATAGGAAACAAAACAAATTAAGAGGAAAACAAAAATCAACCAGAAAGAAAGAACAGAGTAAGATCAGCACCTATAAACATAAAAATTAAATCAGAAAAACTAAATAAAAGAGGGAAAAAAAAATAAGAAACAAAAACCTATAAAGCTCTTCGAAGCTGAGGCCACTGGCGTTGTGGTTGTAAATCTCATGAATGGCATGTTCGAGGATCTTCCAAGTCTTGTCGGCGTATTTCGGATCCACCACCACTTTGTGCTTAAACGCCTCTATCTGAAAATTCCTCTTCTTCTGATTACTCATCTTTCCCCCTCACACACACAAACAAACACGCACCAAAAAAGAAAAAAACAAAACCAAAAACCTCCCTCTCTATCCCTCGATAAATTATATATCTATCAAAACAACTATACAAACATAGTGAATCAAATATCACCGAAGAAAATTTTTTTTTTTAAAAAAAAAACCTATGCAAATAAAAATCGAATCGAACGAAAGGAAAACAAAACTGATTGGCTAAAGGTGGGTGTGTGTGTGTGTGTGTGTGTGTGTGTGTGTGTGTGTGTGTGTGTGTGTGAAATCAAAGGGTTGGATGATACAGATCGAACGGGTGAAAAGAGAGGTGACAAAATTATGGGGGAATTTGAAGATAAGTTTGAATTGAAATGAAGGGGAAACCAAAACTGTGGTTTAAGGGGTTGTATTTTATTTGTGTTTGGGGGAAAAGGAAAGAAAGAAGAATTGGGGGAAAAGGAAAGAGAGGAGGAGAAGAATCTCTACTGGTTTGGTTTTCAATTTTCTTTTTTCTTTTCTTTTTTCTTTTCCCTATTATTGCCCTTGTGGGAATAAAATAGTAACAATGGGTAAAAATTAAAACAGAGGAGTTGCAGTAAATAGAAGAAGGGTAGAGAGGGAAAAAGTTAAATTTCCTACTGATAACACTTATTTTTATTTTGTGAATCCCATGAATAATGTACTATAATTCAACAAACTTTTTGATAATTTTGGGAGCTTGGATTTACTTTGTTGAACTTACCTTATTAATAAGAACTTACCATGTTGTCGGGTAGAAGGGTTGGGTGGGATGGTTAGGGAATTAGTATGGGAGATAATTATTAACGGGAGGTCAAGCGTTCGATTTTCACTAGGGCCATCCAATTTTTATTTTTATTTTTATTATTTTTTTTTTTAAAAAAAGGAACTTACCCTGTTGGATTTACTTTAATAAGGGCACTGGTGCATTTTGTAAAACAGAAATGAGCTAATACTTTAATAACCTACTGAAATTTGCTAGGCATTTACATTTTAAGTTAGAGTTAGTTTCAACCATGCTTAACTATAGTCTATATATATATAAAAAAAAAAAATCTTCTAAAGTATATGAATAGTTTTCTCCTCGATACGAATAATTTTCTCCTCAGAAACTAATTTTACTCCCAAAAAAAAAAAAATTCTTTTACGAAGAAAAAGAAAAAGCTTCCCTTTTTATTTCACACATTGTGCACGTCGGCCGTCGCCTGGATTCCATATTTCCCTGTAGAATGTGGGAAATTTGGTACCACTCTGAGTTGCCATACGTTATTTGAGAATTGAGACTATCTGGGAAAAAAATCTAATTAATAAATAAATAAATACATATTGTTTGGACTCTAGATTATGAGCCTAGCTAAATGGGCCTTAAAACAGGTGGATTGATCATCGGGAAAAGGACTTAATCAGGGCCTTGAAATAACATCTGTATACGGGGCTGAGATATAGGCCCAAGCTAATTTGGAATGGAAAAAGAAAACCGCGCTTATTTAGAACCGTTTTTGGCCTAGCTTAAACGCAATTATTACGTGCGTCCACCTCAAGCTACTGTGAAGTTTTATATAAATTTGCAGGCTCATTACTCTTATTCGGGAGATTACCAGATTCTTCTTCACTTCTTCTCCATTGAAATTGAAATTTTGCTTCTTCTCGATCAACTCTTCTGGTAACAATGTCTCCAACTCTTTCTTTTCTGCTAATTCTTGGTGCTATTGATTTTGTTTTAACACTTTCTTGGACTTGATTCTTTCTAGTGTTGCTCATCTTTCTCTGCTTCAAATATGCCGGAAGATACGAGCGTCAATCGTCCGCTGTTCGGCGGTGCTATCACCAGTACTTTCCCTCTCCGATTCACGGTTAGTGTTCGGAATACTCCTCTATTCTTTGTCTTTTCTTCTTTTGTTTTGTATTCGAATTAATTAATTGATTCTCTTTAATTATTAATTAGGACGTGAGCAACATTCGCCAAGTTCCTGATCATCAGGTTAGTCTTTTTATTGCCCTTTTTTCCCTTATTTTGTGCAATTATGATTGAATTGTCCAATTGTTCGAACAGGAGGTATTTGTGGATCCGTCACGCGACGAGAGCTTGATTTTTGAGCTGCTTGACTTGAAGACCGACGTGCCTGATAATGGGAGTGCCACCTGGTTCTTGCAAGACCTTGCCAATGAACAGGATGCTGCTGAGGGAGCTATGGTATTCTTAAGGTTTTTATAGTTACAGTTTACATTATACGAGGGCATAGTTATGAGTTTTTTTCCTATAATGTTTCTATCATACTGTTGATTGAATACCAATGCTCATCAAAAACACAAGATTCGGATTCACTATGTCATGGATATTATCGGAATTGATTGGTGAAATTCCCCTTTTCCCTGTAGCGGATTATGATTAGATTATGTAATTTAGGGTGAACTTGTACTTGGGCATTTGAGTGCAGTTGAGAAGTGGAACAAATAATCCAGTTATGGAATTATGATTAATGTACTAAACGGACTTAAATAGCTTATTCTTGTCGGAAGAGTTCAATATTTTCTTTAAACAACTTACTTGATCAAAGTTGATTACAGAATTTCGTTAACTCAAAATCCATATTGCCTTCATTTACTTGTGAGAGGCTCTTTCAGTAACTGTCATAGTTAAAGAATCAACTTAGATTTTACTTAATGGATTAGAGGGTGAAAACAAAAATTAAGAATTATGCTCCATTCCAGTGTTTAAAACATTTTATCAGTTTTGACATGACCTATGGATCTGACGGTAATTGCTGTTCAAAGAAACTCATCAGAGGGGAATGAGTCTTTTCCTAGCATATCTGAAATCTACTTCTTCTTAGGTTGTGACAGCAGTTGCATTCGTGTATGTATCACCGTAGACGTAGTTGTTAGAAGGGATTAGTCGTCATTAACACTAAACTCAGAAACCTCAGTTGCTTAGTAGTGTAATTTCATATATGTGCTAAATTGTGTTTTATGTATAAGACAGTCATAAATGAGTTTTGCTGAAGTTGATCCATGTTCAGGGATTTATGAGTAATATCGATAAGAGTTTTCATTAGCATTATTCCAATTATTGAGCCGGGAGCTGACAAGGACACGATCTAAGTTCTTTTTCAAACTTTGTACTCCTATGGTTGTGAAATACCTCCCTTCCTTGGGAGGACAACTGTAGTTAGCATCTATTGAACCACTTTGTGGCGCAATTAAATTTCAACTTTAAAAGGTCTGGTTTTGCTTATGAAGTACCTGATATGTTTCATCTTTTCTTTCAGGTAATTGAGCAGTCAGGTGTTTTTGAAGCAAACGGACTGAATGTTGGCAATGTGCCCAGTGTTGTTTCAACTGCTGTTGCCCAAATGGTATCATTCTTAACTGTTTACATTACAACGGAATAACACATCTTAAACTTCAAGATATGCTGCAGAAATGGACTAATAGATAATCTAAGTCTAGTTATGAAATTTGACTTAAACTTAATGTCTGTATAATCTGATGCCAACCCTTGCTGACTTGTAGGGCATTTCCAAGGGAAGGCAAGGGAGAGAAGCGCAAAACATAGTAAAGGTAGTCTCAACATATTGATGTTCAAGTGTTTTTATTTTCTGTGATGATTTTGATCTGATCTAACCTGTTGTTTGTGCAGGTGTATTTGGCAAATATACGCCTCAAGGGAGTTGGAACAGATGTTCTAATCACAGCTTATGAGCCTGTCTTGATAAAGTAAGTTCAAGAAGATTACTTTTTCTCTGGTCAATCAGTGTCCAATTGTTTTTTTTTTCCTGGTCAATCATGTGTGGTTGCCCCCTCCATGTTTTTCGGCAGTTTTGCTCTCTTTTAGTTCGACCCTCTTTGTTTAGGTGGCTATCTGTCTCTATTTGTGCTACCACTTAGCTGCTTCCTCTCCTAGTTTAATCACTTAGTTGTAGTTCCTAAGTGTAAAGCAGATGATGTTCGTTATTTTCGTTTTTTTAATGGATTTGGAAGATATATCTTTTGGTTTCTTCTGTCTGCTGGTGGCATGTGGGTCCTTCAATTTTGTTTCACTCTGCTATGTTTTTCCTCTGTTAAGCTAGTTATAGCTCTGATGGAAGCATGATATTGTTGCTGATGCACTAATGTCAATCTTTTCTCTTTGGTTTTGTGACTTTAGCCCTTTGAGCGAGAGTGCTGCCACTGTTGGGGCCGGAGTTGCTGTTCCTGCTGCACAGTCGGGACGTTTGCCAATGGCCGAAGTTTTTAAACTAGCTGTGACAGGTTTCAAGGTGAATGATTGGAACCTTTTTGGTGCTGCTCCGTGAGAAGCGATTAGAAGCTACATATAGTGGAACTGGCGAAGGAAATTGCCAGCTATAGTAAAGTGTAAAGAGGTCAAGTTTTTCTTTCGGGTAGTAGAGCAGGAGCAGAACAGTAGATATTCTTTGTTTTATGTAATTCAGTCTTTTTCAGCCATAGGATCCCTGCGTGAATGTTGCTATCGTTGTGCATTTCTGCATTGGCAAGTTGAGCCAGCTAATCATGGGTGTAACCTCTAAGGTTCTTAGGTACATCTCTGAGATAACGCGTTTTAGTAAAACGTAGTTTCAATTGATGCTGATGTTCAGAAAGAAATGGTACTAGAATGATTTCCTTGGGGTTGATAGTCTTGTAATTAGGATTAGGAAGCTGCAGCGTGTAAATGTCTACATTCCACAGGCTCTGGGAGCAGCTGTTTTAGTTGGGCAACACGACTATACCGATGTACGTATCACGTCACATTCATAAAAAAAGTCACTTTAATCCGCAATTTCTCATTCGAACACCAAAATGAAAAAGACGGCTGCTAATTGGATGGACTCACTATGCCTTTAATGAAAAATCCATCTAGCAGCCAATTGATACTGTACTACTGAACGGATTGAAAGCAGGCAAATCTGGAAATCACCGTTCATTGTTTGCCCACTAATTGCACACCGGGAAAGAACAAAACACCATTCCTCCTTGGTGGACTGTGGTAAATAATTTGGTCAAAAAAAATAAAAAGGTCACATTTCACACCTTCACATCCACTGCGGCCGTACTGTTGGAGTAATGAAATATTGAAATTAGTCGTTTGTTTCTGCCACTGACTCTCGTTGTCGCAACTATGTCGCCCGACATATGTCTAATTAACTAACAGCTCTGATACTCCAAAATTAATTATGTAATTAACAGCCAGATAAAGAATCTTAACGAAGAAATACTATATATCATGGGTAAGTTGTCCTATATATCTTTGACATTATAACATTCTATAAAGCGTATCAGCCTAAACCTAAATCATCAAAATACGGACTGCGCTGCCGCAAGTGGAGCTGAGTTTCTTCAAGTCGAGCACTATGTAACATTCTATAAAGCGTATCAGCCTAAACCTAAATCATCAAAATACGGACTGCGCTGCCGCAAGTGGAGCTGAGTTTCTTCAAGTCGAGCACTATATAGCAGCAATCAGGGAGCCCAAGAAAGTCATCTTGGCGTTCTGACATTTGAGGTTTGTTATATTAAGTGATGGAATATTGTTTCAAACATTCATTTCATGTTATTTACTTCTGCTGTTGCCTACATTGACCGTTTTTATAAGCAAACTGCCTATGAAAAAAAAAAAGGTTTTAAAAAAAATGTATTTGACGTGCATGCCTTAAATGCTTTAACAGGCAGGCTCCAATTTTTTGGCCCCGTAAAAATTCATATATTTTCTGAGCAAGAATATGAAATCAATCATAAAAATCTCTGCTTGCTCAATCCTTCATAATATAGTCGTTGTTATTCTATTTGTCAAATCAAAACGGAAATATCTCAAATCAATTGTATGCATTTATGTAGTAGATAGAAGAAGAGAGTAAATCAAAGATCAATTATTATATTAGGCGCCGGTCAATTTCATGCCTTTGTTACGATCGAGTTTGACACTGCGCCTGGCTGAGGGAAAACTCATTCCACCATTCCAATGATTGAGACCTGGCCAGTGATGATGCGTCTGTCGTGCATTCCTCCTGACCAATTCACGTCAAATTATTTTATTAATCAACATTCCTTTTTTTAACTTTTTGTTGAGATAATTTTATTTTATTTTTTTAATTGAAAAGAGAATGTTATAGATGCAAAACCAAATTATAATGTCACGGGTATGCTACCTCAACTATATCATGGTTACGACATTTTCCTGCCGCTGACGGCGGAGAATCCAGTTGAACTGATCCTCCTCTAAATTTAATTTCTTCTTTTATTAACAATCTCTCGGCGTTTCTAACTTCTAAGCTTATCGATCTCCAGACATCTTGATATTCTCTACGTCTCTATATCTCTTTTATCACTAGACTAGGATTCTTTTCGCATCACCTTTGTTTAAATATTATGCCGACATTGAGTTCTCTCGTAATTTCATTCAGAAGAATATGTAGGCTGTATTTAAGTTCCTTTCTCAAGAAACAGTAACAATGATTAGTTGGTTTTCCGGATACCATTAGCCCCATGCACACTGACATGTGTGAGATAATATCTCATCAATATTAATTTGTAGTCGCGGGATGCCATACCCAAATGGCCTTCATGATCATTAATATAAACAATTTCCCCTCCCTTCCTAGTACTGTTAGTATGGATAATCTTGTTTTTCGTATATACTCCCATTCCGGCTAATGTTTTCTCCCATCTATATCACTTTAAAATTTTCTCCCGACGTCCCAGAAAAATAGTGCAATAAGAAAACGAATCCAAAAAAACTAAGTGCATGAAGATGTAAGGTTAACAACCGGCGAAGCAAGTTGGCCAGAGAGGTTGGAGGTTGAGTTTTCATGGAAATGAGAGGAGACATTGCAACTCACCCCATAATAATGACACCAAATGACAAAACCCCCTCCAATCTCTCTCAAAAAAATTTTAAAATAAAAAATAAAATAAAAAACTAATAATTGAGAGACATATCCATCAGATTTCCAACTACCCCCCAGCATCTTATTTTGTCTATGAAGCTTTACAATAATTATTTTACCCTATTTTCCATTTCCCCCCATCATTTATAAGCTGTACTCTCTATTCTATTATTATTGTTATTAGCATGCATATATTAGGACAACTCCATGACAAGTTATAAAATCTATTTATTTTTTCTCCTTTTCTTGTTGCGTGTTTGAGCTAACCGAATTCTTTCACAGATGTACCAATTTTTTAATTGGTGGCTTGCTAGTTGCTAGTTGCTAGCTCACTTGAATTAATTATAAAATTTATCAGAAAAGATGAAGTAGAAAAAGTCAACATTATTGGTTCAAGAGAACAGTCGAGAGCCAAGGAATCATGTCCCAAGTCAATCCGCAGGCATTTATTTTGCATACATGGTATCTTAATTCATTTTCCAAAGAAAAAAAATGGTCTCATTGCAAAAACTGTACATGACTGCATTTTCTTTCGTACAATAAAAGAAGCGAAATGCCTTAACCGTACTCTATTAAAATAGTCATCCAAATCAATCGTCTAATTAATTCTCGTTTATATGTGTCGAAAGCAATCTTTAAACTTTGATGAAGTCCTTGTGGTTAGTCAAAATCAGAGAAAAATAAATTCCACTTAGCAGTGTTTCTTGACTATCGTGCATGGCTCAACTTGAATGTGAAAACGTATGGTCGAAGAAGAAAATCTAAAGCTGTGGAAAGAATGAATGCCATGACTTTGATTCTTTGGGATGGAAAATTAATGTTATTTTTAAAAACCAAAAGAAACAAAAAAAATAAATTGAGAATGTATATATAAGGTGTTGGTGGATGTGTGAATAAACACCTAAATTTCCGACACAGAGTTTAAGAGCTTTTGGAGGTATAGATCATATGGATGATGCATGATGGCTGCAGGTAATAAACTGGTAAGCCATCATCATCTTCATCATCAAAGCAGCAAACTTATGCATGAGAGAAGTGATGGAAGTATAGAGAGCAAAAGCACGTGATGGATGGATGGATTCATTCATGATCTTCTTCTCAAAGCAAACAAACATCTAACATTCAACCAAATTTATAATTAGCTAGAGCTAAGCTTATTATTTAATCATACTCGATCGGGATAATGTTCATTATTAATTCCATCTTACTAATAAATACTCTTTTTATCACAGAAAAATAATCTATTTTAAGTTTTAAAATTTGTGATAAAATTAATACAAATATTAAAATTCAATATAAACTAGTATTTTTTTAAGACAGATAAATTAACCATATATGCGTGGCCCTAGTCTTTCTTGATGATCCATTTGCAGCTGTGAGAGTCTATTTGACTCCTCATCCACATTCTACTATCAAACTCTCTTCTGGGCCCTCCTCCATCTATGATATTGATGTTGATTTTTGGAATTTTAATGTTTTTATTTCTTACATAATCGAAAAGCTAAAGACCAAAAACAACCAAGCTCGTGATGCTTGTTCTTTGTAGAGAGCCTGATAATAATAAAAGTAATTGAAGAAAAACTAGAAGCGCCTTACAGTTACAGGGTTAAAGCTGTTAGAAAAACGTCTTATCGTTGGGACATTTCTTGTGCCCCTTCCCTGCAACTTTCGAACAAGTCTTACGTTGAAGTAGCAATTCGATCCCACAAAATGGGGGGAAAAACAACCATGTAAATAATTAATAACCACATGCTTGATAATCCTTGCGTACAACAATGACTGTTTGTGCCATAATTATTTTTGGGACAGAATACGTGTTATTTATTCTCATCAATTTCTGCTAATCAAATGTTAACTCCAACTTTCCAATATTTCGTTTGTAATCTCTTTTTCATACTCTACAATATCTTTTCCAAAATAATTATCCAGTTTACATCTTTATTTTTTTGTGTGTAAAATTATACTAAAAATAAAAAATAAGTAGACCGATCATTTTAGTACATGAGAAATATATCTTTTCTTTATGCCAGTTTAACCAGACATGTTATGTTGGTGAGCTTTCAAGTATCAAACAGTGAGCTATTAGATTGATCCGAAAATGTTACGGAGAAGATTCACACAAATTAGCTAGTGTTTTGTCACGATGATGATCTTTTGATAAAAATGATTAGTTGGGGCCAACGTGAAGTAAACGAAAGGGCCACCGTTAATGGGGTACTACTTAATATACTTTAATTAATTACATAAAGTTAAGGCTAAATAACAAATCCATCAACTCCATTAGATATTCATTAGAGAGTTGTTGTCTCAACTCATATACAACATTAACTTAAACTAAAGATTCCTAGTATATAAACAACAAAATGTTGTCTTGATTATGGGACTGGACTAGCTATATATATGATAGCTTCGAGACCGTGAGGCATCATTGCAATTAACAAACAAAGAAGCCAAACAATCAATTTTTTGTTCATTCAAAACTTGAAAAGCTTATAGCAAAGGAACAAAAGAGGGGTGGGATTAAAGAACCAAAAAAAGCAAAGGAGGCAATATGATTGCACGAATCAAACAGATCATCTTTTGTTTTCTTTCTTTGTTGGAAAGAAATTAAACAAAGAAGAGAGAAATATATTGAAGTGCTGGAATTACGTAATTCCTTTTTTTTTTTTTTTCTTTTTTTGTAAAATTACGAAAAGGTAGGGTCATCTTCTCCGGTGCTTACCTCTGTCAAAGCAAAATGAAGCCCTTCTTCATGGATTGATTTCATTTGAATGTATGATAAAGAACACCGCACGTGGTTGTCTGAAGCCAACCTCATCACGAAGACTGCCCCTTAAAGATATCTACTACTATATTTCACACTTTTTATTTTGTTCTAAAAATAAATAAATTGATGTCTAATAATCCACAGATATGAAGTCATTTTCTGATAAATGTTTTGTGACAGTTGTGGTATTTGACTGTCATGATTGATTACTTGCCATACTCTCAAATTTTATGTTTCGTGCGTACGCGATTCTTTTTCTTTGGTACAACAATAGGGCATTATTTTAAATAATACTCATAAAAAATCTTAGCTCATTTCAATCTCCAAACCTCTAAAAATCGACTTAAAACCTTAACTTCAGGTTAAAACTTAAGATCACCTCCCTATCTATATTTTGTTATCCTTTTCATTCTTCTTCGTTTTGTAGAATATCATTTTCTTTGTATAGTACAAATCTCAAAGCTCAATATAAACTATTTCTTGGGAGAGAAGGAGTATCGCCGTACAACCGAGCCAGTATATTACATTGCATGACCTGTCACAATTAGTATAGCCACAAAGAATGATAATCATGAATCCTCATATTACTGTTTTGCTTTATTAATCAATCTTTAGCTAGTATACAAAATAAGTAAATAACTCATCAATTTTCATGCTAGGGGAGAAAAGAAAAATATCAAGAAGAAAGCAAATAGCTTTCCCATATGATCCCACAGCCCATATAATTCCCACTCATTATGTTTGTTGCTTAAAGCTTGCACTCTCTCTCTTCCCTCCCTTACCCTTCTCTCTCTCTCTCTCTCTCTCTCTCTCTCTCTCTCTCTCACCTATTCTCTCTTTCATCTGATAAGAAAACCAGCCATTGCCAGCTGAACTCTTCTCTCTATACTAAGGAATTACATAACCAGTAGCTTGAAGAGAAAGGCTAGATTTCAAAAAGAAGCCCTATATACATATCTTCTATAGGGGGAGAAAAGCTAAAAAAAAAAAAAAAAAAAGGAAACCTCAAGAAGAGCCCACAAAAGGTGTTTCATCCTTTCATTTGTGAGGGTCATCTACAGATACAAAGAAAGAAAGAATAGCAAGCCTTAGCTGAGGGGAAAAAATAATAATTTATTTTTTACTACTATATGATCTCAATATAATGGATGCTGATCATCATCATCATCATCATGCTCATGCTATTCACAGATTTTCAAGTTTCCCATTGCAACTCTTAGGGAAAAATGATGATCAACAACAACAATCTCGTTCTACCTCAGTTTATCCATCTTTAGCTATCTCTTCTTCACCCAGCTCCATCAATACTACTTCTGATAATATTATTGTTGATGCTGATAAACAAAGTGGTGTTGTTAGTGATAGTCAGGTGACGACGGCGGCGCCGACCAAGAAGCCTCAGCCAAAAAGAGCATCAACAAAGGATCGGCATACAAAGGTAGATGGTCGCGGCCGGAGGATCCGGATGCCGGCAACTTGCGCCGCCAGGGTTTTCCAGCTTACTAAAGAGCTCGGCCACAAGTCCGACGGCGAAACCATTGAATGGTTGCTACAGCAGGCGGAACCGGCGGTTATTGCCGCCACGGGAACCGGCACGATTCCGGCTAATTTCAGCACGCTTAACATCTCAATGAGAGGGTCCGGGTCAAGTTTGTCAGCACAGTCTCAGTTAATGATGAGGAATAGTTATTTCAACAACCACCAATATCAGAGTTTTATGGGGAATAATATCTTGAATCTTTATGGCCATAATGTTGGAAATGTGGATTCAGTTTTGAAAGCTAAGCAAGAGGTAACACGCCATCAAGAAGAAGGGAGCAACAGTTACCTTGATTTGGGAAGGAAAAGAAGGCCAGAAGAAGACTTGACATCTTTGCAAAACAATTACTTGTTACAATCAAGTTCGAGTTCCAGTTCGAGTTCGAGTTTCCTTATGTTGGCAAATAATCCTCCTAGTTCTAATACTAGTCAACTACATGATTCTTCATGGAGTAGTAGTACTAATACTAGTGCTACATTTCCTAGTAGTATGAGCAGTAATACTATTAGTAATAATAGTGGCTTGAATAGAGGAGGTCATCATTTCTTGAATTTTACTGCTACTACTTCAGCAGCCTTACTTCCCGGCTTGGCTAATGTCACTAATATTGGAAGTTCCGGTGTTTCAACGGCGGCATTTGATGGGCAATTGGGAATGCTGGCGGCGTTCAACGGCTACCGGCCGCCTAATCAAGGTGGCGCAGATGATTGGCGTGGTAACTCAACCACCACTCACCAACACTCCTAAGGTGCAACAAATTAAGTATACGGCGCTTGATTGAATTAGCTAGTTAATTTGCATCTTTTTCCTTCTTCATTTTTTTTTTCTGTACTTACTTATAAGTAAGCTGGCTTTATATATATTCAAAGACAAGTTTAATTAGTAGTCATCTTCATATATCTTATCTAAGGTTTGATCAAGTCATCTTTCGTTTAATTATGTTCAGTAGTAATCACTATTGAGTACGAATTAAGTAGGTTTTTCACTAGTATTGTACTGTGAAAAAATTTGAGCTTCGATGCGAAACTAGTGTTAAATGTGGTCTCCTACGGAAAAATGAAAAAAAAAAAAAGAAAACAATGGTGAGTTTCTTTCTCAAGTTACTTCTAAGTAGTTAGAATTATTATTGTTCTGATGTTTTTACGAGCCAAACTTGCATCATTATGCTTTGTGTTTGAGTAGTTATGTGAAATTGCATGCAAAAGTTCATCGATCCATTTTAATTAGGGTTATCCCATAAGCTACACATTTGCCTTTATATTACATAGTAGCATGTTGTGAACATTACTAATTAATTAGCTAGCTAGGTCGAAAAGAAACAACGTCGATAGACGTTAGTCTTGGCTTGCTGCCCAGTGATCAAGAGCATTTTTTTTTTTTTTTTTTTGTATGTGTTACGTTTCTGTTTAAAATATCTAGAAATGTTTCACCTATTCTGTTAAAACTAATTGCTGTGAGATAAGCTATAATGAAGTTATGCAATGTAGGGGTAAGTGTACTACCGAATTGATTGTGACCAGGCATCAGGAAGATTAAGCGTACGTTTGCTTCATCAGTTTTGTCAATGTGCACCCTTTTGATGTTGAAGGATGACCATGTTTGCCGGTTAGGAACATGCAAACCCTTTATTGATGCAATTCACATACCCACCAAATACTACCATATATTATACTGTAGTACTATAAAATTAAAATTGGGTACAACAATATTATTGTTGTTAAATTTTGAGGGTTTTGCAGCAATGTATATGCGAGAAAGCTGGTCCAATTAGAGCTTTAATTACCGATCGAAATAAGATTGAAAAAGATGAGACCCACCAATAAGATACAGTACACAGTGACTTTTGGTTTTCATGTCAGGCATTATGAGCCCTAGTAGCTGCACAACATATTGGTGAAAGAACTCATCGGGATGAATTCCATTGAGTGTTGTACAGCCTGAATCATGCATGCATTTCTCTCTTTATCATGTAAAAGTTGCTGCAGCCACCGAAGATGGTGGGTAATTATTTGTGTTTTTTGCCCGACCCTACCACACATGTTACGACCAAACAAAATCAAGTTCCGGAGACCTTACAAGTTGACCATGAGTCCCTCTCCTGAAACCAGGTTACCATATTGTTGAATATTGTGTTCCTGCTCTCTCTTAAAAATCATAGTCCTGTATTAATTGTACGATGAAACGGCATCAGAAATATATAAGAAGATTGAAGAGAGTATATATTATGATTGAAGCAATAATGTTACCAGACAGTTAAAGTACTTTAACCAACTTTGATCTTAAGTTGATTTACCACCTATTGAATTTCGGTTCAATTTTTCAAGTTTGTGTACATGTACAGAGTTCTCCCATCAATGCTAATTATTATTTGTACAATGGGAGTAGCTGAATCCTATGTACAAGAGATAACATTACGTGACTATCAAATTCTTATGAGATCGTATTGTAATCATTGCCTCATTTCGCCGGCCGGCTATGAAAGCTCGAAGGATTGATAACTCCTAGGGCTCAGAAAAGCGATATTAATCACCATACAATCTGAGCTAAAATTAGCTTTTCTATACATATGATATCCCCCAGCTAAATTTTATTTTTAATCATTATTAACTTAAACAGTGTGGGAAGACGCCAATCTAAAAAGGGTACATTACAAGATTCAAATGAAGAGCAATCACAAATGATATGCTTTTTTTTCCATTAAAAAAAATAAAAAATAGTCCACATCATAAGTTTTATAATTTTTGATACATATAATGTAAACTATTTTTGTGATATATTACGGGCTAATTTCTCAACTTAATGGATAGTCTTTAGCTACAAGTGGACCGGGTGATTTTCAGAGGTCCTTCATTGCACTGCTAATAGTTAAACTGTGGTTAGGATAGGTATACTAATTGATAATTCTTACCTGCATTATATGTTTGTTAATTTGATCTAGCTACTTGGCCTTTTCTTTCGTACACTTACGGTTCCCCAAGTATTTTTGCACTTAAATTAATTCGCATCGAAATGGGAGATTTCTTTTTGGAGGATAAACTCTCCCAACATTGTTCTTTCCATTCACAAGACTAGAGTTCGAGATCTTGCTAAAGGAAACCAAAATATCTTACCACTTCGGTCAAGCAAATGTTGGCAACTACTTGGCAACAATATCCTAGGCATTTTGCCTTTTTCTTTTTCTTTGTACCAAAAAAAAAAAAGAATAAAAGTTTTATTTATCAGAGTGCAGGTATACAAGCATTGGTACAAGCCTGTTGGTCTTATATGGGCTTTTCGTTTGAGCCCGTCTAGCCTTGTCTTTTGGGCTGAACCCAACCTTAGTTGTTTACTTTTATTACTCCCAGTTTATTGCTAAGGTAATAATAAGAGTGGGCGCCTTTTTCGATTTTTCACTATTCCATGGCGCGTTTCGGGGAGTCAAAAAGTTCATGCAAGAAACTAGGACCAGGGCGCAAAATCTAGTCCTCCACATCCCATATCAATTTTATACACCCAGCCAATGGAAAACAACCACGACATTGTTTTCCCAACTCTATACAGTCGAACTCGAATCTGATTAGCCAGTGCAAGATGAGAAATTCAACCCGCGCTGCATTGAATTAAGACAAAGATTTTCGGTGCCTCTTTATTGGTGAAACAGAAGAAAATGATGTCTTAGAAAAATTTGATGCTTCTAAATTACTCGTTCCATTCCAAAATAAGTATCATTTTAGCAAAATGTAGAAATTTCAAAATAAGTGACGTTTTTACATTTCAATGCACTTTTGGTCAAAAATTTTCAAAATTACCCTCAAAAGAATTGATGCTATTGGTCAACAATTTTATAATGGGGTTGGTTGAGGATATTCAAATAATTTTATTACCCTATTTAAGAGTTTTTTAAACTATGTGCAAAATGTAAGATGACACTTATTTTGGAATAGAGATAATAACATCTTTTTCAAATTCACCTTTTGCTTGCTGTCAGAAAAAAAAAAAAAAAAAACTGTACCCTTTCTTAGTACTTTCACTTTATTCTTCTCAAGTTTTTCTTCCTTGTGTTTACTGTCCAAAGTTTAGCAAGACAATGGAGGTGTAGAAGAAGGAAACAACAAGAACTAGCAAACAGCAAAGCTCAAGAAGTCAGCTGCATCTAAAAGAACACCAACCCATTAAATCTTTTGCAGAGTTGCTGCTTTTAGTATTTTTATTTCAGGAAAAGAAAAGAAAAGAAAAAGATGGGTAATTCTGGGGATAATCTTATTACTGTGATAGCAAAGAACATTGATGTCCTTGCTATGTAAGTTTTTTATTTTCTTCATGAGGGATTTCTTTTTATTAGTCATTGGTTACATAATTACAGTCTTGCAACATGCAGACTGCTTCTTCCCCTTGTCTTTTTAACTCAAAAAGCTACTTTCTTTTTTCTTTTTTTTTTCCTTTTCTTGCAGGCCTCTGGTTTCTCTTGTTTATCCTCTGTAAGTCTCTTCCCTGCTATATTAATGCTCGTCTTTGTTGATTAATTTAAAGCGCAAGTTTTGGAGGGAAGTAGGAACTAATAAATGCTGAATCAGATTTAGGGCTTGGGGTTAATGGAACTTAATTAGACCCAACTTGAAACTTGAAAATCTTCCAAGAAACTTGAAAAAAGACTTCTCCTTTTTCACATTTGGACTTTTGGAGGTTTCCCAATGTCCCTTATGGCCTCCACCATCATATATTGTGGAAAAGGAGAAAACTTTACATTTCTGTTCATCTCACTTCAATCCTTTGGGATGATTTGTGACAGGTATGCTTCTATCAGAGCTATTGAGACTAAATCTCGTGATGATGATAGGCAATGGTTGACTTATTGGGTTCTTTATTCCTTAATCACTCTGTTCGAGCTCACATTTTGGAAAGTTCTTGAATGGTAAGCCTGCAGAAACTTCAGAGTTTCATGGTCTTATTTCCTTTAGTTTGAAGTTATACTCGTCATTACTTAAATAGTGTGTATTGCTTTGAATGTGTTACAAATGAGTCTGTCTTGCTACCTTTAATTAGTACTCAGTTAAGGTTGATGTTTACATTAATTTAGGTTTTGTTTATTACCAAATTAAGCTGGTTGTCCTGATAGGTTTTGTGTTATGTTCTTTGATTAGGCTTCCCATTTGGTCATATGCTAAACTGGCTGCAATATGCTGGCTAGTGCTTCCTTACTTCAATGGAGCAGCTTATGTTTATGAGCATTTCATCAGGCCTTTCTACCGGAACCCGAGTGTCAAAATCTGGTATGTTCCTCGAAAGAAAGATGTTTTCAGTAAACCAGATGATGTGCTCTCTGCTGCAGAAAAATATATCGAAGAGAATGGGCCAGAAGCTTTTGAAAGAATGATAGCCAGGGTATATAAATATTGCAAATTCCTGACTTTCGTATCATAGCTTTTGAAAGGTTTCTTCCATTTTCATAATGACATTGTGTTTGTGAATAATAACTCTTCATCTGTTTCTGTTTACAGGCTGATAGAGAATCAAGGTCAAGGCGGAGCAGCTACACAATTTTTGATCATGATTATGGATATTGACACTTGACGGAGTATTTTAGGCTAGTTATCTGTTTTTGTCTGGCATAAAGGCCAATTTGCACACAGCCTATCTGATGAATTGACCGTTCTATTTGGTGTTTTCCTGTTCCTGAAGCTTAGCTTTGCCTATCTAATGAACTTGAGCTTCACTAATTGTATTCCTTAATTTCTATCCTTTTTGTTTCTTAATCTATGTTAACCTTCTTGTGTTGCTTGATATAGTGGTTGAGATTTCTACCAAAAAAAAAAACTAAAAGGTAAAATGTGTCCATCCTTGCTTCTTCTTCTTCTTCTTTTCCTCCCCCTATTTAAAAATAAAAAGTAAAAAGGGGAAAGCGGTCTATCCCCGTGTTAATCAAGATGATAACTTCATCATTATATATACTTGTATAAGGTGGACAATTTGAAACTCTAGAAAAATCCACTAGTACAGTTTGTTTTGATTAATAATAACATGAAACAACATTCAAAAGACAATAATTATATTAAGAAAGAAACTTTGTAACCATCGGAAACAACTAGAAGGTGTTCTATGTAACCAAAAAAATATTACTCTCTCCATTCAAAAATAAGTTTGTCTTTGCAAAATTGAGAAAAAATTCAAACTAAGTGTCTTTCTTATAGTTTAATATATAATTTGTTGATTTTTCCGAATTTACCTTCAATAGAAGTACAAGATTAATAACATCTTTTTGTTTTAAATTAACAGGTATGATAGAGATGGTTAAGTAATTTACATATCAAAATTAATTGTTTCTTTAACTGTGTTTGTATTTTATTTAGTTACAATTCTTTTAGAATGGACGGAATACAAGTCTATAAGTGTTTTTTTCTTCTTTTTTTCGGTTTCTAGAAGTTAGGATACAATTGACCCATATATCATTTGATGCATCCATAAAAATAAAATCACACGAAGATTAAGGTGATATTAGTTTTCGGATAAGTTCCCAAATCCCCAGTAGGAATAATGGGCGCGATCAGTGCTGAATTTCCAAAACTTGTTAATCATAAAAGGGCAGTCTTTGTAAATTTTAAAACAACAAGAGAGAGAATGCAATTATCAAAAGATCCAACATTTGGCCTTATTTGTTATTCGGTGTTCATGAAAGGGACAAAAGCAGAAACATCCCAATCATCAAATCTGAGACTCAATATATGACTTTTTTTTGCTTTAATTTTTGTTTGCTTTAGACGCTGACAAGGCATTACTCCGAAATACAAGGGATGTAAGAAAGAAAGAAAAACTCAAAAAAAAAAAACAAAAACAAAATAGCTGATCGCAAGAAAAAGATTTCAAAAGGGAAAAAAAGAGAGAACAAAATGCCAGAAATTACACATTAAAATTTGTGGGCATTTCACGAACAAAATTTCTGCTGAAATCATTCATTCGCCTGCAAAACCCTTTTGATTCCAGGAAAAAAAAAGGGTTAATAAAACAACCCTTTTAATATTTAGCTGAAAAGGTTCAGTCTTCGTTGGATCTTTTTTGCTCTGCCAGAGTCATTGAAACCCACGAAATAGAGTTTAAAGGAAAAAAAAAAGGGGGAAAGGGCATGCTCCAGATTCATTCTTACTTGGCTGCATTATTTTTTCTAAAGTGGATGGAAAGGTAAAAAGAAATTTTCCATTTTTTTTTTTGGTTTTAGTGCCATTGTATTGGAGAATGTGGTACAGAATTTTTGTTTGAAGGATCAAGAATTCGTTGAATTTCAATTGGAAGGTTGAAGAGATATTCCCCAATGCTTCTAAATTTCACTGGCAAAGTCAATTCAGCTGCTCCAGAGCTGAATCATGATTAGTTTATGAGTCTTGAATAACTCTTGTGGGGTGGTGGCAAAAAGTTTGGGCGTTCTTCTTAGTATTTTGTGTTTGTGAACTTGAATTTAGTATTTCAACGTCATGCATCAATTATGGTGATGTTATGATGGGGTAAATGAAAAGGGACCGGCTTCTGTGATATTTTCGTATTCGAAAGAGTAGGTGTTGGAGAGGGAGGAATTAGTTTTTGGGCTGTGGAGGTTCAAATGGGTTCTGGGCTCTTCATAGTGTCTATAGATTGCATCGTGAATGGCTGATTTGCTGAGGCCTACTACTCTTGCTGAGAGAGACATTGACCAGGTATTTGCCTTTTTTACTTTGTACTTATGAACGATATTTGTTGATATTAGGCTTGTACTCGTTTGGAGTTTGATGATTTGTGTTTTCTTTCTTGGCTAAAAGGCCATTACAGCACTGAAAAAGGGGGCTTTTCTTTTGAAGTATGGGCGGAGAGGGAAACCAAAGTTCTGCCCGTTTCGATTATCCAGTGTAAGTTTATTTAAAGCTCATTCTCTGTCTCGGTGCCTTACATATTCATGATCTACTTTAGTATACTTGGTGTAGAAAGTGTTAAGAATCGACATTTTGGCTTAGTAGTTCACTTCTGGAGTTTGCAATGTAAAATAAGCTCTCTACGATTGTAAGTAACAGGAAAGATTGAGCTCGTCCTTTTTCAGCTATTTCTGTTTGTTCCCTTATCTATAACTTAGTTCTAAACAAAGTCTCACTTCTACTTTTGTGCTTCATAATAACTCTGGATTTTTGGCGATTTTAGGATGAATCTGTATTAATATGGTACTATGGCAAAGAGGAGAAACAACTTGATCTGCGCCAAGTCTCGAGGATAATTCCTGGGCAGCGTACTGTAAGTATGCTGATTTTCTTCTATATTCTTTCCCTTATTTTATTTGTGGTTCAAATGTGGCAATCATTGCCAAAATTATTGCTGATTTTGGGGTGACGCAAGTTTCATATTTCACAAATGCACTTTTGTTCTTGTCCCTCATAGCTTATGCATTGTTCATGTGATACAGCTTCCCCTTGAATCTTCACTCTACGGTCATGTTTATAGTGTCAAATAACTGTGACTTCCTTTAATGACGAGGCTTGACTTATATATTATTGATGTTACCATTCAGGCAATATTTCAGCGCTACCCTCGTCCGGAGAAGGAATATCAATCATTTTCTCTCATATACAATGACAGATCCTTAGATGTGGTGAGTTTGGTGTTTCTTTGTGTTGTAATTTCAGAATGATATGGAAAGGCAACCACTTTTCTAGAAATACAAATTTGCTTATTACTGGCGCAATCTTGGACAGATATGCAAAGATAAAGATGAAGCTGAAGTATGGTTTGCAGGTCTAAAAGCACTTATTGCTCAGGGTTCCTACCGCAAGGCTAGAAATGAAGCAAAGACCGAGACATCATCATGTGAGAGTCCACGTGGTCGAAAAGCCTTCCCATCAAATCTATCTTCTGTGAGTTATTAAATGAAAATCATTCTTGTGTGCTTTTAGATTAGTGGATAATGTTAGTTTAGAACATTCTTAAGTGAACTTGTTTTAATGCTTGGTTCTGTTAGGATCAAGGAGACACTCCACGGCCCGAAAGCATTCCGCAAAGCAGATTGGGGAAAGCCTTTGCTGATATTGTTTCATATACAGCAACATCAAAGAATCCTTTACCAGCTGAAACAGTTACAAGTTCTATTGGCTCTCTTTTACCTGGGCCCACAGATAACTCAAATGGCCGGAGTTCAACAGGCGATACTAATCGAGTTAGTTTGTCCAGTGCTGTAAGTTCATCTAGCCAGGGATCATGTCGTGAAGATTTTGAGTGTTTGGGAGATGTTTTCATTTGGGGAGAAGCCACTGGTGAAGGATTACTGGGTGGTGGAGAACTTAGAGTTGGTGAACTTTCTAACAGCAAAATAAATGCCAATATACCTAAAGCTCTGGATTCGACCATGGTTCTTGATGTCCAGAGTGTTGCTTGTGGTGATAAGTATGCTATATTAGTTACTAAACATGGGGAAGTATTCAGCTGGGGTGAGGACAAAGGAGGCAGGTTGGGTCATGGACTTGAGACTGATCTTTCCAATCCCAAGCTTGTTGGGGCTCTTAGTGGTATGAGCATTGAAATGGTAGCATGTGGGGAGTACCACACCTGTGCTGTCACCCTTTCCGGAGATCTGTACAGCTGGGGTGATGGCACTCATAATTGTGGTTTGCTAGGGCATGGAAGTGAAGCCAGTTACTGGATCCCTAAGAAAATCAATGGCTTTATTGAAGGCATCCAGGTGTCGTATGTATCTTGTGGTCCTTGGCATACTGCCGTAATAACATCTGCTGGACAGTTATTTACATTTGGTGATGGAACATTTGGTGCATTAGGCCACGGAGATCGCGCTGGCACCTATACTCCCAGAGAAGTTGAATCCTTGAAAGGACTACGGACTGTAAGGGTTGCTTGTGGTGTCTGGCACACTGCTGCTGTTGTTGAAATTAGTGTGGCTTCCAACCCTGGACTATCAGATGGTTGTTTGTCGGGTAGTTTGTTCTCTTGGGGCAATGGAGATGATGGACAACTTGGTCACTGTGATAAGAAATGTAGGTTAGTCCCCCAACATGTTGCTGCATTGGATAGTTTGAGTTTTTCTCGGGTAGCCTGTGGACAGAATCTAACTGTTGCTCTGACTACAGCTGGGAAAGTGTATACAATGGGTAGTATTGTTCACGGCCAGTTGGGAAATCCTTTAGCTAATGGGAAGGACCCCACTTGTGTTGAAGGCAAAATAGCTAACAGTTTTGTCGAGGAGATCGCTTGTGGTTCACATCATGTTGCTGTTTTGACTTCAAAAATGGAGGTTTATACCTGGGGTAAGGGTTCAAATGGTCAGTTAGGCCATGGACAGAATAATGATAGAGATTCACCTAATCTTGTTAACTTTTTGAAGGATAAGCAAGTTAGGAGCGTAGCATGTGGCTCAAATTTCACTGCTGTTATTTGTCTGCATAAAGGAATGTCTTCTGCTGATAATTCTGTGTGCTCTGGCTGTCGCAACCCTTTCAACTTTAGAAGGAAGCGCCACAATTGTTACAACTGTGGACTTGCCTTTTGTACAGCCTGCAGCTCTCGGAAATCCATGAGAGCTTCATTGGCCCCTAGTATTAACAAACCATTTCGTGTTTGTGATGATTGTTATAGCAAGTTACAGAAATCTTTGAACTCTAGGTCTGCACCTCGAATTCCCAATGTCAAGAGTGCAACTGGGCTTTACAGGTCATCGACAGAAAAGTTACCAGAATCCAAACTCCTCCATTCTGACTCATTCAGTCTGGCTGATGCTGGCAACATTAAGAATATGAGTAGAGTAGCATCAAGTGGTAGCAATTTGTTCCTTTTCCAGAATGTTGATGACCAGAGAGTTAGTGCTTCCTCTAAATCCCCCAAAGGCCCTACTGGAACATCTAAAATTCTTCCATTATCTCTTCCTAGTTCTAGAATGGGTTCTCGGTCACCATCTCCTGTCCAAGGAAAATCACGACCACTGCATGCTGCAACAAGCACTCTATCCCTCAATGGTCATAAAGATGAATCAAGCGTTGGTGATTTAAAGCAGGAAAACGATATTCTACATGTGGAGATCAAATGTTTGAAAGCACAGGTATGCAGCTGCATTAATTACATTGTTGCCATGCTATTATCAATACTGAAGAATGGTTTCTGTGATCTTACATTGTCAAAAGAATTGCTGAAACACGATTTTTGGCATCTACGTTTCCTAAAGTTCAGAAGCCCTCGGAAGAACTTTAAGTTTTCGAGATGCTTTGATGTATACTTTATTATTTTTTGTGTCAGCTACATTATAAAAATAAAGTAGCAAATAGATTGACATCCACCTAAAATGACCATCGTATGTATTTAAAGGTGGAATTTTCTTGTTATGTGCCTAATTGCCAATCACTTGTTTGGTGCATTGTCAGCCTCTTGAGAGATTGAGCAATTTATAGGCCTATTGTTTGCTATAACATAGTTCAAGTATCTGCTTTTGAGGACTCCACATTCTTTTGTAGGTGGAAGAACTAGCCAGCAAATTGTGCATCCTTGAAGCTGACCTTGAGTCAAAATCAAAGCAACTGAAGGAGGCTACGGCACAAGCAGCAGATGAGGCTGAGAAAAGTAGAGCTGCTAAGGAAGTTATAAAGTCTTTAACTGCCCAGGTCAGCTTCTCCATTTGTTAGACAATACACTTGAAAACTTTACTACTGTGGAAGTGATTGGCCATTTGCAGATTTCACAATATGCATTCTTTTCCTTTTTTCTCCTTGAGTTGTAGTATACCATTCCATTTGGTTTCAGGTAAAGGAGAAGGTCTTGCTTTGGAAAATTTAATGTTACAGGAAAAATATTCCCTACATCTTCATTCTGTGGGTTTGACTGAGCTATATATCATAATACAAATGTCACGATCATTTCAGCTTTTACCTTTTTTCGTCACTATAATTTCTACTACCTAAGTACATCTGAGCATATCTAGAAAGTCTTTGGAAGTGTCTATAGTATTAGGCACTCCCTTTCGTCATACCTATCTGACAGCTATTTTTCTGCATTAGGCTTTTTGTGTTTGAATGTTGGCTTTTATCTTTTCTTGTGCTCATCAAGAAAAGTCTTGAGTGCAACTGTTGATAGTCTCATTGTTCTAACAGTTGAAAGAGATGGCTGAAAGGGTGCCTGAGCCTGAGAGTCCTTCTACAGTGTACCACAATTTAAATGCTAATGTAGAACAAGCATCCGAGGAATCTTACATGCCGGGTAGTGGGAGGAATGTGAACCGCCTACCCCCTGTCAGCACTGGGTCCAGTGCAAGCTCAAATAATCCATCTTTATCTAATGGAGCCAAGGATCAGTTGCAAAAACCTGAAAGGGTCATACAAGATGAACCAGGAGTATATATTTCTCTCTGCTCCTCTCCTGGAGGTGGGAACGAACTGAGACGCGTTCGTTTCAGGTAATATTCCAGCTTTGAGCAAGTTGGTACTTATTCTACATGCACCAGCCACAAAGCTGTTTCTGTGATTTCCCATGTTATGGAACAATCAAATCCCACACTGCTATTGCTCTTGCATGAAATGTTCATTATAATCATCGGTTATTAGTGTTTTGTACTGCGGTGATGATTGAAGGAAAATGAAAACAACCAACCACATATGCACAACTCTATTAATATTTGCTGCTAAACTGTGAAGATGCTGAAATACTTCTTGTTGAATCACAGAAGAATGAGAAATATAATTTCGTATGCTGTGACACCACAATATTAAGGCAGAAACCTAGATTTGCGTAATCTAAATCGAAGCTGCAATTTTCCACTGATCTATTTTTCCCCTTGCAGTCGGAAACATTTCAGCGAGGAGCAAGCAGAGAAGTGGTGGGCAGAAAATGGAACAAAAGTACTTGAACGACACAATGTCCGACTCCCAACTTAATTTGCAGCTTCTGTTGATTTCACTAGACACTGATGTTCTGACATCCTATAGAGTAGCATCTATTTTTTCTTTTTTTCTTTTTAGTTTAAACTTTGCCATTCTCCCTTTCTGTATCCTGACTAGCATGAACATATCGACAACGTGGAACACAAGCAAGGGGGCAAAAAAATGAAGATTCCTTAGGTACATTACTGATGTAAATTGTATCCTTCGTAGCTGTACGATTTGTTAGAGCTAATACTTAGTGCGTTTATGCCATTCAGAAAAGAGAGCAATTGTAGTTGGTGTTGCTTTTCCAAGACCTTCCCCTTCCCCTTGCTTTGCATTTTAAGTTTATGTAAATTTAGTTTTTAACTAACAGATTACACTTACCACACAACAGATTACAGATGTTCGGAAGGAATGTGTAGTTTCAGAACGCGATGATTTGAATTGGAGAAGAACATAAAATTGCTGGTTATAATCTAAGACAAAATACTAACAATAAAATCAAGCACTTAACAATGTATCTCAAGTATGTGGATCCATTTTTACCAGCCTTAATTGATCTGGATCTGTCCGAAGATTGTAACCAAATGACCAATGTCACGCGGTATACTGCAGCAAGTTATGCTTTTCCAAAGAGGGGTGTCATTGTACCGTACTAATATATTACAAAAGATATTGTAACTGTAAGGACTACTGCTTGCAGGTGCTACCAAGATCAGAAGGAAATAAAAAAATGACCTGCAGAAAAGTTCGAACTCAAAAAAGTTTTGCTTCCTGAAGACTTGGAACAAAAATGCTTAACTATGTTAATCAATATCTCAAGTGTATAACTACATCCAGCAGCTCAACGTTTGATTCAACCAGCTTTTCTTCTCTCAAAGGCAAAAAGAGTATGACAAAATCAGCCACAAGGAACTACTCGGACCTCAAAACTTCCGTATCTTGATGGGATAGAGAGGAACAGAAAAGGGGGCTGTTGATGAAGCAACTTCTATCTGCTTAAAGGTTCCAGTTGAACTTCCATTCTTTCAGAATGTGCATCTTTTTCGGGCACTGCCCGATTTGAGTTCAAAAGATCAACATCCTCCTCCTCACCATTACCCAACACCCAATTACTTCCTCCAGAAACTCTCTCACGTCTTCTCTTTTTCTCACGGTACTCCAAGTACAATACTGTCAAAGCACCAATCAAGAACCAAAGTATTAAAGCCCATGTAAGTCCATGGACATTTTCATCACCATACCTTTCTCCCAAATGGGTCATTCCGCTAATAAGAGCTGCAACTCCAACAAGAATGCCACACCTGCCTACGATAACATGGATATATTCCCAAATCATCCTCCTCTGAGAAACCGCTTCTTCATTTGAAGGTTTCTTAGGCCGAAAGTATGCATTCAATGGCTGAGCAACAGCCAACAATATAGCCAACATGCCAAATTTAACATGTACTGACTGGAAAACAAAACCTCGAAGTTCAGCTACCGCAAAAAGAAAGCCAAGAAAAATTATTGATAATCCAGAGTACTGCAGGTAAACATGAAGTTGAAACCATTTATCACCTTTCACATGCTTCAAGTATCTAGCAGCTAGGACACCGCCAGGAAGTAATATACCCCAAGCGAGAAACATCATAAATCCGTGCACAGCTAGCACGGGACGTAAATCCTCTTCTGCCTCTGCAGAACCATGCATAAGCAGCACATTAACAGGTCTCTTACTTGTAACAGAGTGCATATTGGTTACACTCAAGTGGTCATCAGACCATTGAGCACCCCTAGCCCAGATAACCCTGAGAGGGGTTGTTGGATCGACAATGTTCTTACATTCTGGCCTTTCATCCCCTTTATCACACGATGGATGCAAAGGACGAGTGAACTCCATAGTGATCATTCCGTTTTCAGACTTGCACCTTGCATATGTCAAATTCTCATGTGTTGGATGCAAGCTCGAGGCATCCTTTCCATCAATCCAATAAGTATCTATCCTTCCTTTACCACTCTCATCAATCCAAGCCACATAGGCAAAACTGTTTATCATTTCCCGGCCAAACCCAATTGCAAGATAACCACTCTTCTTCTCACTTCGAGCTGCAATTGAAATTGAATCTTTTGATAACGTCCAAAAAAGCGTAACTTGCTGATCATCTAAAACAACACTGCTGTTGTACATGTCTGGCAGACCCCCATCCACAACCTGAACTTTCCAACCCATTTTTGGGGTATAAACAGAATGATAATAAACTTGATCAGGGGTGTTGCGGTCAGGCGCCCAAACTAATTCTTTAGGGCTGGCTTTGACACCTTCTGCTTCAGGACCCCCAAAATAGATAGTCTCAGACATATTCCTCAGGGTAGCATTTCCACCAAGTGGATCAGAAGTGATATAAAATGCAACATCATGCCCAGCTTGAATGGAGAACTTGACTTGAACCCCCCTTTCTACCCGAAGAACAGGAGCCTCCTTATTGTTAATGTAAAGAACTTTTGATGGATTCGGGGGATTTGGATAATGCATCGCTGAACCAGTTGAAACAACTAAAGGCTCCTTAGCAGCAATAACAAGATCTTGGTCCTCCTTATTGTCTGCATCCAACGGGCCCAGACAATCATTCACACTCTCTGATAAGTTAAGAATCAAGTGCCCATAGGTACCACCATGGTTTTGAGGAAGATAAAATGGGCGAAGTTTATCAGGTGGCTTTATCAACCCCAAGGCCCAGATGACAGTCATGTTAGCTTTCCCATCAATAACCAAATCATACTTCTCATCGACACTCTTTAAAGGTCTCCTAAACCTTATAAAAGAAACCCCATCTTTCCTATGCCCATATGTGAGCCTCGTATTGTTAACCAGACCTACAGGATCAGAGCTTTCAAACATAGTATCTGGACAAACCCCCTGAAACTTCCCATCCTCATCAACTACACATTCACTATACTTCGAAATGAAATAATCATCAGCAAACGGCAATCCGTCCTCCTTAAATCCAGACACTGTGACATCACCACCCACCATAACCTTATCAGAAGCATTGGGGTTAGCCCAACCAAAGGCCATATAATTCAGAACACCAATAGCACCTTCCAGCCCCACATCAACAAACTCCCCATCTTCACTTAAATTCCACCGAACCCTATACTCATCTGACAAAACTTTACAATTTTTAAACATGGTAGGGGCCAAGGTACCAGTGTCATTAAAATCTGTGGAAGAATAATTACTCCCCAGGACAACATGACCAAAATCAGATGCAGTAGGCACATCCCAAACAGAAAGGACTTTGATCTGATCCCAGGTAACATTTTTCATCAAATTCACAACAAAGCTATCATTTTTATAGGTCTGATTCAACTTATGATCCGAGATCACAAAACCCTGAGTGAGATTTTCGAAGGTTTCACCAGAGGCACCCCACCAATGAACATCTTCAGACCCTTGAAGCATATCAAAATGAGAAACCTTAAACGAACAGTCATCTAGGACAGTGAATACCCCACGCAATTGGTGTTGAACCATCCAGAATTGGGATGTGTAGTTTAGAAGCGAAGTATTAGTTTTGGGGCAATTAGACCCATCATCAGCACCACAAAGGGAAATCACCAAACTAAATATAATAAGAAACCCAAAATAAAAGATGGGTTTTAACGGTGGCATCGCACCGGCGGCCGATTGAGATCCGTCCTTGGGAATCTCACTCAGGTTATTATAGTCTCCAACCGACGGAATATTTACATAAGCATGAAAACTTCAGAAAAAAGGAGAGAGAAAAGAATTACCTGAGCAAGAGCAAGGACAGATTTTTAAGAATTTGTCCCAAGGATTCCTTCGTAGAATAAATTGCCGAAGAAATTTTCACCAAAGTAGCCAACTTTTTGGAAGGGTATTGGGTGAGAAAGGAACAAACTTTGGGTTCAGAGAAGCCGGACGACGACTGACAGCTCTTTCCCCAGTCATATTCGGTGGTTTTATTTTTCTGCAAAGATGAATTGGTGTTTAAGCAAACGTGCACCACGGTGTCGTTTTATTAGCTTCAAAGGAAATTTGACTTGACTCGCTTTTTAAACTCGAGAAGTTGGTTTGATATCTATCGTTCAACAAATCAAGTCAGTCAAAATTGTGGCTTACAAGGTTTGGGCCACATGGGTAAATTTTTGACAATGCAGATTCATGGGAGAGTGACACTAGTTACAAGACGAGATGAAACAGAGAAGTTGGAATTTGTACTAACGATCAATTTTTCTTGCAACTATGGGGCTCCATTGTATCATAGAAAATGATAGCTTTGTGATCATTCAACTATGGTTGCATTATATGCAATTACAACTTCATATTCTATAGAAAAGTGACATCACACTTTGCTTAGCTACATCTTAGACGAAATAGGCCATCTTCTCCATCCAACTGAAGTATTTCTTCTCTAAAAGTGCTTAGCAAGGACCAGCGCACTGTGCAGGCACAATAATATAGTAGCTCTCATATTGCCTACATTGAACATCATGTTTGAATCGATATACAGATGGTCTTACTCGATTGAGAACAGAACAAATACAAGCGTTTCACTACTATCTCCCCTTGTAGGAACGGGACGAGCTGGTAAATTGTATTTTCTCCTCTTTGAACGGTTGAGTTGCTTCATCTGACACTGTAGGCAATCTTGACACACTGCCCTTCCCTCTCTTTGAATTCGGTCCAATAACCTCTATCATGTATTTCCATCCATCAATAGGTCTTCTCCGGCTAAATATATGTTGCTTGACGAAACTTGCAATCTGAATAAAAGAGAACAAAGATATAACCGACATTCAGCTAACTTTAAAGAGGTGGTTGTACAAAAAGAGTATGTTGGCAACCTCCATTTGTCATGTAACCTAAATTTATCTTATCAACACAAAGCACGCGAACCTAGCAGACCTTTACAAGAAAAATGCAAATTCGTAATAAGGATCCATGGAATCAGAAAAGAAACGTAAGAAAATGAAAAAAAACCAGATGCTTAAAACTACAATTTACTTTTCCCATTTAACATGACTTCATTGATGTTTTGATTTTACAGAGCCTAACTAATCCTTTATAAGAGTGTGTCAGGTTGAAAAAAAAGAACCGCACGCCCAGGGGCACTCAGGCGGTAGCAACAAAGCCAATTATGCCTTAGAGGTTGATTAAATGGTTGATTAAAGGCATATTTCCAGGTTACAAATAAGAGCACCATAATGATAAAAGAGAAGGGAAATATATAGGATTTTTTATAAGAACACAAAACCTGAAACTTATTGAATGCTATCCGACGCTCAAATTCTTGGAGCAGGATATCTTCCTCTCTTTGTGACATCTCCCATATATTACCATCTTGAGTTCGTGATGTTGATTCCCACCCATCAGGCTTATTTTTGAACTCTGTTCCCGGGATTTTTGTGTTATTTAAATCATCATTATGGGAATCAAAAATCCTGCAATTGGATGCGAAAAGGTTCATTGATGTATCCAATATGAACTCCATTTAGTCAGAAACTTCACTTATAGGATGCTACAGGATTGACACAAGGTAGACAACCTTTAACATCACAACACATCAATGAAGCACACTGCTTAGCCTACAGAACTTCACAAGCAAGCTAACATAGGAGACATTACATTGATCTATCAGTCATGTAATCAGAATTTCTAGAACTGGCAACAAAAAGTTTTTAAGAAAAAAAGTAAATGAAAACCCAAAACGTCCAACTCTTAACAGTCCATTAAGCAGACAAACTCTAGACTAACACTTGAATGTTGGTTCTATAGTACACATTCTTTCAGCATTTTACTTCCACACATAAAACAAATTTCACCACATATCTTCCATTAATCCATCTTAATGTTTCGTGTATCACAACCTACTCATTTCTTGTAGAATTGATCATCAAAGCAGAATAAATTTCCTTTTCCTTGGACTAAACAAATCTTTTTTGAAACTAACGGACTCAAACCAAAAAAAAAAAAAGAAAAAAAAGAATAATCTGTACATAGAAAAGTAGAAATGATTGTGAAGAGAACATACTCAGAGCAGCTATCAAGCAATTTCTCAATATCGTCGCCGGCGCCGGAAAATTGATCCCCCAACCTTGCCTCCTCCATTTTCTCAATTTCCTTAACCCATAGCCCAGAATGAACTCTCTGCTTCTTCACTCTATAATCCGTCTTAATACTCTCCAAGTTATAAATCGCAGAAGATGACGAAACCCCGCCCTCATTCCCCCCTTTCATCAACGCCCCATCAGTTTTATTGCTAGCTTTCGATTTCCCCTTCCTTTGATCCCAGTTCTCATTCATGTCCTCCACGAAAGCCTTTGTCTCAGAATCCATATCGGGAAGAACAGTCTGGGAATTGGCGGGATCGGTAGGGTTGTCTCGGGGAAGGGAGAAGTTCACATCAGCTTCCCAAGGAGCTCTGCTCTTTCCGGACAAGTCGTCCGGGAGCCAAGCGGTTTCCCATGCGTCGTTCCATTCGTCGTCGCCGGTTTTGGCGGAGTACCGGCTGGCCCCGCCGGCGGCGGCGGCGGCGGTGGCAGTGGCGGTGGTGAGGTTTAGGGAGGGGTTTCTCAGAACGTTAAAACTGAGTCTTCGAATTGGGATCATTTGATCAGCTAAATGAGGTTTTGATAGTTTTTCGGGTTTTAATATAATTAATCATACTGGGCCTTATTTTAACTAAAGCCTGTAAGGCTTAATTAATTTTGGTCCGATACGTTAGTCCAGTTTAAAAAGCCCAATAGGGTTTTGGGTAAAAGAAATAATAAGAGGCGGAATATATAAGATCGCCTCACTTTCTATCACGAGAAACCCTAGTTGGTTGCAGTAGTTTTCTCGTCACATTTCGGAGCTGAGAGAACCACCGCTTCGGCGGCAACAGAGGACTACAAACTTTGGCGGCAATCCAGGTGGAGATCAGCAATGGTGCACGTTTCTTTTTATCGCAACTGTAAGCCACGTTTCTCCCTCGCCCTCTCCTGGTCTCGCCGTTGATGATTTTGTTTCAGATTTTAATCGCCTCTTCGATTGCTTTTCCCTTTTTTTTTCCTGCTTTTGTTAATGTAATGAATAATAGCCACGCTTGGAAAAAAATCTCTCCTAGTCCGTTTCCTTTTTAATCTGTGATTGCACATCTAAACTTTAGGGGGTTTTAGTGCGAGTAGTTGTTCATAGATGTGAAGAAAGTTGTCTTCGGACGTTGTCAAATGGTGAATTAGTGACTATTTGTGTTTTTTATTGGTTTTTTTTCTCCCCGCTTGAATCGTTAATCTTTTGTTTTGGTTTACGGGAGAGGGTTGTTTTGTTTTGAGAGTAATTAGACTGAAATGTTGCTTCGGCAAGGCAAGAATTGATGCTTTCATGGCATTTCATACCTCCTGCGATTGGGCATTATTACATTGTAGCTCAGATTAGAGGTGTGTGAGATAGGACTGATTAGATTTCCCTGGGGTTATGTGTAATGTTTACTGAGGTTATGGTTTACCCATTGCAAAGATCTTGGAAATTTTGTTATGCCTGAAGGTCTTATGCAAAAATGTAACTAATGTGACCTTTTTTTTGTTACTTTCCTAAGTTTTTGTACTAGACCTTGCAACAGATAGCTCGTGTAGTTTTAATTGATTGTATGCTTTTACAATCTCTTGAAAGTATGTTGAACCTGATCTTGCAACTATGAATTTGTCTACTTCAGATGGGAAGACATTTAAGAAGCCTCGTCGTCCTTATGAGAAGGAGCGATTGGATGCTGAGCTGAAGCTTGTAGGAGAGTATGGTCTGAGGTGCAAGAGGGAGCTTTGGAGAGTTCAATATGCTTTGAGCCGTATCAGAAATGCTGCAAGAACTCTTTTGACTCTGGATGAGAAAGACCCAAAGCGTATTTTTGAGGGTGAAGCCCTTCTGAGAAGGATGAATAGGTATGGGCTGCTAGATGAGAGCCAAAACAAACTTGATTACGTGTTGGCTCTCACTGTTGAGAACTTCCTTGAGCGCCGCCTGCAAACACTTGTGTTCAAGACTGGTATGGCCAAGTCAATTCACCATGCCAGAGTGCTCATTAGGCAAAGGCATATCAGGTATAACATGTTGACTTGGTTGATATCTTTTAGAAAAATCTGCGCTTCAAATATTCCGCTGCTTGTCACTTATGTTGCTTCGGCATTCTTGATTTCGCTTCATGGTCATTCTTTTTTTGAATGTTCCATTTTTTTCTATTATTCAAGCAATATTGTGAAACATGTGGGTATTGTAATTTGTAATGCATATGGTGCTCTGTGATATGTTGAAGTTAATGGCAATGGCATGACATCACTCAAGATCATAGCTCTTTTTTCTGTTTTCTCATCAGGGGCCGTATTTGATGTGAATGATTGTAAATTGTGTGTTCCTGTTTCATTATAGCTGTTCATCAGTTGCGCTATCTTTGACTGCTTGTGCTGTTGTTTGATATTTTTGTTTTCTTAAAGGAAGATTGGGTTCAAAAATATTCGTGCTTCCGCCATTTTTAATTTTAAATCCTTTGATAAATTTTTTTCATAAATATGGTTAACATTGAACCAATTTCAGCTATTTGAAAGATAGTGTTCTTTAGGTTCGGTGCTACCTGGTATTTTCCCATATACTTAAATCTTATGATTCTTTGTGCAATGCAGAGTTGGAAGGCAGGTTGTGAATGTTCCTTCCTTCATGGTCAGAGTGGACTCCCAGAAGCACATCGACTTCTCACTTACAAGTCCCTTCGGTGGTGGTCGTGCTGGAAGAGTGAAGAGAAAGAACCAGAAGGCAGCTGCAAAGAAGGCAGCTGGTGGGGACGGTGATGAAGAGGATGAAGAATAAGCTATTGGCTTTCCTGTAATGTTTGATCAAAATACTGGATAATGTTAGACGGTTTGTTTTGCTGTGGTAATACTGTCTCCTAAATGGCTTGCCGTGCTTTTAAGGAACCTAAAATGTAGGAAGTTTTGGATGCTTTACTCCTGTTTTCTCCCCGTCTTTATCAGGCTCTTTATAAGTTATTGTTTCTTGTTTCTGCACATTCTTATGCCTTCTATTTGTCTTGATTTGGAAAACTAGGAGAGCAAAGTGATAACTATCCAATGTAGAAAATTCCGCCTTGTGTTTTAAACTCATCGCCTAGTGTGACTCCTGCTTAAGTAATTGTTTAGTCTAGGGGAATGTCAGGAACTCATGATAGCAGAAAGTACATGTCTTTATGATTCCAAATCATCCAACTTCTGTGAACTTAAAAGTGTAGACTGTCTCCAATACGTGGAAAAGAATGTGGAAAAGAATGCAGAAATGTCGTAAGTTAATGGAAATTCAAGGCAAAAATGGAATTCTTCGATGTTAACTTGAAAGCGTAGACTGTACACAAAACATGTACAAGAACGCACCAGCGTCATAACTTTATGGAATTTCATGGCAGAAACGGAATGATGAAAATGAGTTCCTCTGTGCAAATCCAAATTGCTCCAGATTTACGTAGACTTGCGGCATCGGAATCTTGGGTCAAATATCTTTTACCCCTGGGAAAGGCTGGGTTCGGGCTAAGCTATGGGCCTGACTGGAAAGAGCAAACGAAACTGATAAAAGTAAATTGGTGTCGGGTACATAGCGTGGGAGTTGGGGTTGAATTTGGGCTGTTTAGATAGTTGAATTTTCAAACTACTGAGGACTGCAATTATCAATTGTGAATAGTAATGTCTTCCAAAGAATTAGGCACCATTGGTCTCAGTCTCAACTTTCAATTAGTTTCATCCTCAACAATAGGTAGAAGGTCGCTATGGGCATAAAGCAACCTTACATACTTTGGCCAATTGTCCCACCCATTGAGGTGCCTTCAATTTAACGAGGGGGATTAGTCGCCGACGATGGACACCCTGCAAATATGAAAAAAAAAAAAAAAAAACTTTCAATTAGTTCTGTTGCAATTGTGTGCAACTTGGTATCCCTATTGTCAATATCTTCTTGCTTAGAAGTTGAGGCTTCAATGTCTGTCACTCTGTCCTAAACTTGGAACTGTTGAGTCATTATTTTCAATGGTAAACACTAATAACTAGAGTAGAAAAATAAAAACTAGAGTACGAAAATCAACCCTCAGATTTCCCATTTTCCTATTCTCAACTTCGCGGATCAACCTTGTGAATAAGGAAATTACATAAAAACGAGGAACTTTTTATTCTTGAAAAAAATGCCAGATATGTTTGGATTGTTTTTTCAATATATGTTTTTAGGTGTTTTTTGTATTGAAAATTTAAAAAAGTGTATTAAAAATGTCAAAAAGATTTATTGAGATGGGACATTTGTTAATTAATAATTCTGGGAAATTCATTAAAAATATCCCAAACAGAAGGAGGATGAAACAATTGCTGCCAGCAAAGTAAAAGAATTATTTATTTAATTTAGATAACAAAATAAATATGATTTTTATATTGAGACGAAAATAAAACCATGAATAATAGGATGGTATTCTCTGTTCTGTGTGAGATTAATACTTACAGAATACAAGCAATAAATATCGATAAAGACTACTTTGGATATATATAGTCACCCCTTGGCAAGTTTACATCACTATTGCCAAGTGTATACCTACCAGCTGCAAGACTAAAAATAAATATTAACCATTTTCACAAAAAGAATTTATCTATAGATCATATTTGATCATGACATATTGACATGTGGTGAGTTGACTCAGCTCATACAGACTGGGTAGTATTTGGTATATACCTGATTTTCATTTTGAAAATTGCAAGGAAATAGAGTAGGCACCGAAAATATAACTGGTTACATATAAAGCAAACAATACCATATTTCTTCTTTAATTAATCAGGAGAGGCTCTCAAGCACTTGGGTTAATTTTGTTACTGACTCTTGTTTGTGTGTGAACGTCAGAACTCATAGTTAATCATTTAAATTAATTATTGAGAAAGAGGCTTGTCTCTATCTTTCTATATTTTTCTTAATTTGGGATTAAAAATTTGACAAGCTTAATATATACTACTCCCTTCGTTCCACAAAAATAGTCCACATTGAGTTTTGAATTTTGTACTGTTTTTAGTATGAATTTAAAAACTCAATGTGGATTTTTTTTTTTGAGACGGAGTTAGTATGATTTAGGCGAATAGGTTGAAGTTATGTTAGTTGCGTGATGGATAAGCAAAAATAATTCTGGTAGATAATGCGAAAAATGTATGCGTGACGACGAAAGTCATTTGTGGATTTCATTTTTTTTTTCCCTTCTAATAATAATAAAGTCTATTTTGCGGATTGAAAATGGAGCAGCTAACCTGTCAAAATCATGAGAAGAGAAGTCCCAAGGGTATACTATAAAAGTCTTCTAGACTTTGGGTAAACCATTCATTGATTATATTCATCACAGGATGCACGACCACTTGTACTAGTTTTACTAGTCTACCACACTACTAAATACATTAATAATTATAATAACTTCTACAACTTCTCGTATTAACATTATTGCTCTTTTCGTCGCAAAATAAAAATTTAGTTCATAAAATGAAAACCAATACTACAGTGAAATTGGAGAAATATATCATTCAATTAGTGAGACATACATGACATTTTTTTTTAATCATTAATGATTCGTATATAAACACGATAATTATGATCGACCAAGCGCTCATCATTTTTTAAACACGCATATGATAAGTTATTTTACTGGCGATATAAAATAATGAGATTCATAATAATATCAAAACTTTGAAGACATCAAAATAATTGATAGAAATGAGTGTATGGACCAGCAAAGACGGTAAATTGAAAAAACCATTAACAGTCATAAACCCTAAATCAATACACGATGCACCATCTCTAATCGAGAGTACCCTTTAATTATTTAATAGACACAACACTAGTAATTTCTACAAACATCAAACAATCAATTAGATAGTCTTTAATGAGGGCGACATAATCTGATTTCTTATCCTCTCTTTTTTTTCTTTGTTTCTTTCCTTCTCTTAAGTCTTGGAAGGCTCATCCATTCGGGTGTGAGTGGAAAATTTTAAAATGAGGTACTTGATTTAGATATGCTGGGTGGACATAAATTGGTGGAGAGAATGGGACGTTTGATCAAATCAATATATTTTAAGAAGTCTACTCTTGAAAAATGTCACCTTTTTTATCCTCAGTCCTCCGCATGAAAATCACGAGAAATTTACTTGTAGCAGGAAGGGATAGTGGGCCTGCCGGCTTTTGGAAGCACACCGGGCCAAATTTCTTGAATTTGACGCCTCCTATATCCTAACCAGGCACCAAAAATATGCAGTGTTGGATAAATACTGAGCAATAAGAGAATATATTTACTAATCTCTCGGTCTTAAAATTATTCTATTTTTACTTTTAGTATAATTTAAGTTAAAAGTAAAAATTAAAACTAGACAATAATTTTAGGACTAGAAAAAATAATAGAAGATTTTCTTACTGTCTATCTACTCAACTCAGATTAGCTAAATGTACATACTCATATTGAAGAAGTCATATAATTTGGTGCAAACTAATTTGGAATCTCGATAAATGTTCTTAAATTCAATCTCTCAGTCACAGAGTAACAGAGTGTCGGAACCAATATACATACTCTCCAGGGTTGGGGAAAGTTGAAATCTTTTCATGCATATATCAGGAAAAATTCTACTACCTTCATTTTACAATATATACATTTTTAGCAACTTCATCCATAACAATGGAATATTAATAATGTGTTCAAAATACGAAATTATCTTATTTATTATCCATATAATTCATCACCAATTAATGTAATTTTATTTTAAATAATATTTTCATTTTCAATATAAGAATAATATTTAAAAATAGGATAAAAGTTGATTTGATTATGGAAAATGACAATTTTTAAATAATAAAAAAATTGTAACCGTTAAAATGACATATTTTTAAGAATGGGGAGAGTATACATATTCTCAGCACAACAAAACATTCGGATAAATTTATGTTGTTTATGAAGTTTCCTTGGGCTTCCAATTTAATTGGTCCATCTCCAAAGACCAAACAGCAATTAACACACCCCTCTGTCCGATTAATCAAAGTTTGATGGAAGGAAATTTCCAAGAAAATGACGAAAATAACAAAGGATTAAACCGAGTGAAAATCTGGGGGAAGTAACGCGGATCCATAACAAGGATTAAGCCAGCTCTGTCTCTATTTTGGAAGTCCTAATCAATTGTAAGTATTGAGTAACTTCTGGACTGGTAGTGCCTACTTCTGGCTTCTTCCCTTATCCTTTGCATTTGCCACGTTCATCTTCATGTCAAGTTGAGCCTTCGGTTGATGCATATGCATTCTCATTGATTAGTATGAATGACGTGCAAAAATTCGTATCATATTTTATGCGAAAAACAATGATTTCTTCAAGCTAATTTAGTTCATACGACCGTGTTTTTGCATCAAAAGATGCCAATGTTCGGTTAATATGACCAACTGTCACGAAATGAATCGGTATTAAAATAGGGTCATATATAGTACACCTCCACTAAATTCATGGTTTTAGAATCACTAAAGTTTATTCATTTAAAAATTAGTAATTATTAATTATCGATAATTTCATAATTTATTGGTTTTAATAGTTTCATTAAAAGAATATGGCAAGCTCTCTTCACCATTTCTTGTTGCAATAAGAGAACACCACATTTTTACTAAATCTTCCTAGTTTTTTTTTTTTTTTTGCATTAAGAGTAATTATGATATTGTTAGAACCTATAAATATACAACTATCTTTCTAAAATATTATTACTTTATTATTTAATGTATTTGATTCATTTCATGTACTGGTTTCAAGTTAAAACAAGATAAAATTATTAATTACTCGAATTATCACTTTATAGATTTTAAATTTAGCAAAATTTTATTTTAGATTTATGATTAACCTTTTGTTAGAAGTATTGGAGAGCCTGTATGGGATGGATTTTTCTTACCTTTAAATCTATTCACTAAAAAAGAAAAGGTCTGATAGGTTAGTTGATTAAAGTTGTCCATTTGTGTGCGTAATTATTATTATTCTAATTATATGAATTATGAACAGCTTAGGTCATAAGTGAGGTGTAGCCGTCCTCTCCATAATGTTTTATAGGCCTTTTTCATTTGGTCTATCTTCGATTAATTAACTCTGATGATATACGCCTTTTATTATCAATAGCATATATATACTTAATTGTATATGGTGATACCAATAATTATAAGCTTAATTAAATGCCATATGGCAGCTTTGGAAGTGGGTAGTCGTACTTAGGATAACCCCAACTTGAGTTTACAACCTAAAAAGAGCAAAATAAAGTAAGAAACAAGACGAACAAAAGCT